TAATACTAATAATAAATAATCATTTAGTTATAAAAATATAATTTAGATTTATTTATTTTTATATATAATACTATAGTTATACAGTATTATATGTTTTATAATTACTTTAGTTATAAATTAATATTTTATTTTTATATCTCATACAACAATAAGAATGAAAAATATTTATTAATTTTCATTCATAAAAATTACTTTTTATTAAATAAAATAACTAATAATTATGTTTATAAAAGTTAACACAAGTAATAAATATGTAATAATGTTTTTAAAAGAGTTAATGTATAAATCTATAAAATTATACAGTATATGCTTAATGAAACATTTTTTTAATTTTTAAATTGCATTATCAATATAATAATAGTATAATTACAGTATTATGACAATGAATTAGCAAAATAAATAATATACGGTAATAATTGTTTTAAACAGCTCTCTCTCTCTCTCTCTCTTCTCTCTCTCTCTCTCTCTCTCTCTCACTCACTCACTCACTCACTCACTCACTCACTCACTGAGTAATTATGGTATTAAATTTTTTTAAAAGAGAGTATATGATGAACAGTGAGTTATTTTAATAATTTTCAATTATAAACTAAAAATAAAAAATTATTTGCTTAATCATTGACATACAGTATACCAATAATGAGTTGTGTATCTTATTTAAAATAAACTGTTTTAACAAACAACTACTTTAACTAATTTTTCACTAATTTAACGCACATTTATAAAAATATGCTTTATTTTTGTGATCAAACCATTTATTTTGTAAAATTAGACTACATTTTCAAAAGGTATAATTTATCTTAAAAGCTTATTTTAAATTTATATCTAAAAAATCCATCAATCAATGTGTGATAATTTCCAGCAATTTAAACAACAATACTAACCAATGTACTGTAAATTATATATTAGTAGTAATAATACTTATATTTTACTTCTTATATTTATACTACTTGTATTTGAAAATAAATATAATTATCAATTAATTATAATATTTTATTAGAATTAAATTTCAAACATTATTTATTAAGATTAGAAGTTTTTAACAAACTTTTAACTAAAATTTGTGATTATAAATTATATTAAATTATATATAAATTATAGTTTATAATATGTGTTTTAGCAAACAATAGTTGATTTGTAGGAATCTATTAATAAGTGATAGTCTGGCCTAAACTGTCTGAGCATTTAGTGTCTGAGCCTAACATTGAGTTGTGATGATTGCATAAAATTGCCGAATCACGAACTCGGCTCAGTTATCATAACCACTGAACATACATCTCGTTTCGCACCATTTCCTCAATCACTGCCACAGTTTTAGTTAGCAAACAGACTTAACGCACGACCATATTTTCGGAGTCATCCAGAAAAGTCGTTCGTATTTTAGTGAGAAGTCAACGGAGTTAGAAAAAAAAATAAGTAATTTAATATTATTTCAATAAAAAATTTAAATTATGATTTATGCTAGTATACACAGCAATTAGTATTAATCATATAAAAATTTTAATAAAAATTATTTATTGTGTCACCATTTTTAGGTAATAATATAATTATTATTATTAGTTTAATAGACTACATGTAATGGAAATATATTAATAGCAAGATTCTGTAACATAATACTAGATTATCTAAATATATATTTTTTTATATATTATATATAAACGTCGTTTCAGGACAAAGCTATAAATAGACTGAATTGTTGTTTGATTTTTCTTATAAAATAATAATAATAAGTAATATTACATATAATGTCTATAAGACTGACCGCCTTTTATAGCATTAGAGTAGTCATTGCAATGCATTCCTTCTGTCAAAACCTTATTTTAGAGTTAAATAAGAGTCTCTTAAATAGCATTTAAGTATATATTTGGTATATATTTTTAAAAATTATAGACTAACTGACACAGATTTTTTTGCAATCACTTTTCATTTTAAAAATTTTGTTGTTTTCAAATTGTTTTGAATACTTGTGTTTTTTGTCATTGGTTTTAATGTTTTAATAGTTTCACATAATTTGTTAAATATCCAAAATCATGTACTGTATGTATGTGTTAATCTTCATGTATTGTATTTAATAATTTATTTAGTATTATGTTTTTCTATTTAATTTCTATTTAAGTTTGTTTTTTATAATATCTAAACATATCATAAATATTTTTCTGTTATATCAGCATTAGCTGTAAATCAAATACTGTATGTAATTATTATTTTTATTTTGCTAAATAAAACAAAAACTCAAAATGTTTATCAATTTTAGTCTTGCATTAAAAATGTAATATTTTATGTAATTTAATTTTGTATTTAATTTATTTTTATATACCTGTACAAAAAATACACATGAATAATTTATATATAATCATATTATTTATATAAACATAAATACTCATAAATTATAAATTATAATAGATTAAATAAATCATTAAAATCTTTGTTAAAATTTATTTATTTATTCCAAATGCCAATGATATCCGATTGGGTCTGAATATTAATTAACCTAGATCAAATTTATCAAAATTAGTTTAGTCAATTGATTGGGCTATTTGACTGAATTGAGTACAAGTCTTAATCGTTGGTTAAATAGTACACATAATTACTAATAATTAATTTTAATAGTATTTAGCATCGGTTAACTAAATTTAAATACAGTTTAAATATAATATAAATAAGCATAAAGTATAATTAAATTTTTATGTCATAATTTTACATTAATTTTTTATATTAATTTACAAACATATAAAATGTTAACTATACCTTACAATAAATATATAAAATAATGCAATAGATATTTAAATTTGATCAAACGTGTTGATGAAATTATTTATTATTATAAGTTTTTTTTAAAAAAAGAAACTTGTTTAATCATATACATAATTATATTAAGTATTTGTACATATTTATATACAACATATATAATTTGTTTTATCTAATGAATTTACTACTCTAATAAATATTATTTTATATCTACTAAAATGTTTACTATTATTACATGTTTTAAATAGCATTTATCATTTAAAAGCGGAATAGTCTGATTATATCAATAAGCAATAAATTATTTTGTTATTAACAAATATTGCATTAGATTTTGAAAACATGATGATCCTTGTTTTAAAATGTTTAAATATTATTTATTAAATAAAATGCTAAATATATTTATATATATATATATATATACCTGTTTATATAGATATATAAACATCATAAAAATAATTGTATTTAATTCCGTTTATATTTCAGAAATTAATGAGTGGTATGAATGTGTTTTTTTTGATAACATAATAATTTGAACGATAAAAACAAACAATTTCATTATTTGATTGTTTAATTACTGATTAATACTAATATTATTAAATAAGTTTTAACACATTCCAGATTTTGTTTGCAAAAAAAGATAAATATTTTGAAATTCTTCTAAAAAAAACTCTCAAAATGTTTCATTCAACTAATAAAAATAAAACAATAGTTTAATAATAATAATATTATTATTATAAAACAATAACATTTTACAATATTTAAGAAAATATATGTCTTATTAATTCTTTAATATAAGTAATATACTGTTACTCATAGATTAAAAATAATTTTTTGAAATAATTTTTTTGAAATTTAAATATTTAAAGATACAATAAATATCTTAATTAACTTAATTATATTAATTTAAAAATTTTTTGTTAGTAAATATTTTCTGTTGTTTATCGTGACTTTTTTATATAAATATAAATTGAACATTAAATATAAAATTATATACTGTATTTAATGTTTTAAAATAATAAATTATTAAAATGAATTACTAAAGATTTAGGTTTATTTTTAAATTTCAAGGATGATTGATACTTGATATTATAAATTTTATAACATTTTAAAAATGATAATTTGTTTAATATTAGTCTCATATTGAAATAAAGTTTATAACAAATTAAAACGTGTAATAATAATAGTGATTATTATTATTATTCAATTAAAAACTTGATATAAAAATTTCACAACATATATGCGGTGTGAGTTTACATATCAATAAATCATTAATTTATGTTATTTACAATAAAAATGTTATTCAGGAATATAACATTATGCAAATATTATGTAAATCAAATTTGTATTGATATAATTAATTTATAATTTATCAATAATTTTAATTACGCTCATTCATTAAATTGTAAAAATAAAAACTATTTATTAATTTTATCTCAATAATGTAATATATATTTGATTTTTTTGCAATCTGTTTTATTATTTATTATAATTTAATTTTACAATGTGTTATAAACGACAATGGCAAAATAACAAATTTTTAATTTAAATTATATATTTATATATATTGTTTATTTAAACTTTTATTAACTTTTTAAATGGTGCACACATTTTATGAGCCATGAAATTGTGTGTATACAGTATAATACATTATTCTGTAGTTTTTAATAACTGTTTATACGGTATAACTATATTTGTTTATAAGTGTATGTTTGCAATAATTGACACTAAACTAAGTTTATTACAAATTAATGACATAAAAAATTCTCTTATATTTCCCAACATTAATGCTATTCATATATACATTATATATAAGTTTTTATATCAATTGATTATTTCACATAAAATTATAATGAAAATAATAATAGGTATTATAATATTAATTCCTGAGCTGATAGCTAATGCCATCAATTGTTTGTCAAATAGCGGGCACTGTTATGGCATTTAATGCACTGTTAGATTGTGTTTCTAACTCTTACAGTGAGTTATATTTGAAGTGCATTATTATGATGTGCTTTATTTTATAAGGTATTAAATAATATCAGAGACAACATTGACTATGAGCTAAAAAATAAGGTTTTATTTAAATGTTTGGTTTGTTTGTAAGGCATATATGTGAGCGTATATAACATTAATAGACTGTTAGCTACAGATATAAGTGAGCGTCAGTTGAGTTGAACTGAGCTCCTGGTCTCTGATTCGTACTGGTGTTCAAACCACGTGGCCTTCGAGGAAAGGTAGTCGTGGAGAGCGGGGCAGTCCCGCAGCTGACAAACTGAGCTGAGGTAGTGGTGCTTTGGTTTTTGTCAGTACCTCACTTACCAGCGCTCATAACTGCAGACAAACTTGCAATAAGTTTTCAATCAATGCCAACACACAGTGATATGCACTGTATGTATGCATTGTATGCATGTATGCTCTCAACTCTGGATAGTGAATCCAAGTGCCACACAATCATCTCGTTTAAGGCATTTATCATACAATTAACACAACTTTTTTCACTGCAATTGCAAAGTGTGTTCAAACAAAAAAGTTTTGCCAACTTTTTCCTATTGAAGTGATTGATGTGACAATCATTTTGTATACTGTTTTTATACACATTATGTATTCACGTTATGAACGGATGCTTCACTCTATTTCTTACTTGCATTCAATTGCTTACTGTAATCCATGCCTTACGGGACCAGGAGGTGCCCTATATTGCCAAAATGGACCTAAAAACACAACCTGTACTACACCTACAGCATCAACCGATCAGATATCATCCCCATCGACACCGTCATCATAATCATCATCATAACCGTCATAGGCATCAATCATTACTGACTAATCAAAACTTTGTAAATAATTTAACTATCACTTCAAGCAATATTCATAATAATCATAATAAGCATCTTAATAGTCATCAACTAATAAAACATGAATCATTAAATCCAATCAATGATAGGATTTCCACTTCACGACAGTTTGTTTTATATAGTCGTTGCAGTCAAGACTATGTCAGTGTTTTACATCAATCTATTAATGCAAAAGCAATGGCCAGATATACCAAATCACATCCAAACACAACAACCTGTAAGTCATTTGATTATATATTTTATGTTTATCACTAACTATACCAATAAAATTATGATAATAAATATCATTCAATATTTCCATAATAATTAATGTTTAATATGTATAAATATAAGAGATAAAAATATATAAACAGTATATATATATATAAATATAAAAAGATATACATATATAAAACATTATCAGTGTGTCACCTTAGAAATATAATCCAGGTCCATGTAATGTTATGTTTATTATTGTTTTTTGAAGTCCCGAATACAAAGATATACATATATACAGGTAATATATATTATCTCTGTTTATATACCATATATATAAAATAAAACATGTAATACAATGTACAGTAATACTTGTATAATAAACATGAAACTTAGTAAAAATAAATTTGTGTGAATTTTTTCTCATTTGTTTTATAGCACTTGTTATGTTATATATATCTTTGAGAAATGAGATATAATAGAGAAAAGACAACAAAAAATGTAATTATTAGTACCGTCGGAGTGCTCTCATTGTCGCTGTAGGTGTTCCCCCAACCATACAAATATCACATCAACTCAAACACATAATTCACAGCTAAATTAAGTGAAATATTATGCAATATGTGAGCAAATATTTATGAAATGACAAAACTTAATGTACTTTTTCTCGTTTAAGATTTATTATTTGTGTGGCTAACTGAGCATTAAGTTTCTAAATTTTTTATTTTGAGTTAGTTTTTGGTGTCTTTCCCAGTGATCTCCTATTGTGAACAACCATAATAAATGTCGAGTTAGGTTTACTTCCACTTTAGTTAATATCAATTCACTAATAAAATCTTATTTTGTAGTGTCGTTAGCCAAAGAATCAGTCACTTCATTGAAACGTTCAAAAAGTTTCACTTAAGTTCATACCGACTGTGCTCTCTCTCTCTCTCTCTCTCTCTCTCTCTCTCTCTCTCTCTTGCGTTTCTTTCTCTTTCATTTACTTACTCAATGGTAGGGCATTACCTGAAGAAATGACTTAACTAACAATTAGCCTATAAATTGCAAAAATGCCATTAATTTTTGACCGCTTTAAATGTTTGCATAGTTGTGTTGTAGTCATGAGTCGGTCGGTGAGGTCTATGTAATGCTATGAATATTAATTGCCATACATTATATGCCTCTTTTTAATGTTTGTAAATTCAACAAAAAAACTGATTCAAAGTACTCATTAAAGAAATTTTGTTGTCCACAAAATTGTTATTTACAACAAAATATGTTATTTGCAGCTATTTTTAACAAGTACTAAATATACGACTATAAAATGCTAATTTTTTTTGTTGAAAATTTACTTCTATCGATAAAATTGTAAATATTTATTATAATTTATTATATAATATTATATATTTATTTATCAAATTAAGGAAAAATGATACAAAGAATTTTTGCTAATTATTATATTAGTATATTATATATATATATATATATATTATTAGTGATATAGTAAATAATGATATGTTGTTAAATTACACCCTCTTTTTTGTAGCATCACATGTCATACCACGGACAGCCCTATTATCATTTGAAACGGAACGTTACGACAACAATATAGCAGTTCGTATTAAGTCAGTGCCGGGTGGTGTCTACCTGTGCTTCAATAATAGGGGGAGACTCACAACAAAGGTATGTCTTTTTTAATACTACTGCTAATCATCACATATCAGCTCCTATTTCATTACACTTTAAGTACATGTTTTGTGCCAATTATATAAACGGATTGCAAAATATTATTAATAGTTATGTTTTTATCAATCATGAAATGTCAATTAATTTAATGATAACATGAAATAATTATCTAATTTACAATTTACATGACTATAAAAATAATTATATAATTTCATTAATTAGATGTTTTTAATATTATAAATATTTACAACAACAACAAAAAATAATTTCATTGTAATTTAACATTGTTTATAATATTTTTGTGGTGATAATTGGTTTATCATTTATTTATAGAAAAATAATGAAAGCAATGAAAGTAATAGGGATTGGGATTAGTCGGCATTCATAATAAATTGTTAAAGTTATCGATATATTAAGGGGTTTATGGGATATAATCTTTTTGAGCCCCCATAGCATTGGTGACACATTTCTATAGATTGGAAATACATGTGAAATGTGTTTTCAGTTGCACTCCATTCACACATTTCTTCTAACATTTCATTCATTCATTGATTCATTCATTTTGTTCTCTAATGTGTTTTGTGTTATATTTAAGGCAAAAGTTATTCATTGAATACAAGAATTGTTGTCTAAATCCCAAAAGCAAACACAGGTTTCGACACAAACTATCGAATTCCCTCTCATTCTTATACTATGTTTAGTGATATCTAAATTGAGAGAACAGTTGTCAAACATTTTAGACCATTGATCCAAAAGTATTCACTTCTATCGGTCCTTATATACAGTAATAATATACAAAAGTGACAGTCAGTCCCTTTCGCGGTCTTTTACTTTGCTATTTACTATTATTTTTATAATATATTAGACTATACTTTTGTGTCATTGAATTACCAATGCTATTGTAATTAAAATGTTTAAAAATAGTTAATCAATTGTAAAGTCAAAAGTGATGACAAAATCAACAAATGAATTCAGATTTTAAATATTTAATTAAAATTTATTGAAATACTTTAGTACAATATATTCTAGAAAATACTACTGTAGAAAATTATAACATTCATATTATTTTTAATGTTTTTGCTATCAAAATATTATTTGTACATAAATTATAATTAGATATCATATATATATAGAAAATTTAATATAAATTATTTTATCAATATTTTTATTAATTGAAAAATGTGTTAAAATTTTAATATATATATAACATATAATATAAATTACACTTTGTATAAATATTTAGTATTCGTTAAATAAATATATAATATTTATGAATTTGTAAAACTTAATACTGTATTCATAGACAAAAATATTATTGTAAAATATTTATGTTTTTATTTGCTATAATATACTGTACTTTATGTAATCTTAAACAATATTTACTGATAATAATTTTTTTAGTTTAGTTTAGTATTTTCGTTTGGCTGATCAAAAAACAGCAACATATTTGCAAATAAAATATAATATTTCGGAGGTATTTGTAAAGAAAAATATTTAGCGAAATTTTATTTGTAAGATATGTTAGTTTTATATTTAATGTTTGCATTACACATGAGTGCTAAACATAGTACTGTCTCTTAAAACAAAATATTTGGTAAATTTGCAAATGTTATGAACAAATTGATCTCTTGCTGCCAGTCTTTGTTAAAGTGCATTACAAACAAACAAACAAAAAGAAAAAACAAAACAAAAATTAAAGTCAATCACATATTTATTGCCAAACAATGGGGCCATTGATTGAACAATATTTTTCAATTGATTTAAACAAAAACTTGAGATTTAGTTGTTTTTAGGATTGTTTGGACTCTGAAAGTGCGTAAACTCTACATATAATTCAATGTATTTTGAAGATCCACTTATAAATGTCAGATGAAATTTCTCGCGCCTCACAAGTATTTTTTGGTCAAAAATCTAATAGTTTTTAACAGACATTCTGTATCGTATCCCCCGTTACTCTCTCTCTCTCTCTCTCTCTCTCTCTCTCTCTCTCTCTCTCTCTCTCTCTCTCTCTCTCTCTCTCTCTCTCTTTATAGTTTAAACTATAACTTACAGTTTAAACTAAGCGCATTAACTGCAAACGATACAAAAAATAATTTATCTATTTTATAAAATCTTTATATAATAAATGCTCTAATTTTATTGATATTTAATTGTATTTATTACATATAAATTGAAATATTAATATAACTTATAGCTGTTTTTATTGAGGTCCAGTTTTTAAAATAAATAAAAACATTGTAAATTATTTAAATTCTTAAGATTTCAAAGTCAAAGTAATAAATAATATAAATATTATAAATATATATATATATATTGTTTAAAACAGAAATAATATAAGACATGTCATGACAATATAAGATCAAAATATTGAATTTAAAAAGTTGAGCGAATAGTGAGAGAAATAACCGAAAAAATGTGAAAACAATTGAAATGAGTGCTCCTTTCAGAGTCAATACATATCTTTTTTTCAAAAAGTTTTTGTGACTTAAGATAATTTAGTGACTGTCTGTCAGTTAATAATTTGAACGAAATGTCTATTTGTAAGTTGGCTTTCAAACATTTATCCAAATTATAGCTATGAATCTAATATTATGCACTAAACTAATAATATTCTTAATATTTGTTTTTATGTTGTTATTAGACTTATATTTATGTAAAACTTTGGTTTTCAGGGGTGGGCTAACAGTTTGCATGTAGACTACAACAAAATTGCCAAAATTAGTCTTTTTAAATGCTATTTTCTCAACTGATCCATCAAAATAAATCATTGCATAAATAATAATTTGCTTAAAATATAGTTTTTAGTCAAATTACTGGCGTTCAATGCCGAGAGAGAGAGAGAGAGAGAGAGAGAGAGAGAGAGAGAGAGAGAGAGAAGTTTGTAAAAGAGAGAAAGTAAATTGCCTTTAATTAAAGGTCTACTAACTTAATCAAACATTTACAACACACACGGCATTAGTATTTTATGTGATTTTTCTGACTATTAAAAATACATGTTGAATGTTAAACCAATTACAAAGTCAAGTAAATATATATTGTATTTTTAAAAATATATATAAAGACATTTTGTATTTAGTTTTGCTTATTAGTAAAATTATTGATATTATAGATACAGTAATTGACTTTACTTTTTTTTCAATAACTGATGTAAATGCCATAAAATGCAAACTACACGCAAACCTTTTTTTGTTTAATTATTTAAAGTATATCATTAATAATTTTACATATTAATCATGTTTTCAAAAGTATTTCCAAACTTATAGTAAGATATAGTTATCATTATAAATGGCATTATAACTAATGATTTATTGTGCTCAGGGGGACAATACTAGCCGATTGTCAAGATATAATTTAGCTATAGTTAAAAATTTTTAAGTTTTGTATTAAATAATATGATTTACAGTAGTATTGAATGTTTATTAGTGAAAATCCTAAGTCATTATATTTGATAAACAATTAACATATTAGTATAGTTACAACTAATTAGGAGGTCTACCCTTTGGCATTAATTGACAAAATGTTGATAAAATCTCACTAATGTTCACACAAATTACATTTATCTTTAATGAGCAAACAATTAGTGTATCGGTAATGTTGAGGTAATTAAATGGCAATTACAACAAAAACCAAATGAAATATATTTAAAACAATTAGGATATTTTACGATAGTTAGTAATAAAACTGTTTTACATACATTAATTAGTTTCAATAATTTTAATGATGAAAATTTTAAATATTTATTACCTTTTTATATGCTTTTAGTAGATTATTGTAATGATATAAGTGTTACTTAAATAAAATTCATTGAAATCCGCTTTAAACAAAACTAATCTTTTTTTATATTTTTTGAAAATAAGATAATTTTTACTTTTAATATTAATCTACTATAAGTTACTATAAGTATCATATTATAGACAGTATATTATATAATGAAGTTTAATATCCGGGAATCTATTTCTAAAAATATTTTTAAACATAGAGTTTCTAATTTTTGATTTATTATAATTTTGAAATCATAAATTACACCCACGTAAATTAAAAATATTTAGTTTATCTAACTTTATTTTTTATTGTATTGTATTTTTTATTATGAAATTACAAAATGATTATATTAATTATAGTCAAATTTAATATTTTATTTTTATTTAATCACTAATTTAAATTTAATTAAATGAATAATTTTTTATGTTATTCTGGAAAACTAGTTTTGATATACATTAATATTTTGTTGCTGTTTTCAAACATAACAACAACAATAATGATTTGTTTGCCATTTATAGTCATAACTTATTTTTTTGCTTAATTTTCATAAATTATTTATTATTTATATATACACTTGAAAACCACATTGTATTCAAATGAATTTACTTATTTATGCATATTATTTATTTGATTTACTATATATAAAATAATTTAAATAAATTTAACGTTTAATATACATGATTATGTTATAATAATTGATTTTTACTGTAATTATGAAAGATAAATAAGTAAACATATGATTATACAGTACTGTATATTAAGTAATAAGCAAACATTTAATAATTTAGTGAAAATAATATCATAAATACAAATATTAAGCCATTTATGATTCTGACCTAATTTAATGATTTTATTTTTATTGAATTAATAAAAATTAATAATATTATAAAAATAAAATATTTTATTTTTATATATATTATAATTAATATATAATTATTTGCATTAATTAAATGTGAGATTTTTGATAATTATTGTATAGATATTATAAAAGCATAATAAGAAATTAAATTATTTTACTTGATTTTATGTCACATAATTAGACAAAATTTCTAGTTTATTGACTTTTAATTATAGTTGAACTACAAAATAATTATTTATCTGATTGTGTATAAACTATATATTCACAATATCTATGATTTGTTGTTGACTTATTGTAATAAAGGACCTGTCACAATAAGTATTTTATTGTGTTATAACGCAATCTATACAACAGGTATTATGACACTTCATAATTTATAATAAACTGCATTAAAAAAATAGCTGATATTAAAGTTATCAATTTACAAATGTTACATCTCCCTGGATCATTTATATATTAAATATTATTTTAATTAAATTAAAATAGGTTATTTTAAAAACTAATTGTTATAAAACAGGTTTGATTTCATAATTATAATTAGCGTTAAAAATTTCATAGCAATAATTTTTATATTGAATATTGTCATTTATTTTTATATATTTTTTGAAAGTTTGATAAATTACATATTATTTTATTTGTTAACACGACAGAGCCTTTATATACAGTATATAACAATTTAGTAGTAGTTTTAATATGTATGATATCTTTATATGACATTTAGTAATACTTAAATAAATAATTGTTAGTCAGTGGTGACCAATAAATCATAATATCCTAAACAATATGAAATGGATTAACAATTTGTGATTTTGTTGAATACTTTTAACTATTTCTTTGAGTCTTTTGTCGAAAACCGATAGACTTTTGTCGACTTTCTCTTCAAAGTCGGACTTTTCTCTCAAATCATTTTACTTCACAAATAAATAAATAAGTAATAAATTATTTACGTTAACTTCAAAAATGTTTTATTGTCATATATATACTAACTTATATATATAGTATAAATATGAATTTTGTTTAATTTTTGCAAAATTTGCTATTTTACATCACTTTGTTTGCTTTATTGTCAATTCCTTATTTGATAAATAAACAAATATACAATTTTTAGTGGGAAATTACCTAAAAATTTTCCAAAACATTTTTATTATTGTTTAACTTATTACAGTAAAAACATTTTCATTATACATTACAATATTGTATATATCACATCATTTTTGACGATATAGCAAAATATTCATTTAAAACAGACTAATATATGAAATTTTTCATTGAATTAAAAGCAATAAAATTATGTATTTGATTTATATAGTGTTGAGTCTATTTTCAGATTTATTATCACATTTTTATCTTATATTATTAGCAAATAGTTGTTAAAAATTGTATTTTCTATTTTATGTTATTTATTTTTATAATACTAAGACCAATAAAAACTTCTTATATAATATTTGAAAAAAATTAATAACATTTTTATTGAATGTTAGATACACAGTATACATATATTTTGGAGCAATTATAACAAAGTATAATGTGTTATATAAATATTTTTCAAATAATAACTAATTTTAGTGGCTTATTGTATATAACAAATGAAGTCATCATTATTTTATGAAATATGATTTTTGTGTAATAAAATAAATTTAAGTGCTTTTAAATGTTTGGGAAGACCGCTATAATCATAAAATTTTTTAATGAGATATATATTTACTGTTTATATGAAAGCAGTTTAACAATTATATTTAATGTGATGTATATTATTATAAAATTTTTATGAATGTATTGTCTTATTTTTATGTCTCTTAATTGTTGGTATATTATATCATTGATTATGTCAATACTAAATAAATTATAAATAAAATAGTATTTAAATATATATTTACTTAATCATAAATACTGAAATAAGTATTATAATTGTTGTTTTTATTTTGATATTTGCAGTACTCATCCGATAAAGATATTGAATGTCATTTTACTGAAGAAGTGACAGAAAAAGGATATTTAATGTTACGATCGGTATATAACAGGGACTGGTATATTGGGTTCAATAAAAACGGACTCTCAATGAAAGGCCAAATAACGACGTCTTCAAAACAAAGTCAACACTTGAAGCGAAAAAAATGTTATCATTTTTTAAAGAAAAAGTCACCAAAAGTTTTAAATTCATTTATTAAAACTAATAATTAAACTTTTTTTGTTTAGTTATACTTTTTTTAATAATCGATTACTACCTCATCAATACATCAATTACAATGAAATCTCTTTTTTTAAACTTATATAATATTTAATATTATATATTAATTTAAAAAATTAAATTTGTAAATAGTTTTGTAAAATATTTTTTAGTTTATCGTGTTTGATAAATTAAAAAGTATTAATTATAATTATATATTTAATTTATAATAATGAGTATTTTTCATGCACTTTTATGTATTGGTATTTATATGACAATTTATATTTAAATATTTAAGTTAATTGTATAAAATTTTAATTTAAAAAATAAACTTATATAAAATTTTTACAAAAATTGATGCAATTTTTGGAATTCAATTTTGTGCCAAAGTTTATATCTAAAAACAATTTATTATATACAATATATGCAGTATATAATATATTAAATATATATATATATTTAAATTTTTAATTAAAAATAGCTTCATAGTTTTGTAATATAATTTTTGTAAAAATATACTAACAAATCTAAAAATAATAAAATAACTAAATTTTACAATTTTAATAGATGCCATTAAACTAACTTAATTTATTTAAAAATTATTTAAACTTAAATTTAATTAAAGGTCTAATGATAAATATTAATTTTAGTGACATTTATTGTAAATAAATTATCATTGATATTATTGTTAATACATATACTATATTTAAAGAAGTATTTAAAAATATAAAAATTAGGTATTTTTATTGTTTTAATTAAATTAGATTAGTTTATTTTCTAATTAGATTTAAAAGTATGAATAAATTTCATGTTATATAGTTTTATGTTTGAATACTCAAATTACATATAATATAAATTTATATATACACAGTATATATACAATACTTTTATTTGATTTAGATGTTAGACATGTGTTTATATTCAATGATACTAACAATAAATTTTTAAATTTTTAAATAAATATCTTTAAAGGTGTATAAAATTTCAATTGTATTACTATATTTCATTGTATTTTATATTGAAAAAAGTTAGTCATTGTAAGTTTTCTCAGTTTTATCAATATAACTTATCTTTTTATAGTGTCATACAATTGGATAGTATTGTAAATAAAGTGAATGGTTGTCCACAAAACTTGCAAAATATAGACTAACATATAATACAGTAAATTGGATTTATCTTAAGGTTTTTGTCAATAATGACAATAAAATATATGCATATATGGCATATACACAATACACAACTTAATATAGTAGTAGTAGTTGGCAGCATAGTTGGTATGATTACCTACCAGAACCAACCATAACCTACCGGTGTCTAAGCAATGAACCACTTGGTACTAGCAATGGTACTGACTTTATATTATATATATAAGAGTCCACACGTGTTTGTAGGCTTTACTCTAGCAATATATACAGCGATAGACACTTTCTATTGTTGTGAATATATAGTGAACACACATTTGCCTAAAATCTTTACGGCTATTGCACTGGTTATTGCTATCCATTTGGACACTTATGGGGTGTGTTTGTGTCCATTACTACCTTCAATGGTAATGAGTGTCGGACTCTCAAGTGGGACCCATTCATTCACTATAACTTTATAAATCGCTTGTATTAACTATAAACTAAAGGATCTCCTCTAATAACGTTTGTCCTCCTCATGAGTCATAAGCGCTAAAATCACTTACAGTCCACTGAACTCATAATAATTGTATTGATTGACATCAAAAAACTTTGTCTGAATATTATTTTCCAATTTTTTTATTATTAATAAAAACTACTATTTTGTGTATAATTATTGTATTGAAAAGTTGTGAATCGAAAATCAATAGTTTTTTATTTATTATCAATAAATAGACTAATATTTGATATGAGATTTACATCGACGACAGCTGCACCCAAACATTGACCGCCTTTCCTATAATATACTATATTCCTCCCATTAATAAATGTTGTATTATATTGTAATCATTTATTTTATCTTAAATAAAGTATGCTCTCTCTCTCTCTCTCTCTCTCTCTCTCTCTCTCTCTCTCTCTCTCTCTCTCTCTCTCTCTCTCTTCAACAAAAATCAAACAGATTTTCTCTATTTTTTGCATTTATTTTGTAAAAATACAATAACATTATGTAAACATTGCATTGACTTGTACTGTATTTTATACAAAACTAATATTGTGTTAGAAATTGACTTAAAACATTTTTTTATGAATATATAACTAAATAAAATTAATTTAATATTTTTTACTGAAAACATTATTATTTAATAACAAAATTTTCCATAAATATAAAATATGTTGTGCGGCACTAATTTCTAAAGAATTTTATTTTATTATATTATTTACAAAATACAGTAAAACAAAGCTTTCATTATATAATTATGAATGCATTAAAAATTATCACTATATTAAATATAATATTTAGCCACTATTTTAATTAATTTGATATAAAGCCCCTAAAATTATTAATCTTTTGAGTAGAGTTAGTGTTAGTCGGAACTGTCACCCCATTATTTTCCGGTGCTTTAATTGCACGTTTAGCTTAAGGCCCAACAAAATCACACCAACATATTTAATTGGCTGTGAGAGTAACTTACGAAAAAAATCGGCGCTCAATATATAGTACAGACAAATATACAGTACTTTTGTTTGTATATACAGTTTGTATTTTGTATATAATATATATTTATACTATATATAAGGTATATATATATACTGTGTGTGTGTGTGTGTGTGTGTATGTGTGTGTGTGTGTATGTATGTGTGTGTGTGTGTGTGTGTGTGTGTGTGTGTGTGTGTGTGTGTGTGTGTGTGTTGTATTGCCTTAAGACAAACGTGCAATTAAAGCCCAGGAATAAAATGGTGTGACAGTTGAGACTAACTGAGTGTAAGCCAACGGTAACATTACTTTGATGTATCGCTACATTCACTGTTGAGGATCTGCTTTTGAAATTATCGGTTTAGTTAATGAATTTTGAATATACAGTATTTTAGGATACATTTCTGCGATTTATGACACACGAGAGGTATGACTATTAGGGCCTAAGCCTAAGCCATCAACTAATTTATAGTGTTATAGTGTTAGCGCACTTCAAATGGAAATCAATGCTAAAAGTTTAACCAAAAATTAAAATTCATTAACTGTTGGCCCGCATTGCAAATGTTTATCAATTGACTATTTAAGTCTACAATAATGCAAAATGTGTGGTTAATTATAGCTCTCACACATTAACACATTAGACAACTTTATTAAAATTGCGGTTTAACTCCTTTTATTTAATTTTTATGATATACATTACCAGTATTTATACACAGGTGCACCATTAAACTTATTCATAAATATTGAACTTTTAATTTTATCATTATATTTACCAAATATGTTTATATTAAAACATATATAATAATAAATTATTCAATTTTTATAGTCTATAAGAAATTATTAATAATAATATCTAATTTATATATATATATATATATGAAGATTATAAACTATTTTCTGCAATATATTTAAATTATTCATATACAGTATATTGAGATAAGTTTATTGTATATGAGCTCAAGTTGTTCATTAAAATCTAAAACAATTATATTGATTACGTTTATTAATTAACATATTAATTTTTAACTTGAAAATAGTATAAACAAATTATTAGTTGTAATTATAAATTGTTTATTTAAAAAATTAATATATTATTTTGTTATACATATTTATTAAATAATCATATTATTTATAATAGAAATTTTTAAAAATAAAATCAATGAATAAATTTGATATTATATTAAACATATAATTGCATATTAATAATTTAGCTCTAAAATTATATCAACAATTTTAATTAAGTATTAAAACAAATTTTTTTATATAAATTATCAGTAATAAAAAATACAAAATACTTATTGAAATTTCAGAACTTAATTTAAGTAAATAAATTATATTATATAAAATTATATGTTTATTAAAATTATATTATCAGTAATTTTATGGTTAATGAAATATAATTTTGTGATTAATGTTATAAAATTGTTTGAATTTTGGCGCAAAATTGTGTTAACATTGATTAACACATTAATAGTCCACTAGAAAGCAGTAGTTTATGTGAAATACATTGAATGCAATAAATACCGGTTGAATGCAAATGCAATGCATTTTTTGGATATTCTTTATTAGAATTTATAATTACATAACACTTACAGCTATAGTAATATAACTTAATGTATATTAATATTAGTATTAATACAGTAGTCGTAGTGATAGTGAAATGACTTATAATTAATGATAACTTTTTAAACGATGAAAACTGTTGTCAATGTATTGAACCGTCTTTTTAGTCGTTCGTTGTGTAGTTCAGTGACCACTAATTGTGACAAACCGTCGGTCAATGCATTGAAATCATTTGACGCCATTCCCGGACCCAAACCGGTGCCACTGTTTGGCAATAAATGGCGATATTTGCCAATCATTGGTAGGTATGAACTGATGGATGTATTTCTAGTAATTGTTTTATATAATGATTTGAAAGGCGAGTATAGAGTCGATGAAATGGATGTCAACGGAGAGATCCGACTCAAGAAGTTTGGAAAAGTTGTTCGCGAAGTACTCGACAAAGATTTGACAATTGTTCACGTGTTTGATCCCAAAGACATTGAGGCTGTCTTTAGACAAGAAGGCAAATACCCATTACGTCGCAGCCATAGAGCTCTTCTCAAGTATCGAAAGGATCGGCCGCACAGGTATGCATCGGGAGGTCTGTTCCCTGAGAACGGACAACAATGGTATTCATTGCGTAAACAATTTCAACACCACTTACTGAATGCAACAAATGTCTCGACATATATAGCCGATTGTGAAGACATCACTATTCAACTCATTGATTACATCCGCTCTAAACGAGACATCAATCATGAAATATCCGACTTTCTTAACGATCTTTATCTGTGGTCACTTGAAAACACCGGTGTTTTGGCACTTGACTCACGACTCGGTTGTCTTAATACAAATCTTAGTGAAGACAGTGACGCAAAACTTATGATAAGAGCGGCACACGAAACAAATGATGCCGTAATGAGAACCGAGAGAACAGATGCGTGGTTTACAAAAGATACTTCTGATTATCAAATGTTGGTCTCAGCTCAGGACGCGATGACTAATATTATTGATAAATACATGAATCAAAAAACAAATGAATCGCTTAATACAGACCTAAAGAAAGACAAAACAATTTTTGCTCAACTCTTAAACAATCCAAACGTTGATCGCAAAGATTTATTTGCAATGATTGTAGACTTATTTGTGGCCGGCATTGACACGACAGCCTTTACCGCAGGTTTCGCTTTATATCACTTATCGCGTAATACTACGGCACAGAATCGACTTCGCGATGAAATAAATTCAATATTAAAATCTGATTGTCTGACTGCAGATAATTTATCTCAAATGAGTTATCTTAAAGCTTGTGTTAAGGAAACAATGCGATTATCTCCCGTGACCTTTGGTAACGGCAGAGTGACCAGTCAACAGATGATTATCAATGATTACTGTATACCTAAAGGAACGCAAATAATTACTCAGAATCAGGTCTCGTGTCGTCAATCGGAATATTTTTCGGATCCGCTTTCATTTATTCCCGAGCGATGGCTTAAAAGTGATACAAATATTTATCCAAACAATAAAGTTTCGCCATTTCTTGTACTGCCATTTGGTTACGGCCCGCGTATGTGCATTGGCCGCCGATTTGCCGAAATGGAGATCAATGTATTTCTGGCTAAAATCATACAAAACTATCGAATTGAATATCATTACGAAGATATCAAAGTGAAAACACGACTAATCAATGTTCCCGACAAACCATTGAAATTCAAATTTGTTGATATCATTTGACTAAATTTGATTCAAATACTCACTTATTTTTTTTTAAAATTGATTTTTAATAATGCGGTCCATAAATATACTTATCAAACAAACTGTGTTATAATAATTTTCTACCTCTAAACTAATTATGTGCCTAACAATTATTTATATGTTTGTTTTATTTTATAAATTCATCCGAGCTATTTTTAAACTTGTTGTTCATTTTTGTTAAAAATATCTTTAATTTTTAAAATTTAAAATTTTTATATATAATTTTTATTAATGTTTGCTATTTTACTACTATAATAATGTACTGTTTTTATATGTTAATAAACTGTTAATATTGATATCTATAAAAAAATATGCACAAACAAACACAATGATTGATCGATATATTTGAAAATCAATTTATTGATTTAGTAAATATATATATATATATATATCATATGGTTTAAAAATTTTAATTCAAAGTCTCAGCTGTATAACAGAATATAATATAAATATTTAATTGAAAAACTGCTAAAAATAAAGCTATTTATAATATGATAATACAAGTTATATAAACAATTTATTTAACACTTTTTTGAAAAGATGTTTAGAAAATGTTTAGATTAAATGTTTGAGTTTAAAGTGATAACTACTACAACACTTAAACATTCAATCAGTGTCATCGCTATCAGAGAATCAGTAATATAAAGTAATTTATTATAATTTTGATTACTGATACAAATTATTTAGAAATTCAATTCAATTAATAAATTACAAATTAATGTTTTTTTCCATTAAGATAAGTTATCAAATTTAATAGCTATTTTAGATAACTATGATTTATAACGACAAAACTATTAGTATAATGATGAATGTACTATTGATTAGACCATATAATAAGGCAATTTTTAATATAAACTTTTTAAATATTTTAAACTTTCATTATCTAATATTGTATTAAAATACTGTACAAATGTGGACCAGTAGTGTACAGTTCATAGTTAACATTAAACTCTATAGAGGACACGATAGTTGAAAACAATACATTGCACCCACTGTTAAATACAACTGAGCATATTTATAATTATTATAATATTAATATTATTTGTGCACTGTCACACACACACACACACTTTATATGACATTATTTTCAAAACAACAGCTTTATTATAAAATTATGATAATATGCCATAAAGTTTTCATATTAGATGAAAATTTCATTTTCATGTAAATTATGCTGAATTAAAATTAACTGAAAATATATGTCATAGAAAATGGTGTGAATTGTATTAAAGCAAAAATGTTGTATATATTTATAAATAATAATATATACTTTATTGTTTTAGCAGATAGAGAGGTGCATGGCTTGTACTATATTAGCACTTAACTGTATAACTGTGTTATATATGTTTAAAGCCAAATGTGATATGATATTGAAAAATAAAATCCAAATGTTTGCATAAACTTGTTATAAGAATTTAACACTTTATATGATTTAAAACATTATATATTAGACTACTATAAGAGTGAGAGTCACGCCGTTTTTGTCTGCATTTTTCGCTTAAAATATTTTCATATCATTTAATTTATTATAACTGAAACTTGGAGTCACTATACAGCTTCTACAGTACTACACACTCGATCACTGGTTTTTTTTAATAAAAAATTATTAACTTCAAATGGATACTTACGATCAGTAATTATAATTTTAATTATTAGAATAATTAATATAAATTAATTATTTTTTGTCGAAAAGATTTTTTCTTCTAAATATTAATTAATATATTGATTGATTGATTGATTGATTGATTGATATATACAGCTATAATGTTGTGCTATTTATTCTGGTTTTACACGGAATCGGAACACTTATGCCGTGGAATATGTTTATTAACGCACAGAAGGTATGAATATATTTTTAGTCACATATGTTATCAATTCATTCAATTTATATATATTATGAATGATTTATTAACTTAACTTAAATTATAATTTTTTATATTTTTATTCAAGTATTTTGAATGTAAACTCAACATAACTGATCCGCAATGTAATCGTGTGGATCACTTGTCCAATGAGACATTGACCGGTATGAACCTGTCATATAAGGAGGACTTCCTGTCTTATTTAGGTGTGTCCGCACAGGTGCCAAATGTTTTGTTCAATTTGCTTAACATTATCTTCCAGTTTGGGTAAGGATTTATTTAGTGATTTTTGATTATGATATAAATTGATTGACATTTATTTATAAATTTTAATTTTAGTGGTAAAAATTTAACGATTAGTATAACAGTTGCCATAGCCGTAGAGGTGGTACTGTTCATAATGACAATTATCTTAGCAATGGTAGACTCGAGCGGATGGCCCGCAGAGTTCTTCTACATAACGATGGCTACTGTTGTACTCATAAACATAGCTAACGGTGTCTATCAAAACTCGGTCTATGGATTGGCCGCTAAACTGCCGATGAAGTACTCAAATGCGGTGGTTCTTGGATCCAACATTAGCGGTGCATTTACTTCAGTCATCAATATTATAGCCATAGCACTGTCACCTAACTTAAGAGTGGCCGCTATCTACTATTTTTTGGCCGCACTTTTAATTTTATTGGCCTGTTTTGACACATATTTTGCACTTCCTTTAAATGTTTGTTTAATTATTTATTTTGTTTTCATTACAAAAGTAATTTTGAATATTTTATTTTCAGAAATTTTTTAGACATTACTGTCTTCAAAATGAAGACGCGATAGCTATGACTGGTGAAGAAGCCAATGAAGAAACTGAGATAAAAACTGTTAATAATAGACCAAATTTATCGCTTTATTGGTTTGTGTTTAAGAAAATATCGGTCCAATGTTTCAACGTATTTATGGTATTTTTTGTGACACTATCTATATTTCCTGCGGTTCACGCAAACATCAAACCAATTGATGTCAACTTTTTTGGTGATCAACCGACTACTGATAAATATTTTACTGCTGTCAACTGTTTTCTTGTGTTTAATATATCTGCAATGATTGGCAACATATTTCCCAATTGGTTTCGGATACCGAGTCCCAAATATTTATGGATACCAGTGGTGTTACGAGTATTATTGATACCATTTTTCCTATTTTGTAACTATCATCCAGAACTGCGTCAGTGGCCGGTTATCATCCAAAATGATTTTATATTTATTTTGGGTGGTATTGTTCTGGGACTATCTTCAGGTTACTACAGTAGTTTATGTATGATGTATGCGCCACGTTGTGTGCCACCCGAGCACGCGGCCACTGCCGGTATGATGGCTGCAGCGAGTCTAGTGATAGGCATTTTTGGTGGCGTCAACTTCTCATTTGTACTCTCGTGGGCCGTCAAACAAAACTGGTTTTGATTTTAATTAGTGTTTTTATAATTTACATCTAATATAATCTCAAATTATTATTTCGACTGTATATCACTCACTCTTATATAAAACATTTTATAACTGATAATAAATCAGTTATAATATACTAAACTTTATCCACAAACATATTTCTCTCACCCACTCATAAGTCAATTCTTTGAATCTCCTCTCTCTCTCTCTCTCTCTCTCTTTAAAATATATTCATTTAATATATAATTCATTTTTAGCACTCATTTTTAAAATTAAAATTGCAACTATTTTTTTGCCTTAATTCTATTCAATATATAATATATATTTACATACAGTTATATATATATATATATATATATATATATATATATATATATACTGTATATATGTATATTAGTAATATAACAAATTTACACAAAAGATATTTTTTTGTAATATCAATTTACAACGATTACTGTAATTTTTATTTTTTACTAAATAGATGTTAGCTTAATGAGATTTCCTAATTTAAAAGCTATCTATTTTTTAAATGTTTCGAAATTTTTAATACTAAATATCATCAAAAGTTCATTTATATTTTATTAGTGACTTAAAGTAATTTTAGTCACGAAATTTGATATCAATAAGTAATATAAATTCTTGATTTTTTCAAGGATTATATAAACCATTAAAATTAAACATTTAGTTTGATTTAATATGTTAGTGATTTTACTTTTTATTATATCTGTTACAAGTTTTTATGCTTTAAGTTAATTTTTATAATTCTTAGCTAAATAGATGATAAATATTTGTTAAGATCCATAAAAATATTACTTAAATTTGTAGACAATGTAATCTCATTTTTAAGTTTAATTTTTTTTAAAATATATATATCTTAATTGAATGAACCTCAGTGCTTAGTCATTATTTAAACTATTTTCAATTAAATATAATAAAATGATTTATTATATTAACATTTGTTGTCATTTGTCATTATATACTGTACAGTATGTCGACAAACATTTATTACAGAGCTTTTAATAGTGTTTAATGTTAAATTATACATGTATTTTTTAATAACAATAATATTTGCTTAATTAATTATGAAGTTTTTGTTTAAATATTGTTAAAGTATTTTGAATAAATTTTAAAATTATATAAAAAAACATCAAACATACTGTATATCATGTAAAACAGATTTGTTATTTTTAAATAATTTATTGATGTTTATCGCATTTTTTACTGTATATTTACATTATTATTTTATATTTTATTCAATTAACTAAACTTGTTTGAAATTATAAAATTAATTAATATAATATTAATATACTATATATAAAATCATATGATTGACAAACAACTTTTAAAATAATTTTTATTGATAACACAATTTATATATTTTTTATAAAATATAGAATATAAATACATTTTAAACAATTTTATAATATATTATACATTATAATTATTTGTACCATTAATTATATATGTTTTGTTGTATTGTAAAATACTTTTGATTCAAAAGCTTCAATGTAAAGAAAATTTGTTAACAAAAAATAAGATAACAAATTATAATAAAACAATTATTTAATTTAATATTCATAATAATTACTTAAATAATATGTTGGACTAATAAGCAACTTGTGATCACAAATTGGTGATTAAATTTGTAGTAATAATATAATTATGAAATTCAGTTGATTGTTGTTGTCGTGCGATCTCTGAATATATTCTCAATTTCGGTCAAAGATTTGCCTTTAGTTTCGGGCAAAAGTAAAGCAACAAATACTGTACAACAAAAGCAAAGGATTGAAAACAATAAATAAGTGCCGCTTTCCAGTAGTGTATCAATTAATGTATGAAACAATTTAGTTATAATAAACGCAAACAACCAGTTATATGATGAACACAGACCAGAAGCCACACTCTTAACGTTTGCCGGCAATAGTTCGCTCATCAGTAGCCATGGTATGGGTCCCAAACCCAACGAAAAGGCTACCATAAATGTGATCAATGCCACCACTGGTATCCATCCATAAAGCTTTTGAAATTCACTTCCTTTTGCATCACATAAGAAATGATATATTGATAATAATAGCAGTGAAAGACCGCAACCAACAGATGATAATAAAATAAGTGGTTTTCTACCGGCTCTGTCAGTCAATAAACAGGCAGCAAATGCTGCCACAACTTGAACAGCACCGACAAGAATAGTAGCATCACTGGCATCGAGTGAATGGGAACCACTGCTTTTGAATATATAAGTGGTGTAAAAGATCAACGCATTGACACCAGAAGATTGCTGAAAGAACATCAAAGCCAATACTAATAGAAATGGTTTTATCACATGACGTCTTTTGAACTCTAAAAAGACAGACGATTTGTTCTCTTCTGTTGTCGTGCCATCAGTTGAGACCGTATTTATCGATACTTCGGCATTCATTTGTTGACTCGAATCTAATCCATGAAGAAATATATTTGCTTCAGTGGCCTCTGAGATTCGGCCTCTTTTGATGAGCCAATAAGGCGTTTCCGGCATTAAACACATCATTATTAACATAATTATCGGGAATATAGAGCTTATAATGCAAAGGTAGGCCCACGAGACGTATTTGCCAGCGATGAACGATATGAGAACACCGACGCAAATGGATAATTGAAAACCTGAGCCTAAAAATCCTCTTTTGGATGGATCGGCCGTCTCTGCTATATATACAGGAGCTGTCAGTGATATCAGACCACAACAGTAACCAGTAATAAATCGACCGATCAGTATGGCTGACGGAGACTCCATACGTCCCGCATATGCCATCAGAAGCCAACCGAAGACAAAGGGAATCGAAGTCATTATTAGTGTTCCTTTGCGTCCAATGTATTCAATTAGTGAACCTTTGGATCAAACAAAGTGGTCAATCAGTAATCAAATTATTTAATCAACAAATGCATTGCAATACCGGCACAAATGCTTCCCAAGACTGCACCCAAAGCCATAAGACTTCCTAACCATGAAATTTGATTAGTGGAGAGCTTGACATGACTTCCCTCTGATTGAACACTTGGAATGGCATTAGCGGTGTATCCGACAACTGTTCCCAACGCCAGTGACCCAAACCATGAGCTGAAGGATGCTATCATGTATTTGGCATATCTTGATTCAGATGATATCAACAACGATGTGTCAGCCATTGTCTTATTGGGTCTTAAGAAGCAATAAAACACTTAACAGACAGTCGTTACGTATGTTTAAAACGTCTTAAGTTAAGACTCTTAACTAATACTCTGATTGAATGCAATCATAAATAGTGTCAAAACATTATGTGATTTATAACTAATAAATTTTAAGTAAATTAACTTTAAATTGTCAACTGTTTTGTTGAAATCAATTTTATGTCTGATTTTTAAAACAAACAAAACAATTGTTTTTCAATGAATATATAACTCAATCGATGACAAAATTTTTTGGTCAAACAAATGCTATAAATTAATTGACAACAAAAAAGTGCACAAATAGTGTATCAAACAATTCATATGATTTATAAATATAATCATATCTTCCAAACATAACAAGTGATTGCAATCAATAAATAAAATTTTATTATTATTATTGTATTTCCTATTTGTATTAATGCACTCAAATAATTATCAATATATTGACTGTACAATACAGGTGCCACCTGTACTTACTATAGTTTTTTTTGTATTGTACTGTATGTGTAAACTTTACACTTTTAAGCACTTGGAGGTTGTATTTAGAAAGAGAGAGAGAAAAAAAATTCAATGATGTGATCATTTACCATAATTACCTATTGTACAGGTGATAGTCAATATATAGGTATAATGTGTCATTTATATGATATACATAAATATTATATATAGGATTTATGGTACAGTAAACAGACAGATAATAATTTTTTAATTAACTTTTTTTAAGTATTAAAAATACTAACAATTTATGCACACAATGTTGGGTCACTCTAATTGCATATTTGAAGTGCACTTAAATAGCATACTGTACTGTATATGATATATCACAGTAAACAGTATTATATGATTACTCGAGTGTTTTAATTTAAGTGATTGCTATATTAAAATTTGTAATACAATATTAATATTAATAACTTTGTTTTATATCAATACAATTAAAACTGTATTATTTACATGCATTAAAACTTTTAAAACTTACAATTGTAATTGTATTGATTTGCCAGCACTGTACCATTTTATTATACCTTTACATTACAGTAGTATTATACAGTACAATATATGTATAATATCATATGTATTAATAATATTTTAGACAAATGCAAATTATATATTTTTTTTTAATTAATATAAATTATAATAATTTATAAATTGGGTTTTTATATGCACGCAAAATAATTAACAACATATTATAATAACTAATGATAACTAATTTACTGATCATTTGAATAAAAATAATTTTTTATTTAATCTATTAGTTTATTCCTAGCTATTATTAAATTCTTGTATAATATACTATAAGCATTACATAACATATAAAATTATTTATTTAGTAAAAAAAAGTTATAAGAAATTATTTGAGTCCAAACTTATAAACAGTTGTCTGATTGTAAGTCTGTTTGGGTGATAATACCACTTGTTTTCGCCAATTGTTTTCATTGATAGCATTGGGAAATCTCTGGGCTTCCAAACAAAATCCTGAGTTTTTCTTCAAAGTCGTCGGTGTCAGTGATTGACTTGTTTTGGTCACTTGAGCTGAACTAACATTATTTCCCGTATAAAATTGAAATCCCGGTTCAGTAGTTGAAAATGTTAATGTAATTCCCGTTAGAGGAGAGTTAACCACAACTACAGACTCTTGAATTAATGGATTACCTTTAATGTTGTAGTTTTGTTCATTTGTTTCAATAACATAGCAATGATCGTAACCATTAGGCATCACTTGATTGATTCTCTCGCCAATTGTATGCAATTCTTCACCATCTTTGGTGGCAAAGTCCATAACTTGTGTATCAGTTTTGGTGGACAGTATACGACCGGTTGGTTGAAATGAATCATTGATTTCCAGATAATTTTGGGCTTTCATTAATACTTTATGGTTGAGTACATCCAATTCATTATCATTAGTACAACCGTTTAAGTTAAAGTATGAATGATTTGTTAAATTAACAATTGTGTCAATTAATTGATTATCACTTAGTTTTGCCAAATACTCTAATCGCAACTCATTGTCTTCAGTTACTGAATAAGTTATCTCTACTGCGAGCTGACCCGGATATCCTTCTTCTTCATCTTTGGAGACCAATCCAAGAGTTATTGATTGATCCGTTTCTTTAAGTAAATTCCATTTCTTTTTATCAAAACCTTCAATACCTCCGTGAAGAGCATTTGGTCCGTTATTAAGTGCCAATAGATATGTTTGTCCATTCAATTGAAAATTACCATCTATTATACTATAATATTTTTAAACAAGTTTTATGTTAAATATATATACTGTATAAGTAAAATATAAAATATTATTATTTTTATGTCAAAATATTGATTCAAACCGATTACCGCAGCGACCAATAGCTGCACCAAAAAATGGATTTCTGCCTCTTTCACCAAAATATCCGTCCAAATCGTCCCAACCGAGTACTACATCTCTAGTTTGACCAGTTTTATCGGGAGTCAAAATATGAGTAATAGTTGCGCCATAGTCTATGATTTTGACCACTAAATTACCCGATTTATTGCTTAATGTATATTGATTTATATTATTCTGTTTATTATACACTTGAGTTTTTACAGGCATTTTAAATAAGAATTTTTATGAACTAAATTAATATTAAATTTAAGATAATTATTATTAAACTATTTATATAAAACTTAAAATATTTCAATATTATTGTAAATAAAATGAAAATTTTAAAAGTCGTAATTAATTTGGTTAAACAATTATCTCAAATGTCATACATAACCTTGATTTTATATAAATGATGATTAGAGCAAAATATATACTGTACTATAAATATATATATATATATAACTATAAAATTTATTAATCAATATTTAATTCATATTCAATATTATATATTTTTAATAAATATAATCAAAAAAAATCTTTGATAATTTCTTAAAAAATTTTAAAATATCAATACTATAAATTAGATAATATTAAATGTTTAAAATTTTAAAAAGTCTTTAAAGTAACTCAATGTCATAAAATTGTTTACTGATAAATTGATAAGTAATATTAATATTTAATAATAAAAAGTTTAGATTAATTAGTATAATTAATTTAAACTAATTATTTTATTTATTAATTAATAATAATTATAATTTCTAATATACTATCTATAATAGATTATCTTTATACTGTATATTTTGATTTTTACTATGTGGATGTACACACATTATAACTTTAATTTATTGATTTATTATTGAAAATTATTTTCTATTGTGTCTAATTTTTCTATTATGCGTTTTTAAATTTTACTTAAATAGCTTTGAATAAATAAATAATTAATTTCCAAAAATATACAGCTAGATAATACATAAATTAGTTTATTTTATAAATTACCGTAAATATAATTTTTAAAAACTAATTGTATATTAAATTAACAAATAGTATTTATTATACTTTTTTGAAAAATATTATTTTTTTAATAGTAAAATAACTATTAATTACATTAATTATTAATATCATGATAACATCCAATTAATTTTTAATATGATTTCAAATATCTACAGTACATGTTTATAATGTATAGTTATAGAAATAATTAAATTTCAATAGAAATGTTTTTGGTTTCTTTATAATCATCACAATTAACGATATCTTGATTGTGGTCTAAATCAAGATAATTATCATCTAATGTTTTGACTTCAGTGATGTCATTGATTTTATTTGTTAGTTTCAATTTTTCCACTCTTTGCTTGATATCAGTCCTAAACCCCGCTTGACTTGAAAACGGCACAAATATTGATATAAATATTAGTATCAAATGAGTGCCGAAATCAAAATGAATAGTTGGTATGTGTTGTAGTAATGAATCACTAATTGTCAATAAATTATTATCAGATAAACCATTGCTTTGGTTCAGCAAATTATTTAAAATAACTAACGGTCTAAACAGTAATAGCCATAAAAAGTTTATATATAAACAAACACCTAATACAACATCATTTGAACAGTTGTGGTCATGACTGTCGATATTAGCTATGAAAATATATAAGTGAATAAAAAATTAGTCAATCATTAAATTAAAAAATTATATTTTTTTTCCTTTAAAAAAAATTTTGTTTCTTACTTACAGCTATTGGTAAAAGATTTTGGTAAATAATTAGCGGTCAAACAAATTAAGAGCAAAGCTGTTAGTGGTATTACAAGTACCACATAATGCCAACATATCTGTGACACGACAGCATTTGACAGCTTATGGATACATATGATAAAGCCATCGGTGGCCAGCTTTGAGTTGGTCTCAATTGAACTGTTAGAAAGCGGAACTCTGTCCAGAAAGTGATAGCTGTTGTTGTCGTCGACATTAATAATCTCACCAATTGTTAAGTAAACCAATTGAGGTATTATCCATGCAATACATGCCGCATAGGTCAATGTCTTGGCCCGTTTCGGTGATAATGTGTCGTACAATTTGCGGACACACAATAAGGCCAACAAAATTGTCGTTATCTGACCACTAACTGTGTGTTGGATAATACAATGATCTCTAATGTCTAACAATGGCCACACCGTTGAGTTATAAAACGAATGGAAAAGATATGGCAACCACGAGGACAGGTATGCACACGACGATGCAATTGTTATGGCACAGGTAGTCGTGTGGACACAATGTTTCATCCGATAAAAAATCATTTTAATTAAACATAAAAAGTTTATTACAAATAACGCCGAAATAAATGAAAAACGAAGAAAAGCTGATGTATTCAATAGTTGTGACATTTTGATCGATAATTTTAATATTATATAATATAATGAAAATTAGTAATCATTAATATTGAATTAGTTAGTCATATAATTATAATAAATATTTTAAAATCATTTTCTGTGTTAACAATAGATTTAACATTTGTTAGAAAATTTTATATAACTTATTAACAGCATTTATTTTAGTCAAATCAAAAGTTTTAACAATTATATTCACTTTTAAAACAAATAATTTTACTTATTTTTGAAAACAAGTGAATTATCCATACATACAGTTTATGTAAATATATTATACTGAAAGGTATCACATAATAGAAAATTATTATAATAATATATTTATGATAATAATTATAAGTGGTAAAAACAATAAGTTAATTGATGTACAGTATATTACTATATAATAGTGAATGCATTGATGCACTTTCTACTAAAGTAATCAAAAAATATTGAATATTCATTAGAATATATTATATGAGTATATTATAGATATCATAAAAAAATATTAGACAGTATTTCCACTCTATTAGCGAAAAACTTCCGCGTTTTTAAAAAAGGGATTCATTTAATAACTATTGATATTTACACACATATTATGACAGACAGTACCACTTATGCTCTAAAAATATTATAACAATTTTGTTTTGTATTTTAAATTATATGTTATGTAACCGTTTTTAGTGGAAATTTAGAAGAAGAAGAAGCGGTTTTACAAAATACTTTATGCCGTCTGTGTATAAGAAAATTGTTTTTTTATAAATTATTATTTTTAATATACATATAATTATCTAAGTTATACATACAAACACAAACAAATGGGAGCAAACAATTTATTTTATTATTTTTTTTTAAAAAGAAAGGACAGGTTTTCAAGTTCGAGGACATCAACACTACCTTATATTTTAGTGAATTTTATTTATTTATTTTTTTGTATTTTTAAAATTTTGCAATTTTCAACTATATTATACAAAAATATTGATTAAAATGGCTTAAACTTATAAATAAATAACAATTTAATTGACATATTAAAAAATCGGTGTCAAATTGTTTAGTTTTTTTATTAAAACTAAATTTGTATGATATAGCTTATCTAAAATAGTTGAATTAGACAAATATAATTTTAATTTAAAAAGATGAATTCATGTAACGTATTCATTAATAAATTTATTTTTATTGATTAGATAATTGATAAGCATATTCGGAGATGTATTATATAAATATATATATATATCTAACAAATATATTCAAACTTTACATACAATACATTATTTAAAAATAATTTGATAGTGGCTTAGAGTCGCTTAGATTCACTAAAAAATGTTATTTTTAGCATTTGATTGTATTATTAATTGCAAAACATATTTTCACTCTATTGGCGAAAAACTAAATTTAATTTCAAATAACTCATTAATTCAGATAAATAAAGTATAAGTTTTATAAGTTTTAATATAAACTTAACTAATTTATACTTTTATCATTATAATGCTTTAGAAACAATGAGTAGTTTTAATAATTAAATTCACAAACAATTATAATGGTAAAAATTATTATATTAAATATCTTATTATTCAAACTTAAAATGTAACACAATAAAGTTAAACAAAAATTCATTTATATACAATTATAATTGTAATTTAGTTTCAAAAAATATATTCAATAGTTACAGATAATAATTGCTTGTTTTTATTTTTCTTTCAAAATCCTATATTTTATTATTCATAGAAATTTTTAGTTTTCTTATACAATGTAATGGATTGTGAATGAAAAGTAGAATTTTGGGTAAAAATATAATTTGCATTTAATAAGTAAATGAAACTTATTTGAGAAATAATGCAAATGTGAAACAATAAAAAAACAAAACACTAACTTATTGTTTCAGTTGATTTGAAATGTTTTATAAAACTAAATAAATTTTAAACAAAAATTTGTTTTCGTTTAATAACTTTTTAAATAATTGAATTATAAACTAAATATGCTAATCATATATAGTTGAAAAATTTAGTCTATATCAAAGTTTATTAATAATAATTGTTATAAAATTGATAAAAACTTAAAAATTAATCATTTTTCTCTAAACTGATATAAAAAGTTATTTTTTGTAAAAACAAATAATCTAATTAATATGTTTATTTGATTAAGTTATAATAAGGTCTATTAGTTAATTGTTTGTATTGCAATTTTATTTAATATTATATAATTTACAATTACAATAAATGTTAATATTTTATCTTTTAATAATATAAACAGTATCTTATTTAATGAATTATCAATGATTTATATCTATATACAAACTTTAATAATTAGTAAAATGTAAGATTAAATTATATTATTAAAATCATTGGTTCAATATCCTTAAAACTTATATATAATATATAATTTATATAATAATTAAAATTAACAATACATAATTCAATAACTAGGTCGGTATAAATTATTATTATTATATTATTATGATTATACAATATGTCTTTATAGTTTATAAATTATATTAAATACAAAAAACATTTGTACTAAAACATGTTATACAAATTACCTATTGAAACAATATTATAATTTTAATATTATTAAAAATTTCTAGTTCTATATAAATTACACTAATTTTATATCTATTTAATTGTTAATAAAATAAAATTATCAAGTTAAAATCTTAATACTATATAAAAGTACATTATAAATGTTAAAGAATATTATTACACATTATACACATAGAATTTACAGTTTTTAATTATATTTTATACGATATATTCAATAGAAATAATTTTGAAATTTGAATAATTAATTCATTTTTTGTACTAAAACGTAAAAATATGTGTATTAAAAAATATTTTTAGTAATTAACATAATTGGTAAAAGAGTTTATTGATAAAGAATAATATGACTGCACCCACACAAGTCATATCATAACTAAAATGATTTAACTCTATAATAATGTTATTACGTTATATAAAAAACTTAATATTTTATCTAATTTTGTAGCTAAATATAAAAACATGTAAACACACGTTAGGTAAATATTTAGACCACATTTGAAAATAATATATTATTAATAACATTAATCATTAAATTAAGATATAAAAGGCTTGACAGTTGATAAAAAAAGTTATTAATATATATATATATATATATATATATATATATATCAGAGTTAAGCAAGGAGATAGGGTAGGGTATGGCCATATTACCCCCCAAGAGCAAGATTTTGGGAAATTTAGCCCCTCCTTAGATCTTTCACTTAATCAAAAAAATTGTCGCTAAAAAGAATATTAATCCATTTTAAGCGATTTAACAAAAACAGATCCCTTTCCCTAAAACTTTGACGATCTTAATTAAAATATTAGACTAAAATATTAAAAATTTTTGGAAAAAAATAATTATATTACAAGTAAAATATGATTTTAAGATAATATTATAATGTTTTTATTAATTATTTTTAAATTTTACATTTTAATTGAAGAATTATTTATTATTTCTTTAGTTATTAATAATTTCAGAAAATATTCCAAGAAATTAGGAAATTTATTGGGAATATTTTCCTATTTTCCTGGGAATTTCCTCCCATTTACATAAGAATATTCGGGCATTTAAGGCATTTTTAAGGACTTTTCTCTTGACCTCCCTTTTGATTTTTAACTTTTGAAAACATTGCTATTAAAAATACAATAAAAAGATACACCATATCTATATACCCCAAGAGTTTTCTAGATTTTTCCATTTTGCCCCACCCTATACCCTCTACAATCCAATATCTTGCTTAACCCTGATATATATATATAAACTTATTAATTTTAATTTAGTTAATTAAATTAAAAATAACTAATATTAATTTAACTTTATTATTAATAATTTTGAATGTAAAATTAATTATTACACATTTTTAAAATTAATTTCTACTGTAGATTAAATTTTAGACTATATTTAAAATTAGATTTTGCCAAAAAATTATTCAACAATAAAAAATCATTAATAACTAGTAATTATATTTGCAGAACCTGTAGTATACATATGTAAAGAAAATAATTTTTTTAAAATCAATGAAAAATTTAATAAGAATATCAATTAATAAAAATAATATGAAATTAATTGATTTAAGTATATGTTATGTCATATATTAATATAATTTAATATCAATATAATAAGTGATACTATTTTTATAGTGAAAATAATCATTTGAAGAGCACATGCATTAAGTGTATGAAAACAATAATCATATAATATATTGAAATGACAACAAAAATAATATAACATTTTATTATTATTTACAATCAATTGGCTAAAAATGTTTTGTAAGTTTTATGAATGAAATGATTATGTATTGTAAGTATTGAGAGGGGAATGGTATGTAAGGTATGTTTAGTACTAATATAACGTAATGTTTGAATGGTATGAATGGTTGACGTAAGTGTTGATTACGTTATGTTCGCCATTATGTGCATTGAATGGCATTTTGTGTGCAAAACAACACTATATTTACAATCAATTCAATTGATTTGCTGTTCAATAGATTTTGTTGAATATATTTAACTAACAATAAAAACAATTTATTTTTAATTTGTATTTTAATTGGTATGACATATGAACTGTCGGTAACTAACATTGTGGCCAACAATTGATACAATTATAATATTGTCAGTAAATATATATTATTACAAACAAACAAACGGATTGTCAATACAGAGTAAACATCAAACCATTGGATCCAAATCTCCTCTGAGTTATTGTCATTGAATGTCATTATTATCTGAAGATAAATCCAAACAAATGTCGGCAATCAGTCCTCAGCGTAAAAATCGTGGTAAATGTAAAACAAAAAACACGAGAAGTGGATCTGTGGACCAAATCCCACCTCAGGTATTGACAACACGTCGATCACATGTTTATAGTCATCGTTAGTAAACATTTGATTTGTTTTTGATTATCAATCAGGTGTTGGATGAGATCAATCGATTTCTTGAAGGAAGACATTCACCATTGGGTGATGTGGACATCGATATGAGTGATTGCAAACACGACAAGACTTTTTTGAAAGATCATAACAGCAAAGAGGTTGTGTTGGAACCGAAGGCCGGCCGATGTCTACTTTGTCGGTGTCCTCATAATCCCGATAGATCTCGACTACAGTCAGGTATTGCACGTGAATCACATAAATGTCATAAATTGTTTATTTAAATAAAAATAAACTTATTTTTAATGACTTTTTTTTATTGTAAATACTAATTGTAATAAATTTGTATGTTTTATAATATTTTAATGTTAGGATCGGATCAGTTGTCAGACACACCACAAGTATCGCTTTGGTTTTGCAACTCGTGTAAGAAGATTGTGGAAAAGGAAAGGGAATCTAATTGTTCGCTGACACTGAAAGTAACGGCCACTAACACTACCGACTGTTCGACATTAAGCGCCACAACCACTATATCTTCTTCGACATCAATTGCCACCCAAACGACCAACACGTCATCGACGACAACAACCACATCGACTTCCATATCGGTGACTACAAGTTCGTGTTCGTGTCCATTGTGTAAGCGTCACGATGAGCATCAATCACCTCACGAGGATCTACGCACGTGTTGGCACGAACTCAAGTCGGCAATTCTCCGCATTTACCGCGAGTCAGGACTTGTACTCAACCAGACATTTATGCAACAAAACCGTATGGAACTGACTCTTCAACATAAGGGACCCCTTCCTTCCAATGATAAACTCAAAGAAATTGTTCACAAGTAAGGCTCATATTATTTTAGATTATTGTTATTATTATTATTATATCTAATAATATAATCATTTTTTGATTGTTTGCATGTATTTTAACAATTTGTTTTAATAGTATAATTATTTTTAATGTGTTTTGAAATACCGGTGCTTTTTTGATAAATGCTTCTCCGATTTTTGAGGAATGCCTACGCATAGTCTGGTGTGTGTGTGTGTTTAAGTTGATAACTACCGTATATTTATACTGTATTATTACACTACAGTAAATGATTTGCCTCTCGTCCCACATAACTATTTGTCCGCACTGTTTGGCTCAATAGGCCTCTCCTCTCATTTATTATTTAAATGGCTGAATAGAAATATTTTTATTTTATTATTAATAAAGTTTTCAAAAAAAAATTATTATTGAAACATGTTTTCACTAACCTTAACAAAAACATGTCATATTTTGTGACTAAATTGATAAATAACAATAAAATTGCATAACATTAAAGATACAGATAAAAACATGAAAACAATTAATAACAATATAAACATATTTATTCAAAGCGTTTATATTGTCATTCAAGTGTTAATAACCTTATTATTTAAACGACACGATTTCCATATGTTTTAATAACACCCGCATTATATACTTTACTATTGTTAGCTATAAGTTATTTATTTATTTATATTTTATAATTAATATATTTTAATTAAACTTATATTAACTTTTAAGTTACATTATTACATTAAAATGTAATAGTATAGACTGCATGCATAACTTATATGTAATATACAGTATAAATATAGTAAAGATGAAAAAGTAATTTATAATTTTAAATTATTCAAATTATATTTAAAACACTTAAATTAAAAATATTATAATATTGTTTAAAAAGTTTTGACTAAATGATTTAATTAATTTATTAACAATATATAGACTGTGTGTTCACGATCGACATAAGCTTTATCAATGTCTAGAAGCACAGGTACGGCTGTTTGTAGTGGAGATGCGTCTAAACCTACTGAAGCATTTAGAACAGGGCTCTCAAGCGCTGTTTGAAGCAATGATAGATCAGTACAGCAAACTTTGTCGGGCGTCGAAAAAAAGTGCACAATTCCTGCAAGAATTAGAGTCTAAACATTTACGCAAATTCAACCTGACCTGGGAGTTCCTCAATAGACGACTCTTCCAAAGCACTGTCTATTCCGATACTTTTATCAAACACGGACTTCCTAAGTATGACATACCTCTCTATTCATATGATAGTTGTCATCGATTTTTATTAATGAAACAAAATGTTTGTAAATATCAGGTTAACAGCGCTAACGAAGGATCGGTCCCTAATTGATATGTACGCCCGGTTTCTCAAGTTTGAGGACGAAATGACAGTTATATCAGTTGTTTGGCGCGAAGCCCAACAGTTTATTGACAAATATGAAAAGGTTTGATCACTCTTTGGTTTTATTAAAATTATTTATTTAATTGTTATTATAATTAGTTTGCAATATTAAATAAGAAGAGGGCACTAATCAAAGAATGGGAACAATTTAGTGTCGAATGGGTATTAGATGATCACGTGTCGGGCAGTGTCGCCAATAAAAGTAAATCAGGAGAGAGTCCAATGTGTATAAAGAAGCCATCGATTGAGTGTCTAAACGCTCGCTTTCTTGAGGAACAGAAACTGTTAAAATCTGGTAAAAACATGCAATCCGTTAACTTAGAGGTGGAAACACATTCAGCACTACAGGAACAGACATTACTGGCCGCTTATGGCGAATGGGATGCCATTGATATCAAAGCCATATCAAGTCTTCAGGCATCTAATAAACATCTAAAGTCTGCCACTGCTTCCACACAAGTGGATCTACTGTTGACCAATAAAGCTAAGAATGAATTTCAAAAGGCTACCGATCATCACACTCATGAAGATGACGATTGTGATGATGAAGAAGAATGTGATGACGACGATGAAGATGTTGATGATGAAGAAGACGACGATGAGGACGACGATTCGTGTTCTGATCAGAGCTCAACCACTTCGACTTCAACGAGTAATGCTCAGCGAGGAGAAGGCGGTCGTGTTTGTGATTGTTGTTATTGTGAAGTCTTTGGTCACGGAATGCCATCCGTTGCGCCCACTTCTCGAAATTACAATGAAATGAGGGAACGATTGAGAATGAGGTTAAGTAAACGTAAAGCAGAAAAGTGTGAGAAAAATGTGACTCAAATTGGAAGTCAAATAACAATTGATAACAATTTTAAACCAAAAGATAAAGAGATTGAACAGAGAGATGATCGTGATTTGGAGGAATTGATTAACTTTATTAATGGTACTGATAGTGGTAATGGTAAAGAAAAGAAAAAGAAAAGCGAAAAACAAAAGAAACAGAAAAATAAAGATAAGAAAACGGTTTCCGATATTAAAGACTCTAAAAATACTTCCAATAATATTAATATTATTAATAATAGTAATAATAATAACAATAATAATATTAATATCAAAGAAGTGGGAAGTAATTCCAATACAAAAACTGCCGATAATTTGAATAAAAATCATAAAAATGATAAAATTAATGACCACTCAAAGGATACTTTGCTTATCAATCACAACAATAATGTTAATAATAATAATAATATTTGCCATCAAAACAAACCAACTAAACCACTAAAAGAACAAAATCAAAGCACAAAATGTGAATCACCGAAATTGACCGACAATTCTAAGTTAAATTTAATGGTTAACCAACATCTCAATGATCAACAACAACATCAACCAATGATTACTTATAACAACAATAGTATTAATGGTATGACTAATGGCAGCGCAAAGAACGCTAAAATTAATGGAAACAACAAAAAGAAGATTAAAATATCAAAAGAAGAAATTAATTCAAACCAAATCCAAAATATTAATAATAACAATAAGATTTCGAGCGAACCGATTGTCAATGGGATCATTGGACACCACAAACAAAATGGAACAACTGTTATGTCTAACGGTTCCCTCAAACATCACCACCAAATGAACTCATTGAACAGTTCTCAATCACCCGAAAGAATTGATAATAACTCAGATGTTGTCAAACAAAACAAACAAAAGCAAAATAAGTTGAATAGAAACAAAAAGAAGAATAACATCGAAGAAACACTATCTCCAGGTCTATACATATATTTAATTATATATTTTTCATGTATTTAATCGGATTATTATTATTATTATTTTAGATGAAGTTTTTATGCCAAAAGACATTGATTTGGAAAATGGAGAATTAGATGAGTTTGAGAAAGAATTAGAGGCTTTCAAAAGGTTTGTCTTTTATTTTAATTTTTTTTAAGTAAATATTTTCAATAATTACTAAAAATCTCTATTATTTTATTTGAATAATATTTAGGTTCTGTTTTAATTCGGTTCCGCTTAAAGTCAAAGAGAAAGTCAATGTAAATCTTAAAGACATTGTCATTAGGAAGAAAAATGAATAATTTGTCGGTTAAACAAACAAACAAAAAGTAAAATCCTATTCAATTGGTGGCAAAATGAAAAACAAAAAAAACTTGTAATTGTGATAATGCTATTGATTATAATTATCATTATATTATTGGAAATTCGTTAATCCCTTCTCTTTAATCTTATTTATATGTCTCCCATACTGTATGTCATATATCAGACACTTTTTCAAAATGAAAATCGGAAAAGTATATATTGTTTTTAATTAATAAAAGAGTTATTAATATGAGGTGAAAACATTTGACATATTTTTAAAAAATATAATTATATATAATTTTATTATTATAAGTAAAAATGTCTGTAATTATTAAAGAAAAAAATGAAAACTATATTAACTTTTTAAAGATTTTTTTTCATTTAAATATTTTTAATAATTTTTATGAATTTTCCCCCTTATCTCGAGTTTATTTCTTTTCGCAATTTTTCGCGAAACGATTTGCGAAAATAATAATAATATTATATAAATAATATTATAATTATGAATAATTATTAATGTATTTGTTTTTATTATTTTAATTATTATTATCATTTAATGAGTTTAGAAAAATGGAAATAAAAATACAATATACTGTGTATATATATACATATACAATACATATGTTATATTTAATAATAATTATAATTAGTGTATGATATTCAGTAAGTATTGGGATTGTCGATAAATATTATAGTATTTTTCCGCTATTGTTATAAAAATGTTTTAGAAAATCACAAACGATTAATAGGGAGTTATTAAACAAATCGTGTAATGAATGAAAATTTCTAATGAATACAATTTATAATTGAATATACAGTAAAATGTAAACAATTTTCTCATTAAAATTCATTAATGAATTTCAACTGAATTGAGGTCTTCTCAGATAAATACAGGTTTGTTATAATAGATGGTTTGTATGACAACATCGACTAGGAGTGACCTAATGCTACCCTTAAATGATGTTTTCGACTTACGGTCTGAATTGATGGCTAAATCCTGTTCCTTCCCTTGTCTTTACTAAACAATTATTTAATTGTTTAAAAATAACTTCTTATATAAATTGTTTTTTATTGTCAAAACAATTAATATTAATGGCATTATTATTTATTTTTTATAAAAATATTTATAGCTTTATTGTTTTGAATTTCCCATTTAATCTATTGTATAATTAAACAATAGTTAACAAATTATTTTACATATATTTTTAATATCATTTTTGCATAATTTACAAAAAGTCAATATTTTTGCATATATTCAACAAACATTTAAATGAAAAACAGTTGTTTATATAAATATTATAATATATAATAATTTATAAATTATATTATAAATATATTAAAAATATCTTCAAAAATAATTTACATAATAGTTCTAATATTAAAAGCTCTTAAAAAAATTATTTATATAAATATAAAATAGATGTTATATAAAATATTATAAATTGATATATTTTATGACTTATTTTTGTTTAATAATTAATGACTGATAATATTTCAAAATATATTAAATACAATTTTATAAAATATTTACTTTGCATAAATATAAGTTATTGTATTCGTTTATATTATAAAATATATTTTTATATAAATAATGTATATAAACTTTAAGAAAATTTAAATACTATAGAAAATACTATAGTTTATTTATAAAAGTTAGTTAAAAAATTAATAATAGATTGCATAAAATTTGCACTAATATTTTTTTGTTTATTAAAAATAATATTATATGGACTTTACCGGTAAAGTCTGTAGTAAATAAAAATCTGTTAAACAGTATATTCAATATAAAAAATATTTAAAAATATGTTTTAAGGTTTTAAGATATTAGATGTTATAAAATACTACTACATGTATAATTGTACCGGATATATATTTTAATACTAAATATTATATTTTAAATATAAAAATAAATAAAAGGTATCTATTATATAAAAATGACCAGTGCAAAAATTATGCAAACATTATTATATATTAAATAAATAAATAATTCTAAAAAACTATATAAAAATATATTACTCAACATTAATATCAGTGTAGATCTGAAACCACCACAATTGGTGAGTGTCGTCATCATTACAATCAGCCATTTTGACATCGGAACCGCTGTCTAACTCAGAAGTGGTCATACATTGACCGGTATATTCATTAATTATTTGACCACCTTTTGTATGTTTCCACAATTGTTTCTTCTTTTCCAATCTTACAGTGCGCTTACGTCTAGCTTTAGTAAACTTTAAATCAACACATTTGGACATTTGTATGACATCGGTGTCGGTCTCAGCTGTAGCACAACTCTCCTCTCGTCTCAGTTCTCCCCTATTGTTTAGTGTAAATACTTGATTAGTCCATACATCCTGTGGTCTATCGGGTGCACAGATATATAGACCTAATTATGTGTGAGAAATGAAAAGAAAATATAGTTTATATATTGAAATAACATTTTTATTTACGAGAAATAATACCTAAATTATGATCTTTGTCTTCTTCGCGATTCAAATTATCGAGACATAGGTTTGATATGCCGTTCCGCACATACCCGTAGGCTCGGGAGTCCTTATCAAATATATACTTATCTTCAGTATATATGTTCTTTAAATACCAACTAAAAGATTTACATTTCAGGCGTTCCTTAAGAGCTAATCTTTTGCTCAGATCGCCGGCGTCGGCATTCTTGAGGTCACTTCGATGCATAAAGAAATACTTCTGATAGTCATCCATCCATACTTTGACAGTACGTAATGTATTGATTCCGTGCGTATCTTTGCCATTGAAAGAGTATGGATGATAATCACGGAAAATATGGCCGACATGACTGCACGGATGAATTTCCAGACGACCACCGCATTGCCAAATACGGAACGATAGTTCGAGGTTCTCTCCGCCCCAGATCTCCATCGATTCATCATAAGAGCCGATCTCGAAAAAGTAGTCCTTATTAATAGCAAATAATCCGCCGGCCATTGTTGGCGACAGTACTGCTTTTGTCGGTGCTTTTCTAGTGGCGTCTTCATTGATGTCAATCCATGTGAAGTGTCCGCTCCACGTAAAGCCTCCCACTTGAAAATAATATGGATTTCCCGCATAATATTCAAGTGTCTTATCAGATATCACATCAATCACAGGACAGATCACATTTCGTCGGTCTTCTTTAATACGATAAAGCAATGGTTCCAACCATCCGACTGTAACTTCAACGTGACTGTCCAGAAATACAATTACATCTCCCTGTGCTTTACGGGCTCCTATAAGTCTAGCCCTAATAAGTCCTTCTCTTTTGTCAAGTCGTATCACATTTACCCGATCACCGAAAAAATAATTCAGGTATTTGTCTAACAAATCTTTTAGTTCAATTTTATCACTGAAATCGTCGACTAAAATGATTTCTTTGAGCAAAATATCGGGCGTTCGGTTCCAAACCGACCAAATAGTTCTTATAAGTGCCGACCAAATCTCGTTAGTATATATGATCACAATAGAGGTCGAGCTTAATGTCTTTAAGTCATACTCTACTTTAGAGCATTCATAGGGACGGGCGTCAGGTAGTGACCGATTGGGATTAATCCGGTCGGAGATAAATACATCGAAAGCACCCGATTTGAACATCTTTTTCGATATCTCCTTGTCTTCTTCGTTTGTTAAGCTCACAGCTATACCTTTATCGCCCCAACCGTTGACCACAGGATTTAGTTTATGAAACAGTTGCCAGTCTTTGGCACTCAACTCAATCACAGATACTTTGGAAGATCTCTTGGGATGTAATTCTTCAGATAATTCGTTTTGAGATTCAAACAGAAACGATGAGATAAATGAAGAGCTTTGATGTTTCGGTTTAATGGTTCGCATTAGTAGAAGAAATATGAGCGCCAAAGACACAAACAAACACATGACACGAATTATTGTCACTTTATTGCGGCGGATCCGGTAAAGCGATAGTCGACCGATGAATGACATTTTGTCGGTCCAAACGGATTGATGGCTCGGATTTAAGGACACTATATCAGACACACTATTGTTGGGACATCGATGACAAACAACTATTTGGATATCTATTTTGGATCAAATGTTAGTCAATCAATACATTTACCTAATTATCATAAAGTATATGATATAACATCTGTTTTTATAAAAACACTTACAACTGATTTTTGTTTTTAATAAATCAATCAATTAATCAATTTATATATTAATTAGTTGTCTTCATAACAATGTGTTGACACTTCATCAGTAATGATGAAGACATTGATGATGTGTTGGCAGTGATTGTCAATCGGTGTCAATGTTTTGTGTACTGACTGTGAGTTTGAGTCAAACACTTGTTATTATTTAGTGCTATGTTTTAGTCCACGTGTGATGTGTTGTAGTGTTTGACTCAACAACAGCTGTCATACAATTGGTATTCAATATTATTTACAGACAATCACTGTATGATTAACATCACTATTATATCATTCAAATATCACTCCTCTCTCTCTCTCTAAAGTATAAGCCATAAGATATTATAACTAACATATCGTTAAAAATATAAGAACTGAAAAAACTTTATTTATATAATAATTAATATTTTATACTAATCTTAATTATAATATATTTTTTAATTATCATAATTTTGATAAAATATGAGATAAACTGATAGTGCATTAAATATGCTAATTAACTAATTTGAATAATATATCATTTTATATAGGAATTCAATGAGACAATCATTTTTCTAAAAAAAGTATTTTATTACTATTAATAAATTAAATAAATTAAATCTATTGCTAACGTTAATAATTAACTATTAGGTTATATTTGATAATTCATTTTATTATTCTTTAATATTTATAGTTATTTTTGTTAGTTTGTTATTTACAATTTGTAAAATAATATACAGTAAAAACTCTAACAATTGTGATAAGATAGCCAATAAAGGAGTCATAACTCTAGTATTACATAATATATTTTTAATATAATATTTACAACTTTTGACTCATTTATTACATGCAATAAAATTAAAGCAATAATTTTTTTTTTTTTGAATAATAAATTATATTTGATTGACAATTATGTTTATTATATATTATTTATATAAATTATATAATTTTAAATATGCTTATCAAATACTTTGAATTATTTATGAATAATTAAAATGATTAGATATATAGTAATATTATTAATGAGATAATAGTGGCCGACAATTGACCAAATGTTGTGACAAAAGACGATAACATTGTCGATATGATTGATTGGTCCGATTCAACACATTTCATGACTTTCATTATATCAATTGTTATTAAAAATCCATTACTTATTGCTAGAAATATATTTGCCATTAAATAAATTATATCATTAGTGACCAAAATTGGTAATTCACGCGTTTGTGGCGATAAATTGCAAAACATATAAAATGGTATTAATAATAATCGCATAACAATTAAAATCAATTTTATTGATTTTAAATGTTTTTGATAGTTATCTGAAAATTTTGTTAAAAGACATCCAAACGATGAAAAACTATTAAATAATAAATGTGTTGTTATTGGTATCCAATAATGTAATGGTATAATTGTTGATAATATAGATTTAAAGTATATATTAATTAATATATAAGGATATATTGAATATGTGATTAAAGTTGTCAAATAAATATTTAGATAAAATTTCCAGCATTTTCTTAAAATATTATTTAAAGAATATTCTTTATGTTTGACATTAGATTCACCAAATTTTTCATCAGTTTTATTCCGAAATTTACTTTTATAATAGCGATAAAAACACTAATTATTAAAAAAAAAACTTTTATTAATATAAAAATAATATTTAAAAAATAATGAAAATGAAAGAAAACATACATTTAATGGTAGAATATAATAGCTATCAAAGCAAACCAAAAGTAGCAAAATTAATACAACAAAGTAGTAAATTTGAACCACTTTTTGATTATTAATTAATAATTGTAGCACTATTTGCATCAGTGATACTAGAGTTCCCGATAAATATATGCCAAATATAAGGATACGGATATAATTCAATGGTAATAACGAAGTGATTCCGTAAATACAGTTTTGTGAAATGGCATTCAATGTCATTAATATTATCATCAAAACTGATAATGCAATTGTATAGATAAAAAGATTACCATTTACTGCAATTTGTTGAATCAATAATATTAAACTTATTGTAATTGATTGTAATGTAAAACTATATGTAATTCTTTGGTTAATAGTCCAAATTGGCCTAAATATATACAATAAAAAAGTCATATATATATATAATTTAATTGAAATTATTGAAATTAATTGTAAGATAAATTTACCTGATAGTTAATAAAATGTTAACTATAATAACAATAAGTGATGATAAATAATAAAATATTGTTAAGTATATTATTAAGTGTTTCGAATCGATCAGAATTTGTTCGTTTAATATATTTGTATAATTAAATGCAAAAATTGATTTATAGTCTTCAAATTGCTAGAATTTATATAGAAATAATAATTTGTATTATAGTAGACTTGATTTAAAACAAATAAATTATTTGAAACATACATTTAATGCATTAAATACAATATTTGATGGCAAAGATATAGCGATTCCCTGTAAAATAATTATGACGGCAACCAAATTAAAACGATCGGTCGGTTGCGGCCAAACATAAGTGACTGATTGAGTTCGCAGTAATTTAGTCGACGATTTCCAAACGGGTTTGATATCTATTGGTTTGCATTCAAAAACATTTTCATTTAATTGATATTTGTCTTCATTATAATCTTTAATACATTTCAATTCAATTGCATTTTTAGCCATTATTTTCACAAAATATTTATTATAATTAATATAAAAGAGTCATTAAACAATTGCAAACTAATAGTGCTATAATAAAAAGTATTCAAAATTTAATGGAAAACTATAAATCCATTGACACTAAAAAACTGTTACATATTAAATATAATACATTGTATTAATACAGTATATAAGGGTAATCAAATTAATTGTTTGACAGAAACTGTTTTTACTCATAATATAAATGATATTTAATGCAATTAACAATTGTGACTATGAATTAACTAAAATCATGTAATTTAATATACAAATGAATCAACAATTTTGCTATTTTGTGATGAAAATTAATATATTATAGTTCTTTATTATATTAATAAATTTACAAAAGTTTATACTGTGCTATAGTTATATAACTTACAGTATACCTAATATAATATATTCTAATAATATTTTATAAGCATTCATAAAAATTTATATTTATAGCACATAGAAATGATTATGAAATTTTTAATTTAAATTATAGATGTCAATAAAAATATTTTAGATTTAATTTATTTTTTTAAATAATCTATTTTTTAATTATCTTTTTTTATGGTTACATTAGGTTAGTGTGAAGTAAGGGTAGTTTGGAGTGAGTATGTAATGAATCATTATTGATGACAATTAGTATAAGATTATGTAGTTTTATTAGTTTGTAGAGTAAATCATATGGTGATACAGACTAAATAATATCATAGATTAAACTTAACAAATTGGCCAAGATGCTTTAAAGCATAAACTATAAAGTTTAAAATGTACAAGTTTAAATAAAGTTATCTTTATATATAGATATTTTACATTTTTTAAATAGTTTACTACACAATCTATGTTTTTTCGCGCGTGATTATTGATTTACGCAATCAATTGATCAATATTTAGTATTCATGCATTCAATAATGTATTTATTGATTATTAGCGTAATTAGAATAAAATAGTAAAGTATTTTCAAATCAATTTGGAAGTTATAAATCAAAATCAGTTTTATTTTCAACACTTGAAGAATCAAAGTTGTAATTAAAGAGACAAAAACAAAATGAAAGGAAGAGGTTATATGAATACGAAGAATATTCGGGCGTATCAGACAAATCCAGATATTATTAATCCAATGAAGCGAATGTCTCTTCAGCCTTCTTCACGACCATCGCAACCATCAATTGGATCTTCTGGACAGAGATTTGCTGGACCTAACAGATCTCACAGAGTTATGCAAATGAATGCCAGTCACACAAGAGGTCGTCCAATGGATCAAACAATGAATAAATCGTGGAAAAGACAACAATCAGTCAACAATGGCAATCAACGAAGTTCACAAACTGCCAAATCATTTTCTCGATGGATGGACACCACTGAGAGAGGTTCGCGTCCACCCATTAGATCGCCGTCACATGCATTGCCTCGTCAGCGAAGTTCATCAGCCAGTCGTCAGCGAAGTTCATCAGCCAATCAACCGCGACGAGAGCTCAGCGAACGCTTCTTGGCTCAGATGAGAAACGGAGGAATTCCTATAATAGAAGACAATATACCGATGAGTCCGGCCTGTGAATTGGCAGGTATTCTCAGATATGACTAATTCCTCTCAAGAAAAAAAGATGCTAAAGATTATAGCAATGATTCAAAATTCTAAATATTTATTTAAAATGTTTTTTAAATTTTGAATTTCCAACTTTAATTCGGTAGTAAAATATTAGAAACTATCCGATAGTATTAAATATTTAAATTCATTAAAAAATTGTTTATTAATTATAAAAAATTTAGTTTCAACAAACTGTTCGTTGATTTACAAAAAAAAAAAATTATTTAATGAAAATGTAATAAATATTAGATTTATATTAGATTTAAATATTCAATCCAAACGATTCTTATGGTTATATCTTTGTTGACGACTTTTGTCTTCATAATAAACTTCTTCAATAGATTTGATCTGCCATTTGGGTATATTATTAGTCAGTGCTTCACTCCATGTAAAACCTAAGCTGAAATCGTGTAAAATATAACTTATGATATCCAGTGGTAACTGTTTGCTACCGGCCCTCCAAATAACGTTCTCATCAATAGGTAATCTAAAACATCGTATGCCTTCTTTAATGGCCTTGTTTTGAGTTATGTCTAAATGAGACTCTTTACCGACAATTCCTCCGATTATATAAATGTCATCACAATTATACTCAGTTAGCGTTTCTTTTGAATGCGGAGACAAATAGACTAACTTTTCTTTAGGAAAAACTTTTAAATATGACTTTTCATGAAATGATGACAAAAAATGTGGTTTTTTATAGTTGACTAAAATTTTAGGAATTATTTGCATTATTTGATCCATTGGATGACAATCTGTAAAATGTATGTCAAATGGCACTACAGATCGATATTTATTAAAGTGATATAATTTTTGAATTTGATTTACTAATAATCGACAATCTTGTGGTCGCATATAATCATCAAAACCCAAATCAATGACCAACTTTTGTCCAAATAGTACAGCATTTCTCAGCCGATGACTAAACAATTTCTTAACAGTTTTGGGCTCTATTTTGGTGAACAACGAGTTATGCCATAAACCATATATAAGATGTTGTTTATGATCCCAAAGACCAGTCCGTTCGCTATTAATTTGTTGATAAGTTTGTCTCTTTTGTGTCCAATACTCTTTTGAATGCTCTTTACGGCGAAGTTTTCTCATATCGGTTACCAACTCTTTACGACATAAATGTCGTAACAATTGTCTTCTCTCATCTTTGGTCTCCAATACCAACAAATCACGCATATTATCGACGGTTAAAGAGATGGGAACTTCAAGTGTCATATATTTTTCGTATTCATATTCATTAAGAATGATCTCAACTCTGGACTTAATGTTGTCGTCAGTCATAATGTCTTTAAATGTCTCAATCTTTACATTTTCAAAGTCTCTCTCGATGTCAAACATATCTTCGACAACATTGTTGTTATTGTTATAAACAACTAAAACAAAATGACAATAAAATCAATGATATTTATAAATTGCAAACTAAAAGACAAAACCTGATCTCTTGTACGACAAATGCCGCAAAAGTGGTGGCGAAACACAAAATCTATTAAACAATTGATTTATTGCACAAATCATTGCATTAATTAATTGATGTCAAAGTCATCTGATATTTGTTATCAAAATAATTGTATTTAATTTATGATAATTATTATTAGTATTATTACTAATGTCATGTAAATTATATAATTTTGATTAATTAATTAATCACATCATAAATCCAAACAAACTAACCATTAATTAACTGATAATTAATTAGTTTATATAGTTGTATAAACTTGTTGTTATGTATTGTATTGAATGACAATTACTGTAATAATAATAATACGGTAACTGTTTATGCAATACATTATTACCGGTAAAATAATTAACAAATTATTTCATATGACTTATAGTGACAACTAGTGGACAATCATTGGGTTTATTAAATAAATAACAATAATATATGAAATACTACTATAAATACAGTTTTGTGTTAGAATTTGTTGATCGCTTGCTATTGAAATTGAATGCATTGTATGAACAAAAATCTTATGTATTTATTATGTGTTATATTTGTTGATTAAAGAGACGCCAAAAGCAGACAACAACTGATTGAACCATATTTTGACCACTTTTTAGTCATATTTGAAGACTTCTTAAGCATTGATTGTTTATCACATTTAGTCATTATATACATAGTTATCATCTGAAAAGTAGTAAAGTGGGTGACAATTGGTTACACTCGAAGACAATTGGTTTGTATTGATCTGTTTATTACAATTGTTGACTTCGGTAAACAAGTGGACAAAAGATATGCCGCACGTCATAGTGTTCACGCATTACAATAATCTGGCCAAAGGTCCGACATATGTGGCCAACGATGACACACTATTGCTGGACTATTTGGGCGCTACTCCGCCGCAGAACCCGCAACAGTCATCGGTGGTGAACGAGTCGCCCACTCAGGTGTTGGACAAACTCGAGCAAAGAGGTTATCGGGTGGTCGGCATGTCGTCCAACGCCTCCGACACGTTCACCAGTTATGTCTGGACTCTACATAAACCCGAAGAGATTGAACCCTTTCCTTAAATTGCAACCAAAAATGTCAAGAGGTTTGCATCAGTTTATAGACATATAATGTCTTAACTTTTTTTGATGTATTACTCAACTGTTCTGTTCTCATATTTTATCCATTTTTTGTTATCAATATATATATTAAATTAGATTTATTTTTATTTATTATTATTATTACTTATTAATACATTTATTATTATAATATTATTTTTCTATTATTATTATTATTATTATGTATAATCCATTTATTAACAACTATTGCTATTTTCTGATTGAATCAATTTTCTGATTAATTTAATAATTTACATTAACCGATAATTTTTGTGCAAATAATTGATTATTTTTTTAATTATCTTACTGTATATTATGTTAAACAAAATTAATTACCGTAAATGAAATTTATTAAAGATTATGAATTATGTATTATGAATAAAACAGTATAATATTTATCAATATTAAGGTTAATTTGTTTTTAATAATGCACATACAAATGCATTAAAAAATTATCTTAAATATAATATTGTATTAACTATTATGTATTTATATTATTCAATTATTTTGCTGTATATTAATTAATAATTATCTATTGCAAATAAAATTTATATTACAGTATTAAAAGCCTATTGATATTAATTTTTAGAATAAAATTTTAATATTCTAATTTAATGTTTAATTTATGATAAAATAATTTATTTATAAAACAATTTTATTTATGTCATACAATAAATATTATCAACAAATGTTTATAATTTATAGCTAAGAATATTCTTTTATATAGTAATATATAGTATTTACTATAATATAAATATATTTTCATATAATTTATCAAGTTTTAAATATAAGCTATTAATTATAGGAATAAAATTACTAATTTAGAAATAATTATGAATAAGTGTTATGAAAACATTAAAATATTGCTTATTATGTGATTCTATGCCATAATTATCTCAACTAATTTCTCATAAAATTATTTATTTAGGAATTAATGTTTTATTTTTTATTAAAAAATATTTATTAAATAGTTTACTATACTCTATATTATATCTTAAATAATAAATAAAATATTAAGAAAATCATTGACGTCTTAATCAAGAAAAGTATTTTTTAATTTAGACCTTATAATTCATAAATCATTGATCAAATTTATTGATTATTTTATTGGATTATTGATTTTAACATTAAATAATATTTTACTTAACATAAAGTATTTATTTAGAATCAACTTAAATATTATTGATCATATAAATAACATTATAATACATACATATTGAAAGGTTATAATAAAATAGTTAAATTACAATTATTATAGTTATTAACTTTTATTTAAAAATTTTAAAAATAAACTAACAAATAATTTTCAAGATATATGAATATCAGAACAATATTAATGAAATACTTAAAATGAATAAATCATCGAAGTTTAAAAAGTAAGTCAAATACTTTATTATATATACTGTATACTAATAATTATGATTAATCAAAAAATTAATATTTATTTAATTTGTGGTTTAATTGCTGTATATCCTGTTTACTGTATATGAAAAATATTAATTTATAAAATTATCTGTTTTATTTTGTTGTTTGAAAAGATATTAAATACATAATTAAACAAAAATATTTACTTAATTAATAAAAATTTTCTGAATTTACTTTAACTAATCGAATTGCAGTAAAATATTTTATTGTTATTTTCAGTATTACATTGATAACAATTTTAATTAATTGTCATACAGTATAATAAACATTAAAAATCAATTATACAATAAAATGCTGTATTTGTTGATATATAGAAAAATTTTTAAGCGGTTAGTATTGTATTATATAATGTTTTAGTATAATTATAAAATACTTATTTCTTCAAATTATAGTATTTACCATTTGTTTTACAGAATTAATATTATATCTTATGATATAAGATAATACAGAATAAAAAATAATAATATATAATAATTGTTTAGACAATACATACTGTTTAAAATTTATTTTTGAAATAATTATTATTGAAATAAAGAATAACGAATAATTATTGAAGTTTGATATCAGTATTTTAAAATAATAATTTTCATATATAATTTAAATTTTAAAATACAATTTTTTTCAATGTCAATGTTGTTAGCATTGTATTAATTGATACACTATGAGGTGTAAAGTGATGCCAAATTGATTATTAGCCAATTTTTCAAACAATATTCAAGTCTATGATAAACGTTATATAAAATGCTATAAAAACAATTACTAACTATTAATAAATAGACGAAAGATATATATATATTGTATATATTTATTTGTCGTCAGTAATGTCGGTGTAGTAGACAATTGTGATAGGTTTGTAATTTTGCAGTAATACAAGTAATTAATTAATTACATATCAATAAAATTGCAATTTTTATATTTAAAAAAATATATATAAAGTACTTCAATTTTGTTTTGTTTACTTGAATTTTATTATTATTATTATTAATGTTTATCTAATCAAATAATTAAATATAAATATTTTTATAGTGAATCTTAACCCAAGGTCTTTAGGTTTCAATATTTGTATATTATTTCTAAATTTCTAAACTAATTTATTAATTAAGTCAAAATTACAATTATAAGAACATTAATGAATCACACAATTTTAAGGAATAATTTATTATAAATTATTACATGACTAACATAATCACTATATTCTACCATAAAAGTTAAGATTTTACACTTTATTTATTGAATTTGGTAATTTTATTTCTAAAAGTATCCAGCATAAAGTTTTTTTTATTAGTTTATTATTGTTTCAAATAAAAAATTCCCTTTTTAAACATTTATAAATTATATATATTAAACAAATTATCATATGATATTCGATTAATTTGTTTTAAACATTAATTGGTTTATTGATTATAAGTTAGAAATACAGTACAATTTGAAAAAATGCTATGTTTTATAAATTATTTTTATCTGTTATTTAATTGTCATTTTATTAGATTTATAATAATAATAATCAAAGTTTTTATTGCAAAATATTTGGTTAATTAATGAAGTATTTAAATTTTATCATTTGATATTATACAGAATCATAAACATAATATTTCAATGTTTAATTTCTACAATTTTTTATTTTTAAAAAATATAATTGTTTGGTTGTTTAAATAAAATTAACTAATTATCATATTGATTTAAAAATCAATAAAATATGCATGATAATAAACAGTAAATTTTTAAATTATAAAAAATAACTAGCCAAGTAATTTTACTTTACTTAAAAAGTCAAGTTAATTATTAAGTACTTTAAATAATAGTATAATAGTTTATTAAGTTTTAAAAATTGCTTTATACAATAGCTTATTATCATAAAATGATTACAGTATAATTACGATAATAATGTATGATACTTATATGTTATAAAAGTAATTACTTAAATAAAATATTTTTTAAATTTTATAGTTTAAAACTAAGTAGTCTATAGATATAAATATTTATATATTATATATAAACAGTAGTTAACTCTTGATTAGTGCAAATATATGATAATTTAACAGATATTTTATACGATAGTGAAGGTCATCAACGCTCTGGTATTATGGGTGAGTGAGTGAGTGAGTGAGTGAGTGAGTGAGTGAGTGAGTGTGTGTGTGTGTGTGCAGGCAATTGCGCAAATAATCATGTGATCAAATGATAAAAATGATCATGGACAATTGACACCAATATCAACATTTCAATTATTTCATCTATTTATTAAAGTTGTCAATAGTTGTCATTATTTATATTTATTTTAATATTTAATTGTAAATAATTATTTTGCAAATACAGTAGTTTGAGTATATATATACAGTGTTGTATAATGTATATAAAAAAAACAATGTCAACAATTATTAATTTTATGTTTATATCTTTTATAAAATTAGTAAAATGAATGAATTTATAAAACTAAATTGTGTTTTAAGCTAGTTAACTTTTGTTTAATTTGTTTTAAAAATTATTAAATTATATTTAACTCATTAATAAATAAATGATAAAAATCAAATTGATCAATTAATATGACTATATAAATATTTTAATTAACTATATCGTAATTATATAAGTTTAATATTTATTTGGTGACTTAATTAAATTTCAACTTAATTAATTACAGTAAGTTTTCTAACGTTGTTACTATTTTAATAAATTTCCGACATATAAAACTTTTCAAATATGAGAGTTAATAATACCAAAATTGATAAAATATTGATATATTGCTACTAACTTATATATAATAGATTGATACTAATACATAATAAAAATTCAATTATATAATGAAATAAATTATTGCTTAGCTAATCATTATTAAATTAAAATTATAAATTTATAATATTGAGAATATTATAAATTTTAACTATACTTTAACTATTATTTTTTTAATGCTACGATTTTTGCGATATTTTTAAATATCAATAGTTTTTACATTACATCAAAATTAAATTAAAATGTCTAAAAATTACAAAATATAGTATTAATTTATTTAGATACATCCTTTTAATTGACATTTTAATTACAAATATTTGTTAAATTTATTAATTTTATTTTAATACTCTTGATTATCCAATTAAAGTTAAAGTATATAAGTTGAATTTAGTTAATTGATCAATTTAAATATAGTTGCATAAATACAATTTATTATTTTAATGCTATGTAATCATACTATGTATATATTTATACAAGTGTTTAAATAAATTAAGCTTAATTGTCAATTTATTTTATTTAATAATCGTTTTAATGTTTCTATTGTAGTAAGTTTTATATAAAAGTTAAAAATTATATTAAGATTTTTTTAAACAATTGGGACATTAATTTTCATTTGCTATAATCATTCAATAATTTATTTTATCAAATAATACAAAACAATGACATATTAGTGATTAATATTGTATAAAGAGTGCTGTACTGTTTGTAAGCGATAAAATTAATTATATAATATTACATAATATAGAAATACTGTTTTTATTGAGCAATGAAAAAGCAAAAAATGAGTTGATTTATAACTTATTAAAACTAATAAAATTTTTAATTATTAAGATGACTATTATTTAGTTAATTTTTGAAAAAATAAATCTTATTTGTATATCAAATCACACTTTGTTTTTTCAAGAGTTTCCAAAGAGAAAAGTGCTTAAGAAATGGCACTATAAATTAATACCCATTAATAATGATAATCAGCAATCATAGAGATTACTATAAATCTGTGACAAAAAAATATATTAACATTGAATACAACTTTTGAATGATTACTGCCTTTTAAAAAATAGTATACAACTGTATATTGGATTTGAGATAACAAATTCAAAAGTGATTCAAACAAAAGTAGCGTTTAGTGAGACTCGTAAATCGTGGCAAACAATGACCAATTGGAAAGTCCTGACTCTGACAGCCGTTACAATCGGGTTGTGTGGACTCGTACTCATAGTCACACTCTTTACAGCCACCGGTGGTTACGTGCCTTTTGATGTAAGACTCGTTTCATTAGTTTTTTTATTAAATACTATATACAGTATATTATATTTCTGTTTGCATCAAGTTTTCAACTATTTAATTATAAAATTATTTTAAATAATTATATATATGATATGTATATAGTATGGAGTAGTATTAGATGCCGGTTCCTCACACACACAGATAACATTATATCATTGGTTGGCCAACAAAATGAGATGCACCGGTGTTGTCGAGCAACTGGACACCTGTCGAATTGAGGGCGGAATCAGTAGCTATAATGTATCCGATGTGTCAACTGTTGGTTATGACCTATTGGAGTGCATACGAAATGTTAGCAAAAAAATAGATAAGGATAGACTATATAATACTCCACTATATTTGGGTGCAACCGCTGGTATGAGACTACTCAACAAAACCGACTCAAATAAAGTCAAATCTATATTTTATTTAATTAACAACGCGTTTATACAAAATACGGGACTACAGGTTAAAACTATAGATATAATTAGCGGTCAAAATGAAGGACTTTTTTCATGGATTACAAGTAATTATCTAATGGACAAACTTATTGTCGATGAATTTGATACCAAATCGACGACATCGACTACCGGTATGCTCGATATGGGCGGTGCTTCGGCACAGATAGCTTATCGGGAAGCGGACAACGGATTGCACTCCAATGTCAACGATGAAGTCAATGTACGCCTCTATGGCATCAACCATACAGTGCGAGCTTCAAGTAATCTATGTTTCGGTGCGGATCAGGCAATGTTAAGATACCAAATGTATTTGATTTTATTAAATAAAGACAAACAAACTATTGATAGTCCGTGTCATCCAAAATCATCTCAAATCAATGCTATCGGAAATGACTTAAAAGAGCAGATATGTGTTAAACTAGTAAACGACAAAATTGTTGATTACAATAAAAATTATACATTTATTGGAACCGGTAATAATGATAACTGTTCCCAAATTTTAACAAATCATTTATTAAACAAAAGTGAATGTCAAACAACTTTTGATATGTGTTTTGATGAATCGGCTAATCCGCCGCCAAATGCGACCCAATTTTTCGCATTGTCCTCATATTACTATACGGTCCGTATCTTAAAATTGACACAAGAGTTCATCGATAAAGTGACTGCCGATGAATATAAAAATGAAATGCAAAAGTTTTGTTCATTGGATAGACAATCAATGCTTAAGAATCCATTAGTGATTGCAAAATATGTGGATCTCTATTGTTTTCAACTTCATTACATTTATACAACAATCAAATATGTTTACAAGTTTGCCGATAATATGTGGCCAAACATAAAGTTCACGAATAGTATAGGAAAGACATCGTTAGGCTGGAGTTTAGGCTCTATGATCAACGCTACCAATGCTATCGCCGCCGAAAAGCCGACGCCACCGATGGTTAAAGTGTTTCCCTTTATATTAGTCGTCATATTTTGCTCATTAATCCTATTTTTAAGTATATATTTTGCTATCAAATGGCACAAACAGTCGGACAATCAAAAGAAAGAAAAGTACGAACCAATTAGTATTACTCCTTAAGACAACTCCAAGGACTTTGTCATCCCTGAGCTGTCTTAAGACAGGTGTTATATTTTAGTGCTTTTTTAATTAATTATTGCCTTTTTTCTTGTCATTAATAGATTTCAGTCGCAGACAAAATGAAATGTATTTTAATTTAGTACAAAAAATTATATTTATATATTTTTTTTTGAAATATTTATAAAAATATATTGTAAAAAGTTTAAATTGATTTACTTATTGTAATCAATACAATATCAATTGTTAATAATGAAAATATAATATCAATTGAATATTTAATAAATTGTAAACTATAATATAATATGAAATAAAATATGTTTTTATCATATGCTTATATTTTTTTTATCAATTATTAATAATTACGAAAAATATTGATAAACTTATTAAATAGACATTGAATTTGCCATTAAATGATAAATAAATGATTAAAAGTATGCGACAATTATTGCACTTATTTATCATACAATATATGGATTATTAAATTGAAAATAAACATATAGTCTATTAATGTTTTTAAAATTTACACAAATAGTATTAATTTCAATCAATTAATTAAGATTTATATTTAAAAAAATTAAACAAAATTACTATCAAATACTTTACAAAAAATACAATATCTTTAAACAATTATCACTGATTTTAAATTATTATTATTAATAATAATCTCAATAGAAATCAATTTATAATTTAATAAATGATTTAATTAACAGGTTATCAAACAAAAGTAATAATTGTTTGAATCATATCATGTCTTAGCATTGGATATATCATTGGATGCCATCACTGGTTGTAATCGTTTTTCTCTTTCATTTTGCAAATACTTTTCCATTTCAATGGATTCCATCTGTGAAGAGGTATTCGCCTGAAGACGAAGTGCTCTCTGTTTCAAGTGATGACTCTTTTGTGTCAGTGATTGCATGTCTTTCTTAATGGACAACAGTTTGTGGTAATAGTGGTGTCCTTTGCCGACAAGTGAATCAAAGTCGATGTCTTTATTGGCCGACAAGTATTTGTCATTTTCAGTGTCCAATGAATCCACTATTGACTTCTGGTATCGACTTAACTCATCCATGTCTTTGATAGACATCATTCAAATACAACCAAAAAACTATCACTAAAATGATTAGCAATTAATTGATAATAACTTTCATTACAATAATTACAATAAATTTAATCACTTTTTCATTATTATTAAACAAAATTTTTTTTCCAAATTCATAGCAAACGTTACATAAATAAAGAAAAAAAGTCATTGAAAACCATTGATAAAACATATGATTCACACAAACAAATGGATCAGAAAATACTTTATTATTGTAATGCTATTTATGAACACATTTTATGTATTGTTATTGTGTTTATACAGTATTTATTAGTAAACATTATTTACAATATATTATTGAAATTAATTATAAATTCAATTGAATTGACTTTAATTGAGACAAAAAAAATCAAATCAATTGATAAACATTTTGATTACATATGTCTTAATCTGTGATTTGTTTGATAGGACGGACAGACAGACAGACATAATAGGATGGCATCCAAGAGAGGACCTAAAGTCAAAATGTTGGCAATGCCGACAACTAACTTCATTGCATTGGGTTTGTGTCCATTTAATTATCTTAAAGACTGTCATAACTGATAATTTCATTTTATTGTCTATCAAATTAGGTACCACATCATCGACAGCGCCATCAACACAGTTAGGAGCGTCGTCTATGAAGACGGCGCCCAAACGAGAACCAACTGAATCAACCGGTGCCGGCTCTTCGCTTCCCAAGAAGTCCAAACTGCAAATGTCACACCATATGACCCGATCATCCGGTAGTGTTGGTGTACGTCGAGAATCAGGCGATCAATGGGAAGAAGTGGCAAAAGAAGTAGATCCCAATCAACTACTTGATAAAGTTATTGATGCCGAAGATGTAAGCGATGAAAGAGTTGAAGCACTTCTTTGTGGTGCAGTTCGTCAGTTGCGAGTAATGAGACTAAAGCCCGATTCGGCGTTATATCTGACACTCTGCTATTTGGCCAAAACGCGTCCACTTTTATTTTGTACCGAAGTTGTTGTCGAAGCGTTTTGTTCTCTTTTAAAGAGAGATTCAGTCGTTGGATTTAAGCAAAAAGTGGCCAATAATTCGGTGGCTGTATTGGCCACTAATATATTGTTGGCCGTATATCACGACGAAAACTGTTGGCCCGAAACATTTCTTAAAGTCTTTGTCGACGATTCGTTAGGCGATCGGTTTTGGGTCGATAACGAAGAATGTAAAGGTTTTGTAGACAATATATTGGCCTCATTTAGCACACGATTACCACCAAAATCATTACTTCAACAAGAAGTACTAACGACCACTAAAGCAACTGAACCATCAAATGCTACATCGAGTCCAATCCATGCCATACTTGGAGACGAGACATCAATTGACGAAACAGTAGGTTTCGAAACAAGTGGTGAAACAAAAGATAATTTAGACAACATTTCGGTAATGTCTCGCTTTGCACACAACGAGACATTTGTTGTTCAATATGTGACTGATATTATCAACGAAGGACTAAATCGTCGACCGACTCCTGGAAGTGAAGTTCCACGAAATTTGCTGAAACTTCTTATATCTACTGCAGGTATACCAGCTGTACGACTGATTATTGCACAAAAAATTGAAAGTTGGTTAATCAGTACAAAGGTATTTCCTTATTATCTATTAAATTATTTAATATAATTAAATATAACTTTTATTATAAATATTATTAATAGACAATTAGAATTTCTATGGATCTGATGCTCACTCTATGTCTTAATTGCAATGAAAATGATACAGAAGTGGTGACACAATTGGTTAAAATGCGATTAAAGACTAAACCATTGATCACTCATTTTATTAATTGTATAAAAGAAATGATTAATCAAAAAGAGGAGACATTTAAACTTGTTTTGCGAACAATTTTCTATAATGAGATATCTCCGTCAAGAAGTTTAAATAATATTCAAGTAATATCAGTAATATTTCAAACATCACCGATAAAAGCGACTAAAGTATTGGCTGAAGTCTATCAGGAGTTGATTTACTCAAAAGATGATTATTTGAAAACAATGAGAGGATTATTACGTGAAATAGTGAGAGCTTTACGTCACGAACACTTGAATTTGTTAACATTTGCACAAAATCTGATCGAAGATTGTCCAGCATTTGCTACATTAGATCCATCCGATTCTGTTATCAAAGAGAGAGCTGTCGTCACAATTACTGATTTGTTTACAATGATTATGTTTCTCAGTCTAAGTCCTGCTGTTAAAGAAGCCTTTTCTACATCAAAACCCGATCGTAAAGGTCTTTATAAAATTAAATTATATAAATACCGGTAATGTTTTAATTTCCGTAAATTAAATTATATGTTATTTATTTAGAAATTATTCGCAATTATCAAATGCAAATTGCAAACATTCAACGTATTGCTATTTATTGGTTACAGAAAACAGTGATCAAATTATTTAGACCCGATCGCAATGAATACCTTCATTGGTATGTTATTTCCTATATTTAACAAAAAAATTATCGGTTTTTTAATTTATTAATTTAAATGTATTTTTCAGCTTAAATAAAGTGTTATTTATGGAGAGTGCAGAACACTATTATAATAGAGACAACTGGCCGCCAGAAAATGATCGAAATCTTATGTTCCGAATGACATCTGAGGTACCACTTCTTGAGGAGACATTAATTAGAGTTTTAACGATGGGAGCAGCAAAAGACAATCCATTGTCATCATCTGAAGCCATAGAACTATCGGATGCATTGATCAAAAGAGCGGCCACTATTACCGATTACGATTTGATTACAACACCTGTACTTCAAATTTGTGATAAACAAATATTTACACTATTAATGACAAATGCCATTTATAGACATCCAGAAAACATAACACTTCCACAGAATTATGATCCGCCAAAGATGGCAATTAGCGATCTTTATTGGAAAGCATGGATTCAATTGTTAATACTTACGGCACACAATCCGTCTGAGTTCGGAACACTTGCGTGGGATAGTTATCCTACTCTTGGAGTACTCATTGAAATGTCAATAACAAATCATTTTGAATTTCCTCCGCCGACCAAAATCGGCGACGACTTGATTAACCGCGAGTTGCAAATGAGTGCCATTGAAAAACAACAAATTCTTCAGTTCGAACAATATTTAGCCGCCGCCTCAACCAAAGTACAAATTAATGAAAGCAATAGTTTGTTACTTTCGAAACTAATATCAATGGATCCATTGGGATCAGCTCGCAAACCGCCATCCAGTGTATTGGAACAGTTCAAACAATTCAATACACTTTTACGTTTGGGTCATCTATTATGTCAGTCTAGAAATCCTGATTTTTTACTCGAGATTATTCAAAGACAACAAAAACAATCGGGTGTTCACTCAACATCAGCACCGATGCCATGGCTGGTAGAATTGGTTGAGTCTAATGATAATAACTTCGGAATGCTACCTGTCCAATGTTTATGTGAATTTCTTCTGGGACAAATTAGTGAAGAAGAATCTATGCCACCAATACTCACAACCGACTCAAGCATTAAACACGAAAAAAGTCGTCGAAAAGAGAAAAGAAGAAAACAATTGAAACTTATTTCTCATTTGCAGACAATAATTGCCAGTCAGTCGACCAGTTCTAAGGAATTGATTGAGTATTTTATGAAACGGCTTACTTTCCAACAGTCGACTTCAAGAACTTTGGCCTCGAAAGCACTATCGCTTGTTTTAACTACTAATATAGAGTCTGAAGATAAACCTATTGATGATAAACCACTGATGTTTACAGATGTTAATGTATGGCTTAATCAAAAATTACCATCGAATCCAAACTTTGCATTTATTAAGACATCTGCTTGTGATGCTCTCAGACCCGCTATTTTAGTTGAAACTGTTCCGAGTTATGTCTGTTATTACATACAATTTCTTTCACTTTACGGTGATATCGGAAGCATAGAGTTGGCCATTGATTGTTCAAATATTCTCATTGATAGACAACTGATTACAAACTGTATAATACAGGACAAACAATTGAGAAATATATTTTTAGATTCGTTGACAAAAATATTTTTAGCTCATTTGGTTGTCAAGAGACGACCAGCTCGTGAGGCATATTCATGGACTGACGCTCAGGATCACATACTTGTCCAGTGGCCTAATGAAGAAGCGGCTATTTTACATATTAGTGTTGTGCACGCAATGATTATTTTGTTAACATTCGGTCCATCCGATAGTGACCAAAGTCCATACAAACAGCTGTTCAATACATGGTTTTGTGAGCCTATGCCACAAGCATTTCTTGTCGATACATCCGAAGAGGCCCTTCTAATACCCGATTGGTTACGAATTAAACTATTAAAGTCTTCGTCACCACAACTTAGAACTATTGCACTCAAAGATATTGAGTCCTCACAACTCATACTATTTATTCAATCGTCCGGATTATCCATTTCATCGATGGAGTGCTTATTAGGAGCATTAGATTCGGCCGTAGATATTGATTCAAATGGTGTCAAAGAGGCTGTTATGGATGAGTCGCTTATATTACGTGTAGTTGAAGTTCAATGGTTAAGAGGAGTTAAGACGGGACACAAATTTGCTGACCTATTGGGTTATAACAATAATGAAAAAGATATCATAACTGATAATAAAATTGATAAAAAAGATGCTAAAGTTGTCGAAACAAAAATTGATCCAAAGTTTTCTGGTTTTAAAAGTGATTTTAAACATTTTCTGACTGAAGATAAACAAAATATCGGTAAATACATAATGAAATTGTCGCGTGAATTGACACAAGAATTGTTTGATAAGAAAATAACAACAAAGAAGTTTACAAAATTGTTTTTCACTGAATTTAAGTCTCAAATCAATGCATGTATTGATCTAATAAATAGAGGAGACTTTAATTCATTGTTTAATACTATTATCACATTTGCAATAAACGATAGCAAACATTTGGGACTAAAAACAGAGATAATGTCGACACTGAAGATACTGAAAGAATGCACAGAAATTAAGAATATAGCTTTTCTTAATGTATTTAATAGATTTACGACAACATCGAAGACAATACAAGAGACAAAAACATCGAAAACTTCAAAAAAAGAGAAGAAAAATCACACAAAAAGTATCGAAGAATTAGCAAAAATTTTACTCAAAGATAATAACAGTTTAGATGTTAGCAAAGGTTTACTATTGGAAAAGTTTCACAAACTTGAACCCGAACTCGTGTGTTGTGATTCACCAAATGGTCACTTAGAGACACAACTATTGTTTTCACAGAATTGTCTTTATTTAATGTCATTGTTGATACATAAGACACGTTTTGAGACATTAAACTCTTGTATTAAAAGTATCTTAAGTGATGACCAATCACTATGTGATTTAAATGCTACAGCAGTTCTAGATTTTCTGACGGCATGTCTTGGATCTCCTAGACTTTGGATCGGCAGAGATCTAAGACAACCGAAACATATGGAATATGAAGACGTACTCAAATTGAATGACAATCAGATTAAAAAACTGATTAAATATATCATCGAAGAGTCAAATGTTGCCAAAAGAGTGTTATTAGTTGTGAAAAGTTGTTGTTTTAATAGCAATCAAATACAATTAGTTGTCAATACATTGAAACAAATTGAAGATAAAGCAAGTGATGAACGATTGATTGCCAGTGAACTACTTTTTCGTTTGTATTTACAAATCCCAAGCATTGAACAACCGATCAAATTATTTGATAACTATTTGAAAATCAATGGACTCGAGTCCAGTGCTATCGATTCAATGACACACAATCTATTGACTGCTTTTACAAGTATTGACACGAATCCCAATCGACAACAAAGTGGATATCTTAACGATTGTGAGCTATCAATGCTTAAGTTGGCCTCAAAGCATCCGATTCTCTTTCTCAGACAATTACCGATGATTCCGGCGCTCTTAAGGGGCAAGAGTTCCGTCACATATGATGTGTTTAGAAGCAGAAACTATTTGTTGACATTTAAGAAGATTTTAAATATTCTTCGACTTCTTAAGCCTCATCTCTGGAATAAACACGTTAAGGGTTTAAATGAATTACTTTCGCTATACATTCAACTATTTGTCGATTTTCACCGAAATCCTGGCAAAGAATTATTGCCATTAATATCACAATTTTTGTATCTAATTGACGATTGGATTAAATTTGATTCCGAATCAGCCAAAAGTTGGATTAAACTCAACAGAAAGTCTATTGTGTTAGTAATTTCTTAATTATTATAATTAATAACAAATAAATTGTTTTTAATGTTATTTATCATAAATACATTTTAATTGAATGTTTAGTGATTTATCGATAGCATTTCCGGAACAAATGCTGTTTAAATCGCTTTTATCGGGTCTACCGTTTCAATCGCAATCTTTAATTGAGAAACAGATTTCAGAAAATATTTTGATAAGACTTCGAGAGTCTAAAGGAAATGTTGAGCGCATGAATCAAGTGCTCAACGATTTGGACAAATTATCCGACTCTAAGCCCGATGTCTTGGAATACTTTGTGGTAAAGAAAACTATATATGAATTATAATATTATAATTGTTTTAAATTTAAATGTTAATTAAATTAATCAATTATAGGATGATTTACGTCAACTATATTTTGATGCATTTACTCGTGAAATGGCTTTTAAGTTGACTCTAAAGTTATTAAATTTTGACCCGAATTTGGCCAAAACATTTGTGGCCACATATTGTCAATGTTTGCAACGTAACGACTCGTATCTAACAAACTTAGCGCTCGACTATTTGCCTGAATTTGTTATTCTGGCTCAAGGTTTGTATCACAACATTGTTTGACTATTTATTTTTCAACGCAAACTCATATTTAAAGGTTAAACTTATGATTTGAATGTTTTAATTACATTTAATTTATAAAAACATTAGTACAAACTAATTATAAATTACTCTATATATTATATCTACAGTATTACAGGTAATATAAAGTAGATTATAAATAAATTTTTACATACAGGTATACTGTTATTTATTCATAATTAATATACGATAAATATAATTTCTAATTATTATAATACTTTAACCTACAGTTATATTTTAACAATATTTACTCTATATATTTGTTTATTTAAATATAGTAAGAAAATTAAATTACCAATATTTTTGTTTGTTATTATATTTTTTGTTTTTTTGCTAATCTAGTTTATTAACAAACTTAGAGACAATAATGCTTATTGTTATATTTAGTTAATTTAATTATATTTATAGTTAATTAGTTATATTAGTATTGTTTAAATTTGAGTTTGCGTATAATATTACTTACCGTAAGTTACTTTTAATTTTAAGTTTAAATCACCATAATTATTTTTAAATTATAAATTTCTATATATGACATAATTACTGTAGTTTATTATAGTTGATTTAAATAATAATTTGTTTTTGTTATATTTATAAATTATATTTTTATAATACAGTTTAGAGTAATTAACTACTAATTAAAAAATTTAAAATCTTTTCAACCATAAAATTGCATATTTTATGAGGTTAATTTATTAGTTGCATATAATAGATTATAAATAACTTTTATGAATAAATTTATCATTTATATTAATACTACAATTAAAATAATTAAGATATTTATTATATTTAAAACAATCATTTGAATTACAAAATTGTCTTAACTATTAACTAATAATTAATTTACTTTCAGAGCACAGATCAATGATATTGAAAAAGGCATTTGAGATCGGGATTATGGGAAACAATAATGTTATCAATAATATATGCGATTCATTTGCATTAATTAACGCTCAAATTGGTGTCTAAAAAAATTGAGTCAACTATTTATTTAAATTTAATAATAAATACTAAATGAAAAAATTTTTAACTAATCATTTTTTACATAATTTATTTTTTCTATTAAATAAAAGAATATTCTCTACTATTTTGTTATTTCATTATACTGTATATACATATAAATATATAAATGTATATATAATTTGATATCAAGTAAATTGCAATGAATAATATAAAAATGTGTTGAAATGTTTTTTCATAACAATAAAATGATAAAAATCGATCGTAAAGATTATTTTTATACATTTATATTATTTATTTAAATATTTTTTTTATTAATTATAATTTTATGTTTCCATAGAAATTATTTTTTGTCACATAAGATATATTAAAAATATAAATACTATTTAATGACATCTAAAAGATTTACATATAGTATATAACTTATATTGATAAACTAATAACTATTTGATAATTTCTTAATAATTATAATGATTATCTGATTTTAATAAAATTTAATTTTTAAATAAATATGATTTAATTAAAAAAAAAAATTTGCAAAGTTTTTATAATGATCTAATTAATAATGTAAATAATAAATAAAGATAAAAGGCATTAAATTAATTTTTGATATTTTGTCATATTTTATTTAACGTGTCATTAAAATATATTGAATTTATATTTCAAGGATTTTACATATTATGTGTTATTCATTGATGAATGTGTATATTATATACAGTTATATATTAATTTAATACAAATAATTTGTTAAATAATATAAAATGACTTTTCAAATTTGGTATTAAATAAATGTTTTAATAATTAAAAACTACTAAATGTCGCTTATAATGAATAAGTTAAAGTATTTATCTATTAATTTATATTATATTCATTGAAAATGTAGTAAAATTATCAAATTTCAATCATATTTAATTTTACCTTAAAACTTGTGTATTAAAAAATAGTGATTAATGATTAAAAATATCTGGATTTTTCTAATTAATATAAACCAATGCATTTTTTGTCAGTAAAATCAATAATAAAAATATTTTCATTTAATTTGTGGTTTAATTTGTCGATTTATTAGTTTAATACTTATAGCAAATTGTAAACATTTAAATGTTTTAGCAATCACTTACCGGTAATGTGAATAAATATTTAGAAAATATAAATATATTTTATTGTGAAATAATCATTCAAATAGTTGCGTAATTTCTATGTTATTAAGCTATGATTATATTATTTATAATTTAATTAGTAATTTAATAGTATATGTATAATATATATATATATATATTTCACAGAAAAAGGTATGAATTACACTTATATTCCTCATTGATGTACATTTAAAATAGTTATCAAATTGTTTGGTCAAACATTTGTATCACAAAGACCTTGGCGTTGCAAATGTTTTATAATACAATATTATTATTAATAGACTGAAAAAATCAAAAATAATATATTTAAATATTATTATTATACAATATATACAGTATATATATGTATATACAGAGATATACCAGAGGTATAATACAATATAATTTTAAAGCATATATAGATAGTCATTATTTTAAAAAAATAAAGTGAAAATATTTTTAAAAAATAATATTCACAAATATATAATAAATATTAAAATTTAAATAAAATTTTTAAATTTTAGATTTACACTTTGTTAAACATAAGTTCAAAGTTTTACTACTATTTTTTCCATAAAAATTTATTGAATAAATAACAAATTTTTAATATTTCTATATACAGTATATTAATGATTATCATCTCTAACCAATAGTTTATTGATGAATGTGAAAATAATCAAGCAAAAATTAACATATATCAAATTTCAGCCATCATTTTCTAATTAATGGTATGTATTAATATTAAACTATTATTACAGTATATAAAATAAAACTATTTTGTAATATAATATATTAATAAAAAAAATTATTAGATAAATAATATGATCATACAATATAATTATTTTATAGCACTAAGTTATAACTATTTTATTAATACAGTATCATAATTATTATTTCTATATATTGTACATGAATATATACTGTATATATATATAAATTTATTTGCAAACTATCCATAAATTAATATATATTTATAAAATACTATATAAATATAACATTAGTAATTTAAACTTCCTTGATTGTGTTTGCAACATATTATATCTTAGATAAGATATATAAATACGGGTGCGATAAGTCTAGAGCACAGGTAGTTTAGTAATAAATGTAAGCAACAACAGGCCATTTGGGTAATACTTTTTATTTTATTTAAAAAAAAAAAACCTAATTAGCCATCAGTTAGTAGCAAAAAGAGAGAAAAAAACTAATGCAGACATTAATTACTGTATGACATAATAGTAATGTAATTTATTATCATAAATATATATATATTATTAAATAATAAAATAAAAGTAACTTTTATTAAGTTAATTGTGTTATTAAGACATTTCGCTATATTTATTGAACTGTTCATACATTTAGAGAGAGAGAGAGAGAGAGAGAGAGAGAGAGAGAGAGAGAGAGAGAGAGAGAGAGAGAGARAGAGAAAGAGAGAAAGAGAGAGAGAGAGAGAGAGAGAGTAAAGTATAACTAAAAAAAGTGTGTAAATTGTGGACCAATAGTGTGACTACAAGTGAAACGTTGGCTCCAATGTATAGACCATTGCATTCAAACAACACATGTATTGTGTATGACATGACATGACTTGCCTTTTGTGCTCTCATTTCAAACTATTAGTCAAAATAACTGTAGTATTAGTTAATAAACAATAATAAACCATTAATTTAGTTATTATTTGTTTGTTTATATTATAAATAATAATACAAACAAATATTGTTTTTTGTTGATTATAACTGTGTGGCCATTGACTAGAAATTGAATGTAAGTTATCGATGAAAATATTGTCTACAAAAACAAAACATTGAAAACAATAGTAATTTTGTGTCAATTATTAACAAAAGACTTATATATTGAAAGTAAAGTCACATTTGATTTGTTTGATTAATAATTTAAGACAACGTTTTGTTTATGTTTTTATGTTTTGTTGTTATAATTAATGCTTAAAAATGTGTGACATTTTTGTTTTGAAATAACAAATTATTTGTTTACTATTTTTATATTTGATTTCATATATATTTCTCATTAATTCATAGGTATTTGTAGACTAAAAAATCAGCCGAAGATTGAACTCTAAAAAACAAGAAGTGAGACAAACAAACATTGATTATAAATAAGGATTAGTTGTCCAATGAGTAGCCAAAAGTTGTCACCAAAATTGATAGAACAGCTCGAAAAAGACGAGAAAATCAAAGACGCGTTCAGACTATTTGCCGCTCGTATTGTCAACAACTCGAAGGTTTCGTCGCTCACGATGTCTGAGATAGTGAACAATATGTCAGATAGTAGTTCTGATGATGACTTCTCTGATAATGAATGCGAAGATTTAGTCGATGATGAAGATGACGATGAGTCGGAAAGTGAAGACAAATCAGCAATTGATAAGATTGAGGCCAAACATAAACACTCGATGGTTGGATGCAAATGCAAACTAAAAGAGTTGACAAATAATAATAAAAATAATAATAAGAAATCAACTAATGATAAATCCCCGACTAAGTCAAAGTCTAGTAAAGACAATACAAAACATTTGATTGAAAATACCGGTCGACAGACAAGTGAGGCCTGTATTTGTGAGGATTGTCTTCAAATGGCGACACAGCGCAAGAAATCTGATGAAATGGCCGTTAAATTGATTGCCGACGAAGAGAAGAAAAAGAAAAAGTCAGAAAAGAAAAAATTACAGAAAAAGAAGAAAAGAGAGAAAAGAAAGGCTGAAAAACAAGAGTTAGGTCTTAATAGTGGTGTTAATAACAATAATATAAATGTTAATAAAACTATACAAAATAGTTTGAGTAATAATAATAATAATAATAATAATATAAATAATAAAAACAATACTAATAATAATAGCAAAAGTGATAATATTAGCAATAAAATGGATATAAAACAAAAGTGTACTTCAAAACAAAATACAGATATTGTGAACGAGAAAATGACAAATAAAATTAAGCAAAATAATGGCAATAAATCATCGGATAATAAGTCTAACAATAGTTGCAAATCTGAAAAAGATAACGACTCAGTGGATGAGTCCAGTGTTGAGGAAGAAGAACTTATTTTCAGTAGCGCTTATGTCTCACAAATAGCTCAAAGAAAGTCGAAACCACTATATAATACACAAAAAACAGCTCAAACTATACCACAAAGTGATATACCAATTGTTGGTCACATATCTGACGATAACATTAATAGCCTTGAAAATAGTAATACCGATTCTTGTTCGGATCAATTCGATGATATCTACTTTAAAAATGCATATTTGGACGAAAAAAATTGGGAGGACCGGTATCTATCAAATAATAATAATAATTCGGATAATAACACGAGTTTTACCGGTAATACAAATCAAAATAAACGTGAAGATGAAGAGCCAAAATATAAGCAATACTTTTATGACGGACACAAACAAAAGTCAACGAAAGTGACAACCGCTCAAAACCTAACTAAAGAAGTGAAGACACAAAACAAAGAGAAAAGCATAGAGTTTGCCATTTTGGCCAATCAGAAGGCAGAATCTAATTGTTTTAGTGAAGCCATTGAACTTTTTAATAAAGCTGTCAGTAATAATCCCAATGATTATCGATTTTATGTCAACCGATCGTATTGTTACGATAGTATACAAGACTTTAGAAATGCTTTGAAAGACGCCGACACTGCCATTCAATTGAAGCCAAATTGGCCTAAATGTCACTATAGAAGAGGTAAAGCTTTGGCCGGACTTAAGAACTATCAGGAGGCAGAAGTATCACTGAAAAAAGTACTAACAATGGAAACGGATTGCGATGAAGCCCTCTCTGAGCTCTATCACGTCCGATACGGTGCTATTGTAGACATGGGATACGACACGTCTATGGCTAATGAGTATTCACATAAATACGAGTCAATCAAAGAGGCGTTAACTGCTCTTTCTATTAGAGGAAATGACCAAAAGTTTTCAAATAATAATAATAATAATAATTTTTCTAAAAAACTAAATTCTTCAACTGATAATTGGATCCGTAGACCAAGTAATAGTGAACAAAAAAATGGTGAAATTTGGGCCGACGATGACATATATATTTCCGATGATGAGTGGAGTCAAGTCAAAGAAATGACTGCAGAAGACACTTCGTAAATACTATTTAACCCAATGTTTTATTTTTAAAAACTAATTATCTAATTATTGTTAATTAAAGGCCAACAAATCCTTTTGGGTGGAAAGCATTATGGGTGGGAAATGTAGCCCCAAATGCACAGTTGGATACCGTGACCAATATGTTTCGCAAGTTTGGAAATCTACACTACTGTAACATCTTTAAGGGTACTAATGGCGGAAATTTTATACTCGCCCACTACGACAACGCTGAATCACCGCGAAAAGCTATGATGAAGTATCAGGTATTTAATAAATATATCATTAAATTTATGTTAATTTATTTTTTAATCAATTTAAGGGAAAATGCATTCCTGGTGTCAGTATAACAGATAGTCCGCTAACAATAAGATTTCGTCCAAATAAGGATCAAAAGAAACCTAATTATGATCAGAGATTGGAATCGGATGAGTGTTACTATTGGCGTACCACTGGCTGTGCTCGTGGAGATAAATGTCTATATAAGCACATACCTGCTAATAGAGGTGTCGACAAACAGGCCTGGATGTGTAATCCATTGAAAAAAGGTTTACAACCCATACAAAAGTCACAAAAGTGAAAAGTGATGGTTTGTCCACATTTTCCGTTAAATAAAATACATATAATAATAACATGTTTGTGTTAAACACATTTTGATTTTATTTATATATAAAATATAAAAAAATATATATTAAATATACCGTATATAAAATTTAATCAAAAAATGTTATAACATAAACAAATGATTCTTAATTGTTATTAATCGCAAAACTTATTATTTATAGATATATAATATTTGAGCAAATAATTACCACAAAAAGATATAAATGTAAATTATACCGTAATTATAATTACCGGTAAAGTCTTTTTATATATATTTAAAAAATATATAACCAAAGAAATACATTAAATAACACTAGTATTATATATTTAAAATTTACACTTAACCGTAGTTAAACAAGAAATAATCTTATAATAATAAGTTATTAATTCAACTAATTATTGAAATTAAATATAATTACTAATAATCTTTTATTACAACAAAATATATTAATTGAAAAAAGTGCTTATTATTGTATATTTGATACATTAAAATGAGACTATTTTTCGATAACAAACAATAAATAAATAAATGAATTATAAATAATTTGCTTTATTTTTGAAGCGCATAATTCCATTGGTCCTCATATTGTGTTTGATTTCTATATTGAATATCATCTAAATCTTTGTCGACCTTTTCTCTGACACTTTTCTTAAATACTTTGCGTTCCAACCGTTTTCGTGAAGTTATCTCCGGTTTTGAAATGTCTTCTAATTCTGGATTTTGTTTTCGACGTTTTTTACGACTTTTAAGACTCAAATCAATGCCGATCTGAGCTTTCAATTCTCTCAATAGGACCGGGTTTTGCCAATCGGGCAAATCATTGGCTCGTTTTAATGCCTCCTTTTGTTTCTCTATTTCATCGATAGGATCACCAGTAGAATCTCGACTAATAATGAGTCCATGAAATGGACATTTGATGGAATCTCTTCGCGGACACAATTTTCCTGATGGAAGTCTTGCGTTGCATCGATTCTCAACAAATGAATCATCTGTTGATTTTAGTACTATTGATGAAGTTTGTGTACCAGAAGTCGAAGGTTTATTACAATCTAATGGTTCCAAACCATATTCATGTCTTCTTTCTTCGGGTATAAACAGTTCCAAACCTTCCTTTTCTTCAACTTCTATAAAGTCATCGTCGTCTGAATCGTCGCTATCTTTATCCTGTTTTGGCAATTGTTTGATATCTTGAGAGTCAATAATCTTCAGCTCTAAAAACTTTTGTCTAACGCTTTCTATTTTACACTTGAGATCAATAGCTTTCTTCAGATGTGATTCACACAAATCATATCCTTTAGTCATAATCTGAATCAATCTTTTGAGTCGATTGTCTAATATTTTGGATAATTCTGAATGAAATTCTTTAAGATTACAAATGATTGGTTTCGTGTCTTCGTTGGCAACAATTTCAACAATTGGTTCAAATAATATATTGATACTAAAGTCGTTGAGATGTCGGATACGAGTACTGTAATCATCGCAACTATTATCGGAGGTTTCAGTTATTTTCGGTAACAAAAGTTCAAAACATGAGTTAATTTGTGTCAATAATGTTTCGACTTCTTTGGATAAATCACTCAACTCTTCCACAGATTTTGTTATTTTTAATTTTAAAACATTTTCGCGTCGTTTTCCTTCTTCTTCGGCTCGAAGTCTTTGACTAGTATTTTGAACGACACGTTCTCTGAAGTCAACCAAACGATTGTCTTTCAAGTACTTCATAGCAGATCTTAATTGTTGATACCCTTCGCCAAACTCTTTAGTCCACTTCTCCATCAAATCGATTGTCAATTCTTTTAGTTTATCGGCAAAACTCTTTGGTTTCGGAAGTTTACGTTTGGGATCTAATTCGAGACACAATTCAAACATATCGTAAAGATTTTCGGTAACCAATTGTCGGAAACGATGCGATCGTCCAAACAGTTCACCGATAATTAGGACAGTTGTCACTCGGATTTGCGAGTGATTTGCGGACAACGCGTTAAACAGATGTCTCACAACTCGGTCGATGTGGTCATCGCTGACCCGACAATAGGTCTTCAATTGTTTCAGTTGACTGACGTTCAGCTCTTGTGTACCGCTTTTAGTCATCGTTTGGATCAACTTTTCGATCTCACTATCACTCAATTGGTCCATCATTTGTGGACACACTTTGACAGTCACTTAAACCCAAACAAAACCAATGAAACAAATAATAAATTTACATTTGTTTACGTATTTTCAATGTAATAAAATAAATGAAATAAATTATGTTATTTTCATTATAATAGACAGAAAAAGGGCGTAAGTTATTGGCCTTACAATTGATTAGTTAAGTCTTTAATAAATAAAAACATCTGCATTGACGACATCTAACAATAGTTTTTTTATTGAAACAAAAAATCAAAATCTTTGAACAAAAAAGTTTTAATCGTAACTAAAGACAAACAGATTTGGAAAAATTACATATTTTATATACTATTTATAATTACAATTAATTTATAGTTAAATACAATACAAATATTTTTGTTTTTTAGATTATAAGTTACATTAAGTAATTACATTGGATTTTATATTTTATTTTAATCAAATTATTTATTTATTATTATTTAATGTTTGAAATTTAAATTATACTAAATTTTATAAAAAACTGAATTATAAAATATGGTCTAAAACTTTGTATAATTTTCATTCTTTAACTAATAATAAAATAAATTTGATTCTTGTTTTGTGTGTTTGTTTATAACTTATTAATTATAAATTATAAGAGAGAGAGAGAGAGAGAGAGAGAGAGAGAGAGAGAGAGAGAGAGAGAGAGAGAGAATCTAAAAATAGTATGAAAAGAGAGGGAACAGAGAGATAGAGCATATGTGGTATAATATAAGCAAAAACAACAAAAATTATTTAAAACAAGAAGATTGAAGTGAAAATCGAGTCTTCATTTACTTCATTACTAAATAGACATTAAAATAAAAGTTTATTTTAGAGATACTTATGTCTCAGTAGTAGTATATATAATCAGATGCGAAAAGAGTCAACTCATGTACACAACTATTAATAACTTTTCAAATTTATAATTTCAATTTAAATTCAAATTGAAATTGAAATTGAAATTACAATAAACCAAAAATGAGTTGAATATTCAACAAATATTGCTAAACATTAAAAGATTAATTTTTTAAAAATTATAAACTTTTATTTTGAGGAAATATGTTTGTTGTATATATATATTTAAAAAATTGAATTTTTGTAGTAAATTTTTAGAGTATAGTAAAAAACTAATAATAATGTAATAAATATGTGATTTATTGTGATTTAAATGACAAATTTGTGGCATCAATACAACAGTCAATAATAATAATATTTTGGTAAAGAAGAAGAAGAAGAGGAAGAAGAAAATGGCTTCAAAAGAGTCGTCCAATAGTTCGGTGCAAATGATGCACAAACTGTTGCCAATACTCTTATATATTCGTAATTATAATGAATATAATCGACACAAACCATCGCAACCATCCATTGAATGCAATAAATTTTCGGCCAATAATTGTAATCTGAAAATGTTAAGAGTTTCCCAACAAATCACTGCTTATTATGAGGTAATAGACAACTCTATCATTATATCATATTTTTTTAATTTTCGATTACCTAATCATTATATAATAATTGCTTACAAGTAATACAATGTATTCATAAAGTGTAGTTAAAAACAGATTTTTAAAAAAATAATTTTTTTAAATAAATACATTTCTATCTCAATATAATACATACTATTATTTACATGTTTTTTAAATCAATTAATTTATGATAATCTGTTTGTTTTAGCTATTAATAAAAACTAATCTTAAAAATATGTATTTTATTCAGATAAATATATCAATCAAATTGTTTGTATATGGGTTTACTATTTAAAAGTTTGATAGCGTATTATAAATACTGTATTATATTTATAAATTTTTTAATTAGATTTTTATCTCAATAAATACATATAAAACAAATAATTTAAAATTGATTTTTTATTTATAACAAACAAGTTATAAATTAATATAATTTATTTTAGATATTTATTTATTTTAATTACAATTTTAGTATTTTACAATGCATATTTATTTAATTTATAAATTCCAATACTATTGTGAATATGTGATATTTATAAAAATTAGATAATTTTGTTATTTTTAAAATTAAAATATCTGAAATTAATGTAAAACATTTGATTAATAAATTTATTAAAAAATCACAAATGGTATGTATTAATGAATAACTTTAATTACAAAATGCTTTATCTGCTGATTAATTACTGAAATTAAATGATTTAAAAATATTCTTAATAATTATTACAAAAATATGTATAATGACTAGAAATTACTTTTAATAATTAATAATATTAATTTTTGTGAATATAAAAATATAATATATTAGTTAGAAATAAATTAAAATTCATAGTAAAAATTAATAACAAAAAACTTGTACTAATATGTAAATGTTGTATTAAAAATTACAGAGATTATTTTATTTTATTAAATTGTATTTCTACTATTTTAATAGTTAGATTTAATTTATTATACAGTATTATATTATTTTACAGTAATTATCAATATTATACAGTACATTAGCCGAATAATGCAAAATTTAATTACTTGTATATAATTGTACTAATTTATTAAGTTTCTAATAATGTTATATTTATTAATAGAATTAATATAAAATATTAATTATTTTAACACTGAGAATAAAAACACTATATAATCTAAGGGCATATATTAAACTTGGACTAAAATCATTCAAAAATATAGTTAATTTGACTAATTATTGCCAATAGTTTAACATTATATATTATTTTTTTTTAAATTGTAGCCTTTAATTTATTAGTATTGTTTTAATGTTAAAGTATCTGAATTATTCAACTATATTTTTGAATCAATTAAGTATAATATATGTCCATAGATTATATAACGTTTTCGTTCCCCAGTGTTATAACACTTGTGGGTTATATATAATATAATATATTTATATATATTTAAATGCCCTTTAATTTATTAGTATAATAATTGTTATTATAACAATATATTTAATAATGTTTAACAATAAAAGAAATTAATGTGATTTAATAAACAATAATTTTAGGCCGAAGCGCGATTGAATGCCCGAAGACAGGCCAGAGCTGAGGCCCGAGCCATAAGAGCTATTGAATTGGAGAGACAACAGAGGGAACAAAATCTAAGTAATGAAAGACTGTCCAAATCGTTAGCCAGAAGTAAACTCATCAGTGGTTCCAACAGTGATATACCTAATAAATCATCACTTATGAGAAGAAAGGTATCAATGGTGTCATTGAAAAAAATGTGAATTAATTTTAAAAACAATTTTCAATTATACTATCGTTTTCTAGAGTTCTTGCTCTTCATATACGAGTTCCAGAAGAAGTAGCGAAAGTTCAATTGATTTGCAAAATTCAGAAGAAAAACATATTATTGTTTGTTTAAATTTATTAACAAAAATGTTTTAATTTTTTATAACTTTGTATTTTATATGATTTAATAGACACAATTATATGACTTAGACGATAAATATAAGGAAGTAATGGTAAATAACGCACAGTTAGAAAATGAGAAACAATCGCTTTCCTATCAGATAAACATCTTTAAGGATGAATACGAAGAAATTGAAGAAAATTATATCCGTCTAAACAAACAATATAAGGATAAAGTTAAGGTATGATTGATATTAATATTTAATATGATTTTTAAATCTATATATAATTTATATATATATATATATATATTTATAAACAATTATTCGATACATAAGATTGTCTGAGAATTTATAATATATCATTTTAATATATCATTCATAATCTATTATTTTATACTATTATCTGTATAGAGTAGTATCAAATTTCACAATAGTATTAATTCCCATTTCAATTGATTTTTTGTTGTTGAATAATATAATTTTAAATTCAGATATTATAAAATAAATAATTATATTCATTGAAGTATTATTTTACATGTTAACGATGATAAATTTTTAAAATTTATAAATTAAGCAACAATATATCAATATGTAATTAATTATATACTTAATTTAAAAATAATTTCTTAAAATGATATATTTAGCAAATGAATCTAAAATGTTTGTGTCTTAAAGTTTTATTTGTTTTTAGAAATTTTAAAATTATTTATAAACTAAATAAAACAATTTTATTAACAGTATTTAGTTATAAATTAATTTTATCAAAAAGTTTTTTATAGCAATATTAAATAACATAAAAAATAAAACTTTCTATTTACTTTCTATGTTAAAATTGCAACAATTTTTAAAAATAATTCATATATTTATATATTTTATATATTTATAAATAGCATTTCCTATAAAAATAGAAATTATCTCATTTGAATCGTCTTCAAGCCATAAATATTATTTAAAATTTCTATTTCATAAAAATAAAGATTTCATGATTTTTCAAATAATCATTATATGCAAGACTTGATATATGTTTGGGACGATCTCAAAGTCAGTTGAATTATTTTTTTACATTATTTTAGTTTTGATATTTCATTTTGTAAAATAAAAGAAAAAGTTTTCACTTTAAGCTATGGAGCCATAGACAGACAGTATGTTTCAATATTTTTTTTAATACGATATAAATAACAGTAGATATATCAATGATAATTATGTACAGTATATTTAAATGCATTACTAATTATATACTTCTTATGTTTATAAGCAACAAAATAATCAACCAAAATATCATTACAACAAATCCTATACACAAAAAACAAAACTTTTTATTTAATAAAATTAGTTATATTTTTAAAGATAAGTTCAAATTTATTGAAATATATAATTCTTTACGCTATTCATTTGAAATGCATTTTTTTTGCAAATCAGCTCTTTTTTATAGCCTATCTTTAGACCAGAGGTTATCAGCCTTTTCCAGAGCACATCCCTGTTCTTCATATATGACAACACTATTATAGTTGACATAAACGGAAAAACTCATTGAGAAGAGAAAATAAATTGATTGCAATTTAACAAAAAAAACTTTAAAACAGTTTTATTTTATGTTTTCCGTGTTGTTAGCTATTTATAAAAGACGAAACAACAATAATTGAAATTGATAGATGACTTATTCATTGTACAGCTTTATAATAATAAATTACTCAAAAAAATTAATTTGAAACAAATGTTTGTTTTGAATTTTTTTTCTTAATAATATAGACTAAAGTTATGCAGTTATACATTTTCAAAAAAAACATAAATTTAAATTATTTAAAGTTATTAATTAAGATATTTTATTATAGTATATACTATATTATAATATGTAGTATACAGTCCAAATAAAACAAACTTTTATTTTATAATTATAGATCTATAATTATAATGTTTACTTATTATTATAATTAATTTACCAGTCATTGGATCAATTGGGCCGCAACTATAAAACTGTGCAAAAAGATTGTGATTTTTACAGACAATGTCTTCGTCAAAGAAATTATTTAATAGAGGTTTGAATGGATTTATAAATAATTGATTTCTAATTTTTTAAAAAAATATGAATCAACTGACAGGAGGCGGGATTAGTGTTTATGGATTCAGAAGAAAACAACCATTTGTGTCAATCACGAGTCAATCATTTATTAAGTAGTGATTTAAGTGACACTAAAAGTGAATCATTGGGCGATGAAAGCGGTTCCGAGTCTGGTATTAGTGGAAGTGTCACTAAAACACCGACAAATGTTTCTTTAGTTTCAAGAGAAGCGGCACAACTTTTAGCTGCTGTCGATGGTCTGTCACTGGAGTCTAAAATAAGGACATTATTGTCTGAAAGACAGCTATTAGTCGACGATTTGGATCAATTAAAAACTGATTTGAAAGATGAAAGACAAAAAGCTATCAAATATGAAGAGTTGACTCTAATTCAAGCCAACAGTCAATCAGCTAATTACGACACAAATCCTAATATTCAAAGTATTAATATTATTATTACAGTATATATTATATTAATAATTTAAAAAACTTAATCTAAACTTAAAAAACTATAGGAGAGGCAAACAAATTAGTTTCTGATTATAAATTAAAACTCGAAAGATTTGAACACGAGATCAGTACACTTAACGGCACTGTTATGCGACTCGAGACACAACTGACCCGATATAGGAATGCAGTCGAAGAGGCGGACAGAGTGGAGGAAGAATTGAAAGCAGAGAAAAGGAAAACTAACAGAGAGGTGACCAACACTTTCATTATAATTTTATTGTAATTTTATATTAGCTAAAAAATATCAAACTATATATTTAATATTATAGTATTTGGAAATTATTTAATTTTTTTTAAAAATTTTATATAACTATATAATTATAATTAATAGTTAAAAGAGGCATTGGCTCGGATTGACGAGTTGGAGACAGAGAGTGCACACTTGCAGAAGCGCATCGATAAATTGAAATCTAACCGTAATATTAATGGTTAAGTCATTATATGTCGATATCAATGATTTCCACAAATTGTTTTAAACAGTACACATCATAGCAAACAATTCATTAAAAATTTATTTATTATATAAAATTTCGTTGATTTCGTTATATAAAATTTAAGAACATTTTATTTAAATCTATAGAATCTAAAACTTAAATTTGGTTAAAGTTTTTTTTGCAAAATCATAACTTGGATTTCATTAACGGATTACGGTTTATATGAAACTGTATAATTTGCAGTAAATGTTACAAATTGTTTAAACAATTTTAAATAATAACTTAATTTACTTTAATTGCTTATAATTACTTTTTATTTACTATTCTATTATAATCAGATGTAATATATATATATATTTATTTAAACCAATAAATATTAAATATTTCTACATTGAAAAAATTGTGATTATTAAAAATTAAATTTCTAATTAAATTAAAATTAATTATAAAACTTATTAACAAAATTATAAATCTATAGTTTATTGTTAAAAATTGTAGAAAACTTAAAATGTACTAATTATTTGTATGTCTGTGTCATATAGAGATGGGCAAATAGAAAGTTTCTAGAAAATTTCTCATGAATAAATTTCTATAGAAATTTAACTTTAATGTTATTCTATGGGATCCCCATATCTATGGTTATTGTAATACCAGTATTTTAATAAGATAGAATACTATACATATAATATCATACAGTACTATACAAATGGGATACCTATATAAAATATATATACATAATATTATAATTATTTAATAATAATCAGTTTTTAAAAATTTTATTCATTTTATAATATATATATCATAGTTTAATATAGTTTAATTAATTATTTTTTTACTTTTAATTAATAATTAAAATACTAATAATAATATTTAATGTATTGTTATATGATAGCAAATATCGAGATAACAAAATTAACCATGGGGATCCCATAGATAGAAATTTCTTTTAGAAACTTTCTAGAAATTTCTCTATTATTTTATAAATTTCTCTTTTTTGCCAACACTAGTGTCATAATATGAACTTGCAATAAAATATTACATCTAATGAATCATGGTCAATTTGTTTATCTGTGATAAATTTGATATAAAGTTTATTATTAGACAAACTAAATGATTTTAAATAATTTAATAATATTTGTTTATTATTTATTAAACACAAATTAATAACAATTATGAATAAAAGTATTAAACAATTTTATTCATTAAAGTCATTACTGAGAAAAATGGTTTATACGAGAAAAGTAAATATATTTTATTAATCTAATAATTAAATTAGACTAAAAAACATTAAATTAAAAAATGAATAATTTTAAGGAAAAACCATTGGCTTATTCTCAATATTCACGACTATTAATCAGTAAATACAAATCAGAGACAATTGATTACACAATGAGAGCAGTGATCGGATGTTTTTTATCGGATCCGTTACCTGAAGAGGATCTCATATTCAAGAATGGAAACGATGTTTCGCTATTCTTTAAGAATCTTTGTAATGAATTTTCATGGATTGTTGAGTTGGAGTTGTGTCACAACAACTCATATAACAGATACAGAATTGCATTGATTTTCCGGTCATTGTTCTCATTGAAGAAATCTTTGCCAACATTTAATTTATGCAAAGAATTATTGACTGAAAAGATGATTGATATTTGGCACCAGTTTTTAAATTTGTTTACTGATAGCGAACCCAAAATTAGGGTGATTTGCGTGCAAACAATTGAAGTAATTTTAATGACACAAATGGATGAATTGATTGTTAATACAATGGTTTCAAATCTAAATAAAAGATTACGTGATGTCAATGAAACGATACGTATCGGCGCACAGTTTGTAGTCAGTAATTGTCACGATTTAGACACTATATTAGACCACAATCTGATGAGACATTTTGTGGCCAGAATTGGTGATAAAGAACTGGAAGTTCGCAAAGAAGCCTTGATTTGTGTGTCAAATGTCTTTCAAACGATTCAAACTAAATATAATAAAACAAGAGATAACTTCATCTATAAGTTACCGACAGCTTGTTTACTACGATATGGTATCACTGATATTGAAGAGGAAAAGTTAGCTAAACTTTATATTGTAATTACTTATAATTACTTATAATTTTATTTTGAAATTTTTAGATCATATATAGAGCTTGTGTTTACCATTAATTTAATTGGCAATAATATTGAATCTGAAGCCAAAATGAAGAACCTCTTGAATTTGATCTGTTTCTGTGACGACAGTGCCATCAAAAATATTTCACAACTATTTCACAGTCAACTAAAAATAAGGACTTATTTTGCTAAACTTATTGTGTCCACTGAAAGACATGATTTCAATGTATCACTAATTGATGCCAATAATAAAGTCTATCAAAATCTTGTCAAATGCTTTCAATACATCGATGGCATTGAAGAACTATTGAAAAATTTTCATAATTTACTCAAAAATTATGAACAACAACAAGATTTCGATGATTTATTGGATGTCTTTACCTGTAATCCATCCATTAATTGTGAACAATCAGTGAATATTATGAATAAAATGATTGAAATTAATTTGAATTCTGTCAATGAAGAGACACTTATATCATTGAAAGAAGAGATTACTCACAGAACAGGTATTGGTCTCATTAATGGCAATAATTTGATTCAATTGTTTAAACTAATGGACAAAATTGATGTCAAATTTGTGTCGCGTTTGACATCTTTTATTGTGTTACTCACTAAATGCTATTCAAATTATTTTAATGATAATATCATTAAAGATGTCTTCCTTTCTTTGCCACCAATTCTGATAAAATATCTGTCAAATGAAGATGTTTTGTGTCATATGAATTGTGGTAATAATTTAAAAGAAATGATTAAAGATATGATTCTTTGGGAATATATTTAGTCTAACATTTAAAATACCCATTTCTAGGATTTTTTATTTATTTACTGCAATTCAAAATAAAATTAAAGATAATAATAATATATTTAAAAATTTCGACTTTGAATTTAATGAACATTTTTATTATCTATTTTTTCTTCTAATGCAACTATTTCTATAAAATCATATATAATTATATATACATTATATATATTTTTAATGAAAAATGAAATTTATTTATATTTAATATAATTTCAATTCGAAATAACAAATAAAATTAAAAAAATTAATTATATATAAGTTATAATTATTAACATAATTATTAAATTACAGTATTGTATAGAAATTAATAAAGAAGTTGTATTTCAGGCGGCGGTTCCAGCGGTGGTAAATCGGGAACAGCTGTGTTGAGCTCGTGTTGTATGTTCTCATTCTTAAGCCTCTGGTTCTCATCTCTTAACTCTTTGTTCTCCTTCTGAGACAACTCGAGTTCGCCGAACAACTGGAAGACTAATTGTCTAAGTTTTTCATTAATTGTTTGCAATTCTTCGATAATTGTTTTATCGTCTTTCGGCATTTTTGACCCGTTTTTATATAATGAATCCGAATGACTGCCTGTGGAATCTGTTGGCGAATTTAGTTCACTTGTTGTCACTGTTGTCTGAGAACCAGTTTTTTGAAATGAAGAATCCGTTCGTCTTTCGATAAGAAATTGAAGAAGAGAGTCGTGTTCTGACATTACGTGAATCAATTCGGTCATTACATTAGACTTATTGGCCATTTTACTGGTGCCCTCCGAGAAAGCGGTGCCCACTTCGGGCGTAGTTTGTGGCGAATTGAGACCAAACTTATCCATCAATTGTTGTCTATTAATCAACTCTTGTTTATAAATCAAATGTTTCTGTTGTTCGCAAATTTCTCTTTGCTTTAAGACTCTCTCTTGTGATAAATGAAAATCTTTTTGTGTTTCGAGCGATGCTTTCATCAGATGACAAGTAGTTTGAAGAAGAGCTTCTTGTATGTGATCTAAACAACAAAATAGATAACAATTAAGTCTTTGAAATGTCAATCAATTAAATGATAATCAATAATATCTAGACTTAATATATGAAATGATATGTAATTTCAATTGAATTAATTAAAACAACAATAATTATGATATAATAGACGGAAACCACGGATTAGTGGTGACCACTGGTCAGTAGTCCGATCGATATAAGAGATAACAAGATATCTTCACTTACGGGCAGCTCTTAAATGGCTTTCAATGGCTTCTCTGAATCGATGGTTATTCAGAAAGTATTCAGCCTTTCGATGGCATCGATGGGCCTTTAATATAGTAATTGGTGGACCAAATCAAGTGATAATTAGGTCAGTGATTGTGTCCTATCATTGATTATCACAACACTTACCAAATTGAGCGACGAATCCATAATAACTGAATCATTGCTTCAAAAACAATGAGTCATTCATTCATTGATTTCTTTACGTTATGTTTGGTCCACAAGTGATGACACACTCAACACATTCAACACATACTTTAATATACAGTAATAATAAACATATGATATGTCAACACATTATCAATAGTTTCAATACATTCACAATATTTATCTTTTTTTAAACCAATTTTTACATTGGATTTAATTTTAATGAATATTACTATTAATTCAATGAATCGTTTGATTACTGTTGACAGCAATCAATGGTTAAGTGATTTGTCAGATGAAGACACCATTGACACCACATTTGATGACTCGGTTTACATCTTGAGTTTGAATAAAATTATGGACAACACTGACAACACAACTTCAAAGTTGAACTCATTGTTTAATGATCTTAATTTGGACACCGATTGCGAGTCCATCAATACAGAGGTAACGGATCAAGTCTGGCAAATGTCGGATATCACCGACACGTGTTCCGGCTTTAGTGATGTGACCATCGATGACAGTAACTCACAAACAATGGATGACTCGAAGAATGGCTTTGATATCAATGTATTAAATGAATATTGTTTTATTCATTTAATGTCTTTTATGTGTTTCAAAGATCTGATGACATTGAGATCTGCTAACAAATATATGAAGTCATTGGTTGAAAACTATTTGAAATGCAAACGTAAACTCAAATTCATCAACAGTTTCGCCAAACAGAACATCAATATCGAGACAACCAAAGCATTGGCCACCGATTTGGTTGTTTCGACCAACGACTCGAAAACGGATCAAATATTGACTTTAATGACACAATTGTGTCCTAATTTAGATTCACTTGAAATGATTTACATAACAATTGATGAACCGATTGTTGAGGTTTTGACAAAAAATTTTTATGATGTCAAACAACTATCATTTGCTCATCCATTAGGTCTGACTGAAGACAATATTGAACTGATTGTCAACTATTTTGGAGCCCAACTCATTGGCTTAACTTTGACCGACTGTGATATCAGTGAGGACTGTCTTTATACTGTAATCAATGTGTGTCCAAACTTGCAATCGTTGGATATATCGGGAAATGTGGACATAACTGGCGATTGTTTTGAATATCTTAATAGTAATTTATTAGTTCTTCGATTATCACAATGCGATTCAATACAAGAATATGGTCTCAAAGCTCTAGTGTCCAGTGATTGCAGACAATCATTGGTAGAATTAGTCATCAGCGGAATGATTAGTGATTATATGATTAAACTAATCTGCGAATCGTTGCTAAATCTTCGTTCATTTCAATGTGTCTACGGCTGTACCCGTGAATTGGACAGTAAAACTGACCACTTGAGTATTATCGGTAATCTTTCGCGACTTGAATGGCTTTCATTACAAGAAATTGACGCATATTTTGGATCACTGGATGATAAATGTCTATATAATATACTGAGTTGTTGTAATCGATTAAAATATTTAGAGCTTCATATCGGAAGTGGTGAACCACTTCTGGTCACTGACCAGTCGTTATCAATGATTGCCAACTATTGTCCAGAAATTGAATGCTTAAAAATCTATTACTTCGAGGCCTTAACTGACCGAACGTTAAATAGTTTTTCAAAATTAAAACATTTAAGAGAATTAGAATTAATTAATTTATATAATATTACTGATGATGGCATCACAATAATTACCGAACAATGCACACGACTGACCAAATTGTGGATCAGCTTTGATGGCAATTGTGATTCAATAACAAATATTACATTAAGCGCATGCATTTCAATGTGCAAAAATCGACCGAAAAGTCTAATTGAAGTCAATTTTTTCGAGACTTGTATAACAGTGCCATTCAATGTGAAAATACCGTCAAATATGAGATTACGGGTCAGTTGGTATCGGCCAACACCTGAGGGTCGACGCTATACTGAAATCAGATTACCCAACGATAGACATTCAGTTACTATTTAAAGTCATTGTTTTGTGCAATAAGTGAACATTTTTTGACATTTACAGTATACTAACATTAAATCTACTCATATATACATTTGTTTAATATATTATATATTTTTAAAAAATATTATATATATATATTACTTTAACATTTTTACAACTTTATGCTAAATTATTATAAAGATTATTTTGTAATAAAATTTAAAAATTTTATACCCAAATTTAATGGTAAATTATTTATTTATTTATATATTGATATATATCAATATATATTACAAAATTTATTATATAAAATCGGTAACAAAAATATTAACAGTTTTTATAGCTAATGTTTGTAGAAATAAATTTTTAATATATAAATTCAGTGATACTGTATTATACAAAGTTTTATTTATTCAACAGATACAGTATACACAAGGATAGGGATATCTAAAAAAAGTTATGATAAATCTATTAATGACAAAATATATATTAGATGAATAAATTATTAGATATAAATAGTCTAGATGACTTATTTAAAAATTTTTATAAATAAATATAAACTATTTTAGGTGTATTGTGATTTTATTAAAGTTATTAGTGTCTATATATTGAATTAATTATTAATTGATACTAATTATTATTAGAGAATTTTAATGATAAAAAAATATATTAATCTTCAATACATATTATACAGATAATCAATAAATCAATATTAAATTAAAAGATTTATCATAATTAAAAAAAATTAAACAATAATATAATAAAAATTATTTAACATTACTACACAAAATACTTATACTTAATATATTATATTTACTTAATTTTTTATAATATTTTTTAAAATCTTAAGTATAATATATTATTATTAAAATGTGTCCGCAATCGATGTATAGTACAAACACATGTTTATCATATTTATTATAAAATACTGTATATATTTTATAACAATAATAATAATTTATATAAACGGATACATATAAGTTTGTGACACTTGTATAGCAGTATACTGTACTTATAATATAAGTATAAATTTAATTCTTAATAATCATTGATAAAAGCTAAAGTAGTTATGTATAATTTAAATAAATGATAATATATTAAATAAATCTTTCATATTTAAATACAAATTTAGTTATTTTTAAACATAAATAAAAGTGCAATGAATACCAATAAAAGTGTTTTTAGGTGAAGTACTTAAAAGGCTTTACATAATAAAATGTTATTTTTATTATAAGAAATTTATTATACTATTTATGTCTATTGATAATATACTAATAGATACCATACAAAAACATATTTTATATGTTAAAATATTTTAAATTAATAAACTTTACATTATATTATAATGTAATTCATTTAAAAAACTTTGACACGTCTACTGTATTGATAAATAATAAATTCGTGTGTTATTTAATTCTGTAAATAATAGTTAAAAAATAATATATAAAATACATATTATATATGAAGATATATCTAAAGAAAAATTTATATTAAATAATTTATTCACAGAAAATTAATTAATAGATTAATAGATTAATAATATCATTTTTATATAAAATATTATAAGTTTTTCACAAAATATCATATTAAGTCCATTATACTCAACTATATAACACAAAGCAAGATTTTAATGTATTTATTTTGTAATAATTATATTACTATAATATGTTGAAAACTAAATCAACTCAGATTAACTAACTTTCTTAATAAATGATTATAAAAAAGAGTAGGCGTTAGAGGTTAATGATTGCGGTAAAGTTGAACACTTTTTTATTATTATATAGTATAATAGATAATCTATAATTTAAAATTAATACAAAAATTAATGACAAAGTATATTATGTAATATACAATTTGTAATAAGTGTTTATTTATATATTTATAAGTCATATTAAAAATTTTGTCCGAAAATATAATATAGTTTGTTATTGTCTTATTAATTTATGCAATTAATTTATTGTCACCAGTATTAAATAAATAAACTAAAATAAACTAAATTAAATATTTAATCTTTTTGGGTAGTTTTTGAAAATTTTAAATGTCAATCTATAAGTTAATTTTGTCCATATTTTTTTAACACCCGAAATGTTAAGACTATAGTCATAACTTTGCTAAATAGTAGTAGTGTTTATGTTTAGTATTAACATATTGTTTGTGAATTTGTCAAAAACAGACAAACTTTTGTGTGTGTGGTTTGTCTTACAAAATAACTGCAGTCAACAGTCAAATAAATCCCAAATGGTTTTAAGTATTACTTTGAGACAGATTTAATCTACTAAACAGTATTAACTGTTTTTTATGATCAAGTAATTGATGGTAAACGATCATGTTCATATTATTAGATTCATCAATTTAATTATGACCAATAAATTTATTTTATTTATCTATTAATTCAAAAAATACATAATTAAAAAAAATGTAAATTAATAATGAATTATTTATACATATTCTTGCATTTTAGTGATAATATAACTAAATAAGGTATTTATATTATAATTAGTTTTACTAATTTATTGATTTTTTTAATGATTGAGAAAGTGTGGAAAAACTTAAGTAATAAGTGGGTACAGTATTAAAGTTTCTCAAAAAAAATGTATTTTTAATTAGTAATTTACTATTTATATTTAAAAACTATAATTATATATAAAAACAATGAATTTGTATAATCTATTTAATTTAAAAAAAAATGAACTAATTTATTACATAATTGGAAAAATAAATATTTGCTAATAAAACTATATCTAAAATAGTGTAGAAATCTTTATTGAGTTATAAATTATTTGATTCACTTTAAATATTTGCTTTTATATTACTTTTACTTTTTTTCATTATTGTATAAATTTTTATTGTAAATGTATTTATATCAAGTATGATATTAGCAAATTTTTATGATAATTCTATTAATAATCTGTTACAATAAACTATATTATAATTTATTAATAAATATATTGTTATATGTGCTATATTTATATTTTTTGTTTAATTTTTACATGTTTAATATATGGTAAATCAAATAAAAATTTATTAACATAATAATAATAATACAGTAGTAATACTAACATTATTATTAGCAATATTAATATAAAAGAATATTTCTAAAAAAGAAATTCTAATTATATTAAATAATAAAATCTATTTTAAGTTTAAATTGAATTATAAATTTAACACAAATGTCAAACTAAAATAAAATTTTCTTTTATTTGTACAAATACCACAAGTTTTAATTGAAAGATTTACTTCATTTTCAATTATAATTTTAGCACTATTTAAATTTTAAATTAATACTAAAGTTAGTAAAAAAAATGTATTCCCATTGGATCTAATAATTTATTAGTTTGTATATATTCTACTGTATTATATATTATTAGTATGTATTATATGCTATAAAAATATATTATTGGTTATTCAAAGTATTGTCTATTCTAATGTTCAAAGATTATTAAATTTAATATTTTTTGAACATTATTTTTACAAAGATAGACAAAATTAAAATATATGTAAAATTGATTGAGGTTTAATAAATTTAAATAAAACTTAATATAAGTTTTAGTTAATTTAAGTTAAAAAATTGTAATATTTTAAAAATAAAATTATAAAAATATTAATTGATTTATAAATAGAAAATAATCAGAAGTTATTTTGATTAATTTAATTTTTTATAACAAATGATTATTTTTAGCATCTATATAATTTTTTGATAATTTTAAAATTCATTAATACTAATTCAATGTTTAATGATAAATATAAATAATTGAAAATTCAAATATAATTTTTAATTATATACTAAAATGTCATTACTTAATATCTCAAAATCAGTACAATTATTATTCATATTTACTTAATCTGACTAAACTTAATATAGATTTAATTTATAAAACTATTGATAATTAAGCTAATTTATTATCCACTTTAAAAATAATATACCATTTAAGTTAAAATATTTATTATAATTAAATAGAAAATATACAGAATAGTAAACAAAATAATATAATATATATATTTAAAGAAATTATTAGCAAATAATTATGGCTTAAGTGGCAAAAAATGTTATGTCATTTGCAGGCATTGCTATGAACTTGAAATTTGGTTTTTCACGGTTAAGGTTATATTACATGCATTTTAGTGTTTTTCGTAATCAATCGATATCTGAATAACGAAAGAAAGAGAGAATCACTTTTATGAATGAAAGGTAAAGTATATGTTATGTTTAGTTACGTCATAATAATAGTTATATATATATATATATACACTGTATATACAGGCAATCAATAGAGTGAACGGTTGGATACGGACTGTGATTAACTGTCTGCGCAAACACACCGACTCTCAAACATCTTTATCTTCTTCTTCTTCTTCTTCACTCTCTATTGTCGTATCCAAAGGGATGTCTATAATAGTGATGTCTTTTACGTCATGACAACTAAATTTCAAACAAAAAAACCATTTCATTTCTATATTGTTTACTAAATAATATAACGTTATATATATACTGTATTGCATAGTAAAGACATCAATAATTACTTACATTACTATTGCTAGTAATATATTTGACATCAAATTGAGTTGTTTGTATAGCTTTTAATAGTTTTATCACAACTGAAGCTAATTTTGAAATTACTATTAATAACCACAACATTTCCATTACCAGTGGTCGAGACTCAAGTAATTAATTTGTTTACACTTTTTGTGTGTTAAACAAATTATATATATATTTATATACTTTTATATAAATAAAATAAATTTTTATAAAAACAATCAATGGTTAAAACTTATAACATTCAAAATTCCTTTAAATATAACTTATATATTTGATAAATAAAATATATTCATTGACATATTTTATAAGTATTTAAATTTAAATAATAGAAATAATAAATTATTATTATTTGTACATAAAAAATTAATTAATTATTTATATATTATATATCACTCAATATAAATAACTTAAATTTCACTTTTTAACTTTGTTATTAATATTAAAATAAAATATTATTTTAGTTTATAAGAAAATTATAAATTTAGTTTTTCAAATTTAAATCTATGAATAAAAAATTAACATTTTTAAAACAATAATTTTTTATTAATTAAAAAATAATATTAATAAAACTTGATAATAATTACTTATTACTTAATTTAATAAATCAGTAATACAGTATATATTTTTAAAATAATTAATTTATTAGAATAATAGATAATTAGTATATAAGAATATTTTATAATTTAAATTGAGAATAATAATATAAATATATTTAATGTAGTAAACAATTGATACATATATTTATAAATATATATTGTATTAAAAACATCAACAAAACATATGTTTATTTTGTTTGTATTAATGGTATGTAATTTATATAATGAATTTACAGTATAGAAAGTTATGTAAAGTGTGATTAATTGGCAACATTTAAGCCAAATTATTTAAGTTTTAGCACAAAATACAAGAATTTAGTAATTATTTTGGTTTAATTTCAAAAATACATATATATTCATAAAATCTTTTTATATAAATACCACAGTTTTCTTAACATTTATTTCACAATCCGAGTCAAACACTATATACTAAAATATATTTTCAAAGTTAAAAATAGTATTTTGTCTATTAAAAAGTGAGAAAATATATTATAATATAGATATATAAACTGTTTTTTAGTGTAGTAATTCGTGTGTTTTAAAACAAATATCTATTTTGAAAATTAAAAATATTTCTTGAATAATTTTTTTTACTAATATTACATTAAGTTTAATTTGTTAATAGAATTGTATACAAGATTGTGTGATTAATTTTGATTTAAAACTTTTGTGTTATGTGAAAGTTTGACACATTTAATAATCAACAATTTGTCAAAAAAAATTTTGACACAATATTTTGTGCTTAAAATATATGTAAATAATAATAATATTAAATTTGAAAAATAGTAAATTTTAATTAATTGAAGTTTTACACCTAATATTAAATAACATATAATAAATAATAATTTTTTGCCTAAATAATTTTGAAAACATTAATATCAATTGTATCATATTTTAAATGTTAAATTGTATATTAATAGTTACATAATTATATAATTAAGTTTAATAATTATTATATTATTAGGAAGGCTGAGATTTTGTCTTTTTTGTGTATTATTATTTAATACTGTATAACAATTTTTCTTTTCAATAACATTAATAACAATAAGCACTATATGTGTTAAAATGCTAGCAAATAATTTGTTTATTGAAAACATAGCATTGTGTTGATGCCAATGGCACTGGTATGTTATTTGGCAGTGATGACCACTTGTATAGATATATACCATATATATATATATATATATATCTTTAATTCACAAAATATTTTTTTAACTAAATTTATTTGTTAAGAATTAATTGTAATACATAAAATAAAATAATTATTAATTTTATATTAAAACTTTCATAAAATTACCAAAAAAATAAAATAAATTATTTTGTTGTTGTTATTGTTATAAATAAAAATAATAAAATAAAACAATTTAAAACATATTAAGATACAATAATAAAAATAATAATATGAGAATTGTGGTCATAATTGGTTTAAAATATAATTGCATTTTTAGTTATTAATGTATTGTTTTTCAATATTTAGAATATTCTTAAAATCATCACTTTTATTGTCTTAACAAATGATTTTTATTTTTTATTTTTTGTTAAACAATATTATCTAATGATTATGTAAAATATATATTGTAAGAAAAAATGTATGAAATAATTATTTATATATAATATATTTGATTTTAACAAAATATAACATAATTGTAATGTTTGTCTCGTATTAATAGAGAGAGAGAGAGAGAGAGAGAGAGAGATTGAGACCAAAAAGACATGTAAAAGAATGTGAAAACAATGAAAAAGCAATTCATCTCTTATTTATTATAAGGCAGTAGTTGTGACGATAGTCATCGTGTATTCATTTGGATCGGTAGGCAAACCTGTTAGAGTACACGTTACCGGACACAGACTAGTGGATGATTGATGTTGTTGTTGTTGTTGTTGATGATGTAGTTGTTGTTGTGGTCCTAATTGTGCTCCTCTTTGATGGTGAGTTTGTGATGCGTGTGTTTGTAGGGTATGATGAATGCTTGTGATCGTTGATGTGGTAGATGTTTGTGACGACGACTGTGTGTGTTGTTGTTGTGACTGATTACCATTACTAGTGGTCGATTGTCCTCCAGTAGTACCACTGGACCTATTTGTGGCACCACTACTATTACCCGAACCACCAGTACGTGACTCGCGCTTTATTTTTTGTTTGAGATGAACTTTCGCGTGTCGTTTCTTTTCATCACTTCTGGCAAACTTTCGACCGCAGAGATCGCATGAAAATGGTTTCTCACCGGTATGTGTGCGCACATGAGTGGTCAAGTGGTCACTTCGAGAGAAGGATCGCATACATATGCGGCACTGAAATGGCTTTTGTCCCGTATGTATGCGTATATGTCGTGTCAGTTCATCGCTTCGGGAAAAGCGTCGGTCACAGGATTCTATTGGACAGGCGTAAGGCCTCTCGTGGACAGGTGTTTTAGACGGTCTATTGGGATATTTGCGTGATTTGACGGGAATCAATTTGATGGGAATCGGACTATTCTGGTAGGCCTGACTCAAGATCTCGTGTCCTTTACTTGTCGATTGATTGTATTCTGCGAGTGTAGCAGGTATTGCACCTGACGATGACTGGCCAGGGCTATTGATTGAACTATTGGATTGTATAGCACTGGCGGGTGATATACTGGCCGTGATTACATATGCAGTATCTGACACTGGCATGGGTTCCTGTTTCGGTACAATAGTAGCTAATTGTCCACTAAGAGTGCCGTAATCTACTGTTGATGTTTGGAGAGCTGGAGCTGAGGTTGTAAACGTTGACCACTGGTATTTCGGTTGTTGTGTTGATGTGGTTACACATTGAGTCCCTAATCGTCCAAATAAATCATCACTCAATGCTGTTGAAGAAGAAACCAATGGAGTGGCCACCAGTGCTGCCACTGCGGCGCCCACAACAGTATCTTGTGTGCAAATACCTGTGTTTTGACCGCTGGTATAAATAGGTTGTTGGCGTAGAGAGAAGCCGTCACTGAATTGACTGCCAAACAATGCTTCGGCTGTTGAATAGCCTATCTCTGCATTTTGATCAAAATCTGTGGCTAAACCAGTAATCAATTGTGGAGAATGTGGTTCAACGATACTCATCTGTTGTTGTAAACCACTATCTGTTTGACCAGAAATCTGGTGCGAAGATAGTTGAGTACTCGTCGATGACACCAACTGTTGCTGTTGTTGTGTCCCTAAGATATTGATCAATGGTGTATAAATGGATGACTTTTCTGTACAAAGCCACGATTGAACTGGTGTTGGCTGTGCTGACTGTGACATAGAGGCCGACGATGTCGTACAGACATTGGGTGCGCTTATTTGCGAGTAACCAGTGGTGCAAATGGTAGAGCCGGTCATTGTTTGGCCGCGATAGCTGAGTCCGCGTTGATTTGTGTTGACTGTATTTTGTTCTACCGGTGATGAGGTCGGGTACATAACGTTAGTACCACTGCCCTCACTCTTGTCTTGTTGGACGGGACCGGCAGCTTCGGCTTTAGTGTAAATAAATACAATTCAATTAGTTTAATCATTATTTGTTTTGTTTAATTAATTTCTAAACTTTAAGATTTTAATTTTTTTTAATTATCATTATTATTAATAATAATCAAGTTATCATAATACATGTTAACAATTTTATATATAATTATATTATTATAATATATATATACCGTATATATATATATATATAATCATTATAAATTAAATTAATAATAAATAAATAAAATATAATTAATTATTCGAATATATCAAAATGACAAATTTTATAAATAAATACTAAATTAATTTTTTATAATAATTTCTAACAATTTTTTGTTAACTTTGTTTTTTAATAGTCAAATTGTTTTATTTATAAATAATATGATAAAATAAAAATTATTGTTTTATATAACTGACAATAAGTGTATTATTATTTATCTGAATGACTGCCAAATATCTAATGTTATCTTTTCAACAAAATCTTTTTAGTTTTTTTTGGATAAATTATATCATATATGCAATATAAGTCAGTGAGTGTGTGTATGTGTGTGTGTGTGTGTGTGTTACTAATTTAATTATTAAATAAAAATATTAAATATACATTAATAGTATATTTAATTATATTTAAATCATTTATTACAATTTAACAGAAAAAACTGTTGACACCAAAAAACAAAACACCATTAAAAATAACAAAACAAATCTATAAAATTTTAGAATTGTAGAGTTGGTTCTGAATTTATTTAATCATTAATTAGTTATTATTTTAAATTATATTATTTAATTTAATATAACAATATTTAGTTTATATATACAGTTTAGTTGTCAAATCTATATTTACAGTACTAAAAGTTATATTAATATATTTAGTAAATTATTTAGTGATTATATATTCAACTATATGTAAAATAAAACTTAAGAATCTTGAAAATTTAAAACATTTTTTACAAGTATTTAAAAAGTTCATAAAATTTTAATCATTTTACAAAATTTCATTTATAATACCATAATATTGAATCAATATTATTGATAACAAGTTTATACACTATTGTTTGTACTATATATTTAATGATGTGTTTGTATGTATCTATTAAGATAATATACTTTAAATATTACGTAAACACTTGACATGAAATAATTTATTATAAATAAGTATATTTTTTAAAAGATTTTTACTTATTTATAAAAAGCAAAAACTGGCAAACATTCCTATTTTGAAAAGTTTAATATTCTTATGTGTGAAACAAATAAAAAGTTATTACTTAAGTAAAAATATATATAAACTTTCAGTTAAGACATCACATATTAATGTTGAAAATAGATTATATTGAGGTCATAACTAGTTGACTAACAATATATTTTAAATAAGTTGAACACTAGTAGCCTTAAAATGTTGTAAATAAACATCACTTGTGTATAAATCTTAAGTTAAAAAGTAATTCTCTCTCTCTTTCTCTCGTGTGTGTTGTCAATCACACATTTAAAATGAGTGAACAAAATATTGTTGATATATAAATTATCAATATATGATTTATATATATATATATATATATATCATATTAATAATATATTATTTGAAAAGCATTTTTATAAATAAAAAAACAAAATAAAAAACAAATTTATAGTCATTGACACTCATTAGACAATAATATATATATAATATTTTTGTAAAGTACATAAAAATTTCTGAAAATCCAATGTGTCGAACATAACTTATATGACTGACTCTGTTTGTATGCCTTTCAATCATAATCTAACACAACATCCCATTCCTCTATTGCTATCTCAATCCCCAAACAAATGTTTAGTGCTCTCAAAAAACTTTGTATTCGTTTTTTTTAGTGGTTTTGTCGTCAGTGGTGTTTCACATCTGTGTAATTCACTGATGATTTTACTGACATATAGCATACAAATACTAATAGATCTAAATTTATCGTTTGGTAGGCAATATAAATAGTAACTTTTGCTCTGAAAATTTTTTGTTAAATTTATTTAAATGAGAGAAAAAACAGTCAAACAAATATATATATTCTTCATTTTGCTTATAACATGTGATATAATAAGCCTTACAGTTGGCTCTATATGTTTCACAATTTTTTTGAAAGTTTTGTAACAAACTTAATGTTGATATATATATATACTGATGTCGTCCCATATTAGGCCACAGACCTGTTTTCTTAAGTCAAACTTTAAATATATAATATATATATAAAGTATTTAACTATAATTTTGTTTTCTATAAGTGCTGTGTTGTGTATATCAATATAAAAAGATAAATATTTTACTATTTAAAATTTAAAAGCAAATGTTTAGTCATTTTTTTTAAATAAATGTATTACTGTAATGGTTTAACAAAAATTCATTAAAAAAGTAATAGTATTGAACAACCACTTCATCTAAATATCTAACTTATGATATATAATGTATACTCTCTTTCTTTCTCTTTCTAATGTCTTTTCCAAGTAATATCTATTGATATACTGTATAACATAGTATATAAAGTTATTAATGAAAACCTGTATGTGAGCACAGGGTCATCTCATCTCTCACTTTTTCAATGTGTAATGCCTTAACTTCATTTGATTTGCCTTTTTATATTATATGGTACAGTAGAGTACATAATATTATTATATACACTAAATACCAGCCCTTCTCTCACTCTTAACATTTAAGTGTATTGCAATCCTCTAATCATACAAACTCATTGGCGCACAGGTGGCAAATCAATTATCATTTATTTGTCAAATTAGATATATTTCACTAAATTAGTTTACAAAACAATAATTGTTTAGCATTAATATATTGTTTTCAACTAAAATAAAGTGTTAATTAGTTTGAATTAATAGTCAAATTAGACAAAAATGCTGCACATGTTTATTAAATTAGGCGATATCTTGTTGTTGTTGTTATAGTGGGGCTCACATTGACAGTACATTTAGTAGCTTTTATAAGTACTAAAGCAACTAATCGGACAGGTATTGCATAATACCTGAACAGTGTTCTCCTATTTAGTATATTTAAAACATTTTTTTTTATTATACCGAACCATATGTTATATACATTATAATTATCATCAATGATAATCTCTAATTGTTAAAAAATTTTGATGTAATAAATTTTCTTAACTTAAAATATTAAAATTTTTTAAAAATAAAAACCATATAAAATAATATTTTAAGTATAAAAATATGAATAATAAAAAATGTTTGTATATTGAAAAAACATTTGACTAAAACTTAAGGTTTTTCTATATAAGGCAATACCTTTGCTCTTGAAATACATATATAATAAAAAGTATATAATATCTAACTGTGAAATAACAAAACAGCAATTTATAATTGCTATATATGTATGTCGTATTTAACATAAATGATATTTACTGTTATAGTTTGTTAAAAATCAATTATTTAAAGGTGTGTTAATAAACAAAATTTAAATAAATAAAAAATTTTTGAAGCATGTAATAAATTTAATGCTTAAATAATTAAAATAAAAATTAATAAAAACAAAAGTTTTAAAATATATATATAATACAAATTTATAAAATACTGTACAATATGTAATGTATTGTATTATTGTAAATATGACTATATTAATTTTTAAAAAATTATTTAATTAAATATGATTTAATTTTTAAATAATATAATATATAGTAAATAAAAAAGTACAGTATTTTATAATTTCAAATGGTTTATTGTATTAAATTTATTATTTGTTGTTATTTGTTGTTATCTTATATAAAGTAAGATAGTCTTGAAAAATCAAAGTTCATATAATACAAACAAACAAAAAGATAAATTGTTTTTGTTGTTGAATGTATAGTATATTTGCAACGATTTTATTCATTGATTATATAACGTATAGTGACGACAACATATCGATCCATTTGAGAGAAAGATTTTTACAAACAGTAACAAAATATTAGAGAGAGAGAGAGAGAGAGAGAGAGAGAGAGAAGAGAGAGAGAGAGAGAGAGATCAAAATAATAGTCTTTTTATAATTATAATTTTCACAGAAATGCTATATAGCAAATAAATATTATATCTAATTGTTATAATATATGGGTATATACTGTACAATAGTTAGTTATAATCACATAATAAATAAATTTAATTTTTTTATAAAATATATTTTTTATATTTTATAAAAAATATATAAGATATTAAAGTGAATGTAATTTAAAGCAATGTTAACATTTTATAACTAACAAGTAAGTAAAAACAACACATGTTTTAAAGTTATATAATTTTTAGTTGAGAAAACAATATTTGAATAGTCATTATAAAGAAAAATACAATAATATTACAAAAGCCTACCTGTGATGGGAAGCGCGTCAGGAATTGCAGTAACAATAGAGAAAAATGCCGACACATCGGCACTGGTAGACACCGGAGTATTAAGAGTGTCATCAATAAGTGATATATTAGTATTATCACCGGTAGCACTGCCGGGACTACCAGGTGTGCGTTCACCAGCAGTGGCCGGTTCATCACCCGATCTACTTATAGTATAGATAGACTCGGATCGAGAAGGAGATGGATTGTCATCAGATTCTTCGTGAAGTTTAAATGAATCAAAGCTGAGTGTATAATGTTGTGGTTCACTCAACTGAGCGATTGTGTCCAGACTTTCCATAATCATTGTGCTCTCTTGTAATGTATTGCCAACTCTTTCAGGAGTTTCGTTAGGTTTGTCTGAAGAAACCGTTACGAGAAATGGGTCGACAAATAGTGAAGAAGTTGTTGTGCGTATTGTCGAGTCAATAGTCTTACAATCTTCGGTCCAATCTTTTGATTTGGACAAACAAGTGCTCAAATCAGGCCTCTTATGGCCTCTCTTAGGATAATTCAATTGACTCAAAGTTAATACTTTACAAAATACTGAGTTTATTGTTGGCAACAACACTGTCGACAAATTTATCATCAAATTTGTAATTTTAGTCTTTCAATATTAATATTCACTAACATTTAAAAAAGATAACATTTGAATGAAAATATTGATTTTTCATACATTCATTCACAAAAAAATACTAGAGATTCATAAATGGATTTTATGCTTATCTAACAGTGAATGACTGTTACATAAATTTATATAATATTATATAATAACATCAATTATATGTCAGAAAACAACAGAATATTCTTGTAATAATATATATATTATATAATATCAATAATTACTGATTGAATGTTTGCCAAATAATAGGCAAAAAAATGTTACAAACAATTGAAAAACAGAATATTCTTGAAAAGTATGGAAACTAAGTGATGAAATTCTTGTGCGAAACACAATATGATACCAACTATCGGTGCCTCCGCACAGTTGGTCTTGTTATACAACTCTGGGTTACGTCAATACTACGTCTATTATTCTTATAGTCGGTGAGAGAGAGCACTGGTAGTCGAAGTGCGCATAACATCAGTCGTTAATAATTATTATGAATGAAGACCACAACCACTTCATACCATATATGGATCGCCGGAACTCAACCAACCAATGGCTGTCAAATAGTTACTACAACTCTAGTATTTTACGTCAAAATTACGTAAAATCGTCACTACTATGAGTTATACATATACTGTACTTAATACACATGTATATACAGTACATATAAACATTTATACATTATATATATATATATATATATACTGAAAGTACAGTACATGAGCGCAGATATGCCCGTACGCCGCGTGCGTATCTGTCCTCGTGGTGTTGCATATCGACTATTACTGCACTGAATATTACTGTATATTTTGTATACATATTTCCCAATGGATTTATGACACAATCCGTTATATAATATCATTTATAGAGTATAGCAAACGTTACAAACTATTTTTCAATAATATTTCATCGGAAATTTGCTAATAAAAATTCATAACAAATAAAAATTCAATATTTTTATAATAAATTATACTAAGAATTCTAAATAATACAAATTCCGATAAAAATACAATTTAATTTCATTGTTATATTTTTATGTTATATATTAAAATTGTTTATATTAGTCAAATATAATTACCTTTTAGTATTTAGACATACAGAACCACACACACACACACACACACACACACACACACATACACACACACATATATATATATATATATATATAACATAACATTGATAAATTTATATATACAACAAAATAATTATTAATGAATACAATATACAATATACTTGTATTATAAGTAAATATTAGTAATTAAGTGATCAAAACAATTGTAACAACTGGTCATTTAATTATTAATATATATATTTATATATTAATGTCAATATATTTGTCAAATCATGTTTATAACTACTAATATCTAAATAAATTTTTAACATTTGGTTGTATTTTCGTATATTGACCTTCAAATATAATTTGATTATTCTCTCACTCACTCACTCACTCACTCACTCACTCACTCACTCACTCACTCACTCACTCACTCACTCACTCACTCACTCACTCACTCACTCACTCACTCACTCACTCACTCACTCACTCACTCACTCACTCACTCACTCACTCACTCACTCACTCACTCACTCACTCACTCACTCACTCACTCACTCACTCACTCACTCACTCACTCACTCACTCACTCACTTATTCATTGATTCATTCAACAATATACAGTATCTCTACAATAAATAAGATGAAATACAAGTCAATTTATACAGAAAGCATATAAAACATACAATTTTATGGTTTAATATATTTCAAGTACAATATATACACAATAGTAATGTATGAATTGATTGTATGTATAAAGTGGTAGAACGGGCTCATCCTTAGTCCAAATAAGGATTACTTTATATATATATTATTTTCAATATATACGATATATTGTACAACAAATTAGTTTTTTTCAATTGTATTCACTACATGTCAGTCAAAATAAATATTTTCATAATAAGATTTTTAAAATTATTTGTTTTAAGTTATTTTTTAAATGTCAAAAAATTAATGAAAATGTTTATGAAAATAATAAAAATGATTATAACTTATAATTTATAAGTTAAAGTAAATGTTACATATATAATATATGTAATTATTAAACATTGTATGTATTTTACAATATGTATTGAGTGTTTATATAAAATAAATATTATTCAATTTTATTGTAAAATAATAATATCATTTTTAAAACAAATTATTCTTTAATATAGTTTAATTAAAATTATATTAATATTATTGATATAAATGGTTATGATTTGTATTAAATTATAAATATTTTAAATTAAAAATAAATATAAAAAAGATTAATTTTCATTTTATTTTATAATATTCAATTGTAATTTTGTAATTACAATGAATTATTTAATAAAATAATCAATAACATTATACAGTACAGTTATATGATGTACTAATGAAATACTGTATAATATTATTACTGTATATATATATTATAATTTATAGGCTAATATATTTTTTGCTATTTAATATTTCATTTATAAACTTTTATAAAACATTATGTATTTTTTTATAAAACAAAATTTCTAAATCTACATTAATAAATATTAGACAGAAATTCTTATTTATTGAAAATTTCTATCAAAATCAATGATTATATACAATAAGGTATAACTCTCTCTTTCTTTCTTCTCTCTCTCTCTTTCTCTCTAATATTTTCTTAGTAAAGTATATGTTGCTATGATATTGAATCGGATCGCATGGATAAGGGATATGCGCGCAAAATATAATCAATATAATCCTCACAAATATTATATAACTATGAATGAGGTAAACGGCATTTGCCACTGATCTTTGGCATTGACAATGAATTTACAGTGAAAACACTTGACAACAACCTTATACTACAGTTTGGGTTATATTGTATTTGTAAGTATATTCTGAGTACAGTATATAATAATAATAGTAAGTAATATACTGTCTATACATTATATTATGATATAACAAGTGATTGTATATAATGTAATTTTAAATATTTTAAAATGCATTAAACATTGCTTTATATTACATTTTCTATTAATATTAATGTAATAGGAATTTCAATAACATTTATATTTAAGTAACAATTAATTTATTTGACACAGTACAATTAATAATAAATAAAAAAATATACAAATGATCTATTTTATATTGTATTTTAATATACTAAATTTTAATAATTTAAGTAAAAAACAAATTAAACGTTAAACTATACTAGAAAATTAAAAAACAATAATATTCAAGAGAATAATAATAATAATGTAAACAGGATCTTTAAATTATTAAAAAATATCTAATAAATAAAATTAGTTAAAAAGGTGACACTTAGAGGCGTCAATGTATATCACTATTTCGTTATAACGTATTTTCACACTAACGACGCGTATTACGACATTTATTATATTTTATAATTAAATCATATTATTTCCGTAAATTATAATTTAAATATTTGTTCGACATTTAATTTATTAAAAAAAAATTATTAACAAATATTAATTATATATTTTAATTTTAAACAATACCGTACTTAGTGGTACTTCAATTTATTTATCAATGAAATGATAAAACAATTGAGAAAAATGCAATAATGTATTTAATGATAACTGTTTTTATGTCAATAACTATTTAATAACTATAAAATTCTTATCTTTTTAACGTTTCTCTCTCTCTCTTTTTCTTTCTTTATTTCTATATTTTTAGCATAATTTGTTGTTTCAATCGGAAAAAATAATATCAAATATTTTCATATTTCTATCAAAGAAAGTAATTCACAAAATACCTCATTATCTTTGTTTTATAACTTATATATCAATAATTTGTATGGTATTGTTGATTAAAATATCTATATTGAGTTTTATACACTTAAACGCATAATTAAATTATTTATCATTTTTATTGTGTTATCACTAGAATTGGCAAAAAAATAAAAATAATAGGAAAGTTTCTAAAAGAAATTTCTGTCTATGGAATCACCATGTTAATTTTGTTCTTTTGATATTTGTAATTTGGTAACAAGATATTATAAATACAAATAATAAATATATATTATTACTATTATTATTTTAATAAAAAATAATCCATTTTATTACATTAAACTAAAATCTTAAGTCTTTTTAATTATAAATAAAATTTTGTAAAAAATAATTATAATCAGATAAGTATAATATATTAATTTTATATATAGGGATCATATTGTACAATATTACAATAGCCTTATATATGGAGATCCCATAGTATAATATCAAAATAAAATTTCTAGAAAAATTTACTAGAAATATTTTCAGGAAAATTTATTAGAAAATTTCTATTTGCCAATCTCAGTATAAATAAGTTACATAATTAAAATGATTATATATTATTCTTATATACTTATGCTTTGAAAGTATTTTATCAAAAATTTTATTTATTATTTTTATATCATATTGTGTTAAGACATACGGAAACTAATGAGTAATTAACTTTTTAATAAGTTTATCAATATTTCCGGTAATATCTTATTAAATACTTTTGTTAACAATTTATTGATAATTTTTTATTTATTATATAGTAATTATTTAAATATATTTTCACTATGTTAAGTTTAAATAAATCTAAATACTTAAAAATTATTTACAAGATATCTTAATTTCATGCAAATATTTTATTTGAATGATTATTTATTAATTAAATTATTTGACAAATATAAAAATATTTTGATTTTATTTAATTTTGTTACAAATATATATATACAATATTTATATCAAAATTAAATTTAAAAAATTAAATATAAATTAAATAAATTGTAATAAAATTTAAAAAATCAATTACCTCTTTGAGCGAATAAAGAATAGGAGAGAATATTGACTGTTAAGGCGATTCCGAGTTTAAAATGTATTTTATAATATTATTTATAATTATTAATTAAATTTTGTTTTTTAAAAATAGCCACTTGGAAAAAAATTATTTAAATACTAAATTATAATTTTTTAACAATT